CTTCACCGTAATGTCGTTAAGGCGACGGTAGTCGATGCACATACGCATCTCGCCGCCTTTCTTCGGTACAAACAGTACCGGGCTCGAGCAGGGCGACTTCGACGGCCTGATGAACCCCTTCTCCAGATTCTCCTTCAACCACTTCTTTAGCTCCTCACTCTCCCGCTGGGAGTGGTTGTAGAGCTTCTGATACGTCGGCGACGTACCGGGTTTGAGTTCGATCGCGTGGTCGATCGATCGCTTCGGGGGCAGTGTATCTGCCTTCGTCTTGGAGAACGCTCCAAGATGTTCATGATACTTCTCCGGTACCATGTCCCTCAGCTTCTCCATATACTCGGGAGGGTCCAGGTCATCCTGGAACGAGTCCGTAGGTTTGACGTCCCAGTCCCACAGGTCCGGGCGCCTCGCCCGCTCGTCGTCCTCCCGGGTCATCTGCATCTGCGCGACGACCAAATCCTCCGTGATCGACCCCTTCATCTTCTTGAACGGGTCGATCCCTCGTGTCTCCACTTCTACTTCGTCCGGAGCATACACCGTCTCGGGCCTCTTGAGGCATCCCGTGCTGATGCAGACATCCCCGAACGTCACCGCGTTGGAGTCCCATTGGATATGCGGGTTGTGTCTCCGCAACCAAGGGATACCTAGTACTACCGGGTACCCACTCAAATCGGTGAGGTGGAACTTGGTCAGTTCCAGGTGCACCCCCGTACGTACCAGCGTACGAGCCTTCTGGGTGATCCTTCCTCCCTGGATCTCCCGACCATCGATCACCGTTACTACCCGCGGCGTCTCGAGGTCCGTTACGTCGAATCCATGTAGCGACGCGAATGTCCGATCCATGAACATCCCGGTCGCTCCCGAATCCAACAACATGAGTGCTTGGACCGGCACTCCTTCCGGGTAGAACACTCCTACCAACGTCAGATGGCTATCTGGACCGTTGGGTACTCCGCTTGCACCCAACTGCAAGGGGATCCGGCTACCTCCCTGTGCTCCCCCATTCGGGGTCCTTTGGTGATCCGTTATTCTGTAAGGCCCGGGAGCGACCCCCGACGGGGATCCCCCTGGACAGGCTGACGGGACGCAGGAATGAGGCAAGGTATGGGTAGACATCTAAATGTAATAACGGATGTAGAGCTATTACAGAGGTACTAGTTCTACATCCAAACAACAACACCGAAAAGTACCCCCGGCAAGAGTCGCATACGGGAGTCGCGTACGGCGCGTCCGACGCGTCACGTGACCGCTATAACACCGACGCATTGATTAAACAACTCGATTCCGCTGGAATACCTTTCGAGACCTGTTTCGGTGCAGCCAATGTGTTAACACACTTGTTTGTCACTGAACCAATGGCCATGACCCTTGCTCGACATTACGGGCAATTGTTATTTATCGATTGCACCTATAAAACAAACAAATACAACATGCCGATGCTTCACATCGTTGCAGCGACCGCGAGCAATACTACATTTACTGTGGCCTTTGCATTCATGTCTCGGGAAAGGGAGAAGGATTACATCTGGGCAATGAAGTGCTTCAAACGATTCCTAGGGAACACTCCAGTGGAAACGGTTATGACCGACGCCGAAATGGCCTTGCGCAATGCGATCGAGCAAGAATTTCCTCGCTGGAAACACATCCTATGTCTTTGGCATATACAACAAAACATCGTAAAGAACTGCAAGAAAGGTCTTCCACAGGATACGTTCATTGAATTACTTCGAGCCTGGTGGGGTGTTGTAAGACAACCAACGGAAGAGAAGTTCAAGAACGCCAAAGTCGATCTAATTCATCGGTACGGTCAAAATGGATCGAACACCCAACAAATGGTGGGGTACTTGATCATTGGATTCGAAGAGGCGGAACGCTTTGCCTTCTACGCTACTGGGCAAGCGTTCCATCTGAACTATCTAGCTACCTCGACCGGTGAATCGTTCCATCGCGCTGTCAAAAGGCAAATCAAAGGCAGTGGCGATCTCTTTGCAGCAACCAACGCGGTATTGAACCACATGGAGAGTACGCAGCTCAAGATCTTCGATATTCATGCCAATGGACCTGTTCGTAGGAACATCAGTTTGCCTGAGTGCTTTGTGCAGGTCAGTTGGAGTCGAGCAGTGTGTCGTTCCCTTGGAATCGATTTTTTGACCTGTTTCGAACAATAGCTTCACGGGAAAGTTTCAACATACGCGATCGACCTTATGCATCAATGGGGGTACCTCTTTGCAAAAGCTGTGAAGGCTAGCAACGGTCAACTAGACCCCTGCACAGGTGCATGGCAAAAATCCACTGGTCTGCCCTGCAAACATGACTTCGCGGCGTTCTTAAATGGCACTCGACGACATCCTTTACAACTCCACGAAATTCATGTTCATTGGCATATCGTTCATCGCGCGCAACTCAAGGAAACAGCGGTACAAATGGGTGTAGAGGTCCCTCGAGCTCTTCTCAGGGGTCTTGACAATGCAAACATCCCTGTACCTATTCCAATGGGAGGGATTCAGAACACCTACATCGAACGTCGACTCCCAGGTGATTTACTACTGAACGACCTCTCGGCGACGATCCTGCCACCTGTTCAACGGGTACGCGTAGGGCGGAAGCAAACAGCGCCCTCGCGCGCGGAAGCTGCCACCCTTATCAATGACGTGGCAATGGATTGGCCTGTCGCGCGTGCGGAAGCAGGTCCAACTCGTACATACGCGGCGCCCTCGCACGCGTCTATTCCATCGCAATCGACCAGTGAATTTTTGTCTGGCTACGTGCCACCGGGAGACATCATCGTACCAGTTGCTTCTAGCGGTCGCACCCAATCGGGCGGGGAAACTGTTCTCAAGAAACGCAAAGTCGTACCAGCTGCAGAGCAGCAATGCCACGTTGCTGGCAATTTGGTCATCGCAGTAATAGTGTCAAGTGCGACAAGAACAAGGAGAAGAGAGTTGCAGCAGCGCTGTGGGCGGCGACATCGACATCGACAGAGAACAATACAGTTTCGAACTCGTTTCTAGGATCGACGCAAGGTGTATAGACATAGGTCTTGTTCGATGCTTTCGGACAATGAAATACTCATTTTGAAACACTGCAATGGACGAGAACAAGGACATTCTTCAAGGCAAACCTCTTTCGAACTGAAACTCACGTCGATTTGCTTTTGTTTGGACAAAGGTATCGTTTATAATGTCGATTTCAATGGAACATCGCTTCGAAACAGCTTTTGTTCATCTATACAGCAGTCGAGAACAATGGAATAACGTCTTGGAGACATACATCTCGATAAGTACTTATATCTCTCGCAAAGGAATCACCTACTGATCGAGTACATCATTTTTCTCCTCTACATCACACAAACATAGCTCTCGCAATCGTTTTATGCCCGTCTCCCCTTCCATCGCAAGCAGTATCGATATGGCTCCCAACGCAACGTAAGTATCTTCTTATTCCAATGATTTATTCCATTGCGATCGATCATCTGACTTTTCCGTTGGTTTGAATAGCCCTCTCTACACCCCCTTCGACGTCCCCAACGTTCTCGAGTTGGACGGGACCCTCGCTGTCCCGCAATGCACCATTTGGCCGGGCCGATACCAGAATTTCCAGCAGTGGTGCGACGACTGGAACAACGAGATCAACGCCGACTCCGATCTCGACAACGCACAGGGCCCGACCAAACGTCAGCCCAAATCGCCCGGTAAAAAGGGCAAGAACAAGGAAGTCCCCAAGTTTAGGGCTTCCGACAAAGCATACCGATGCTCCACTGGAGCGTACATCACCAGGATTGAGAAGCCCGGTCCTCAAGCTAAGGACGACAAGAGGAGTAAGCTTGCAGTGGTCTAGTTCGTTGTTCGATTGCATTGGTTTAGATCGTTGATCGATTTCATTGCGCGCGTTCTTTGCTTAGTTCACAAGGATCTTCTCGACGAACTCTCCCTCCCGATCCTCCCCGTCCAGTCCCCCGCCACCCTCTCCGCCATGAACACTCCCATGGCTTCCGGTCGTAAGGATGCACCCGGGATCGACGCTGCATTGGTAAGTTCCATTGCTCGACTTCAACGATCTATTCCATTGATCGATTCCACTGAACTGACGCGTTGTTGTTTGCCACGTCATCAGGCCAAATATCGAGGAGGATGGCGACTCGCGTGCGACACCTGCCTCGCCCTTTACATCCCCGAAGTCTACACCGGTCCCAGTCAAACGATCCCCGTTGCGAAGATGAAGGCCCTCGGACTCAACAAGAACTATCTTACATTGGTCAAGTTAGTTGAGTACGGGCCTTTTATCATTTGCCGCGGGTGTATCGGGGTGACCAAGGGCAAGGGGATGTTGCCGAGTTGTGGTCCTTGTCGTGTGGTCGGCGAAAAATGCAAGAAGGTCGATCCCGCCAACGCTATCCGAATGGATGACCCAACGGTCCATCACATCGATCGAGCCCGCCGGGCCCTTACTATCATTCGGGACCAAGGGCAAATGCAACAGCCCGATCGCATTAGGATCGCCCAATACGGACTCGACTGTTTGCGCGACGAGATTTGTCACGGGTTGGAGAATTCCCCCGATAAACATACTAAGGTCTCGATCGATGCGATTGTTGCTGGGTTTGACGAGTCGGAATAGTTCTTTGTTGTATTCCATTGGTTTTGATTTTTTGTACTTAAACATTGCTACGTTATAATACGATCGTCCTTATGCAACAATTCACCGACTTTAATTCATCTGACAACTTCACCGATCGAATCCAACGGAACACAGTCGTGCGATGATACCATGCGATATTTCACTGTATTGTACCTTGGCGTAAAGCCATTGTCACACACTCCCGAGCTATTTGAAATGTAAAGTCGATTGCCGCCATAGTAGTAAAAGTTACCGCCACCAGATGAATTCTTACATCCGGAGTAACATGACGGCATTTATTATGTCATCGCCTCACTGCCGTAAAGCTTCGGACCGGTTTCATCGGCGTTGACCGATTTTTTCGGCCGAACTGTGATTGCGATTCCCCGATTGCAGCTTTCTCCCCTGCTCCCTGACTCGAGCTCGACCTATCGATCCTTGCTCGTATCGTAATGTCATGCAACTTGTAAGACCATAGTACCATAGTACAGCTTCACATCAAGGAACGACACATCTCCTGCCTCGTGACAATATACTCGGATTCGGGCTACATGCTTCAACCCAGCAACTCCACCTTATAATAGTTGACCTGTGGAACCGAATACCGATCTCGATCGCCCCGACACGATCCGTATAAGTACTAGGATACCGTCATAATACATAGTGAATAATTCTAAGGACGATGGGGAATGTGGGCAATTACATCTATTCCGGTCAGTCCCGGTCTCAACCTCTATCCACTCATGCAATCATTCCACTCGATCGGCTCACAATCGCAACATGACTCTTTTCCTGTGACCGTGACTCTGACCATCCTATGATTCATTGACGACCGCAAATACGATGACCAATTTGGCTGGACGCAGGTTTCATCCCGCTCGTCAAGACGGCCATGACCATCCTCGCCGGATTCACACTCACGAAAAAAGGACTCTTCCCCCCCGCCGCATCGAGGGGAGCGAGTCATTTGTCCATGGTACGCTTATCTCCCATCCGTATGATATCGGAATCCGAGTTTTGATTCGTCATGCTAATCTAATCCTGCCACGCATCATATCGTTTCATTTCGGTTTTTTTCTTTTCTTTTCAAAACTTTCCTTTTTTGGGATTTGCAGACGATCGGCCTCCCCTGCCTCCTCTTCGCATCCGTCGTCCCAGCGTTTAACAGCGACAACATCAAATTCCTAGGCCCGCTCTGTTTGAGCGCGATCGTCTACCAGTTTTCCGGGTTGGTAAGTTCAAGTCGGCGTCCAACTTCCTCTTCTCATGAGTTCCCTTTCAAGTCGAGTGGAGTGGATTTCGATGCATATGCTGATCAGCTATTTTGTTACATCATATCTTAATCAAACGCGATGGGTTGCGAATGTTATACTGTACTACAACTGTAGATCCTAGGACTGATCATCCGGGAGTTGTTCTACGTACCGGCGGATTTTAGGTATGGCATCATCATCGTAAGTCCCTCCCCACTCCTCATTTCCTGCTTTATCGCCCATACAACCAGACCCGATTCGGACATCGAAATCGAGATCGAAATTCAAATTGAGATTGAAGCTGACAAGAATAATGGTGTGGGACATTCTCCTTGCATTACAGGCCTCGACGTTTAGCAACTGGGGAAACCTACCGACCGCCGTCGTACAGACGATCGCCACGCAAGACCCGTTTGACCCTAAGAGGGATCCGACGTTAGGTGTGGCTTACGTGAGCGTGTTCATGTTGATCGTGAGTCCAGCCCAGCCTATCTCATGATACGCCGAAGAGTCTCGCTATAGCTATTTCGTGAAGCTGATACCGGCCCTTGACAAACCTTGACGACGATGGCGGTGACAACTCGTAGTACTCGCTCTCGTTCTTCGGCCTGGGGACGTGCAAGATCTGCGCATGGGATTTCCGACCGAGGCCGGAGGGCGAGATCAACGTCAGCCGGCGCGTCAAGTGGGCAGAGAGACGGGCTGCTCTTGCAGGGATTTGGAGGGGGATGAGGGAGACGCATCATCGGCCGGGTTGGGGTGGCAAGAGCAAGAGGGACGTGGACTCCAATCAGAAGGCCGGTATGGAACCGGAACAAGAGTATGAGCCGGATATGGATATCGAGAAGAAGGGGGTGGATTCGGACGTCGAAAAAGGATATCTCGGGACGACAATGACAACGACAACGACGGGAAACGCTATCGAGCCTACTCTTTCCAGGTACAGGTCTCACCAAGAGATCATCGCCGAGGCTTACCACGATGGGATCTCGCTGGCCCCCGTGCGGTCAACCGTATCGCATACGACGGGGAACGGGCCTCGGAATCGGCTCGGTGGGGAGATCAACCAGAAGGACAGGGAAAAGGACGTCATCGAGGAAGAAAGGGAGAAACGACAGCTTGACGCGGTGGTCTACGATAATACCCCCGAGCCGCACCGTCACCCTCACAAGAAGGAAGACGAAGGGGACGACGATGAACAAGACTCGGTAACCACCCCTCGAATACCTCTCTGGCGACGCATCCTCACCGGCGTCATCGGCATCCTCAACCCAGTCAGCATCTCCCTCTTCTTCGCCCTCCCCATCGCCCTGATCTCCCCTCTCAAAGCGCTCTTCGTCGTCGTCGACAACTGGACGGGCACGAGGATACCCAACGGACCGGATGGGAAACCTCCTCTGGCGTTCGTACTGGACACGGCGGCTTTTATCGGGGCGATATGTATTCCCGTCGGGTTGATGTTGTTGGGAGCGAGTTTCGCTAGGTTGAAGGTGCCCAGGAGTTGGGGGACTTTGCCGATCGCGGCGATCATGGCGTTGATGGTGTCCAAGAGTGAGTCCGTTTTCGGCGTCAAATCTGGATCTGGATTTCGAGATCGTCAAGTCGACGTGAAGGCTGATCTTTGAGATGTTACGACGATAATCGTGATAGTGATCATCGTCCCTTGCATCGGCGTAGGGATGACACAGGGTCTATCACAACATACGAATCTATACCCGCCGGATCAGAAGAGTGAGTCAAGTCCGAGCATACTGTTCAAAGAGAAAGTACGAGATGGGAGATTGCTAACGTCTTGCCGATCCGTTGCAGTCCTCAAGTTCGTGGCCATGTTGCTCTCTGGCACTCCGGCTGCGGTAAACCAGCTCGTCATGTGAGTTCTCGCCGAACTTTACCTCTCTCCGGCTCGAGGTCAAAGGCGCTGCAGAGTTTATATTCAGGCTAGATCAAATGGACTGACCGCACCTTATCGTTCGAACAGCACGCAAATCTACTCGCCAGACGGATCAGCGGATACGCTCAGCATGTTCCTGATCGTGCAATACGTATTCATGTTGGTCGCCTCGGCTGCGCTGGCGGCTGTCGGGTTGGCTTTCGTCAACTAGGACTAGAAGATTGGAATTAGGACTAGGAAAAACAGGGACTAGGGATTTTCTGTGAAGGAGGTCAAGGAGATCAAGATCATGGACAGGTGATATACTGATATTGTATTGTTTCGATTCGGAATTGTATCAGTAGTAAGGTTGTGTGGCCTCAACTAGCGATTAGTTGATCAGTCAGCTCTTGGAACAGTCGAGATCGTTGTAGTATTATGGGTAGGTCTGACTCAAACACATGCGAAAAGACACATTGGACGCTGGCCAGATTGGACCCTGGTCAAGAGCTCTCAAGGTCGAGTGGGTGTATGCGAGTGATGATCACGTGATCATGACGTCACCCATGACGAGTTGCTGACGTCAGCACTTCGCCCCCTACCTCTGCCGTCATCCCATCGGGATTCGACATCGAGGGCATCGAGCATCACTGCAACCTCGATCACATCGTCTTTACTTTGACGATCCCTACATCTGTACATTCTGCCTTTATCTCTATCTACGATTCACCCAACGAAATATCGAAATTCACACTTCACTCTAGCAATCATGACCGGACTCACAGGAATGTTCTCCGAACGATACACCTTTGACGACATTCCCGATCAGACGGGCAAGGTCGCCCTCGTCACCGGTGGAAGGTGGGTCGTCGGTTTTGGCTGTTGTCGTTTATATGTTCTCCTTGCTTACGATCTTATCTTATGTGTGATTCGATTCTATGATGTGACGTTCATGATCTGTCAACCGTGTAGCGCTGGGATCGGTGCTCAGATCGTTCTGGGATTGGCTCTGAACGGGGCGGAAGGTGAGCGGCCACGAACCCCCTTCATTACGATCGAGTCGATACTCACCGATGATACCTTCCCATGTTCTACTTGTCGTATCATCTCTCGTTACGAACCCCCCACCGATTACTTCACGTCGGGCTTCAACCCTCTCATCATACCGTCAATCCGCCTCCGGTGCCACACCCACAGTCCACTTCATCTCGACCACCCCCGCACACGGCGAAGAGACCGAATCCCACACCAAATCCGCTCTAACCTCCGCCTCGACCTCTTCGCACGCCTACGCTCAGAGGGCCGCCAAGGGGAAAGTCATCTACCACCAGCTTGACCTGGGGGACCTCTCCGCCGTCAAGGCTTTCGGGGAAGGGTTCCCGGAGACGATTGGCGGGAAGGAGAAGGGGTTGGATCTGGTCGTTTGTAATGCCGGGATTGGGGTTGCGGAGTATGCGAAGACGAAGGATGGGTTGGCTTGTCAGTAAGTCGGCTCGGGAGGGTTATGGTCGAGATCTGGTTGTTGCTTACACTGAAACGAATACCACACCGTTGCACATTCATTTTGTTGACAACAACCACAAACTCGATCGCGACCCCAGCTTCGGCGTCAACCACATCTCCCACATGCTCCTCATCCACACCCTCCTCCCCCTACTAGACTCGACCTCCCAATTACCTAGGAACGCGGGAAAGAAGGGAGCGGTACGGGTCGTCATGCAGGCTAGTCAGCAGCATAAGCTTTGCCCGTCGGACGTCAAGTTTGAGAGCTTTGAGGAGTGTCAGAAGGATATCGGAGGGAATGGCAAGTGAGTATTGGGTCGCGTTTGTACGGGGTGTTGGGGAAGGAGGCTTCGAGACGCTGACCTAATTTGGAGCGGTGTGTAGCTACGCGAGGTCCAAGTTGATGAAGTGAGTCCCGCACCTTGCCTTCTCAGTACTGCCTGCTCAGTCATCGCTCAATGCTGACCCGCTATTGACCTTCCTCCGGCTTTGTCTCTTAGCATCCTCTACGCCAAAGAACTCTCCATCCGCAAACTCATCCCTTCGCCCATCTCCAACCGCATCCTCACCATCTCCGTCCACCCAGGCGCAGTCGCCACCGACCAAGAAAAGGCAGCTCAAGAGCCTTATGGATTGCTAGGTACCGCGTTGGTGGCGGCCTCGAGGGTGTTCTTCATGTCCCCCGAACAGGGGTCCGAGAGCGCGCTTTGGGCGGCGACGAGTGGGAAGGTCGAGGGTGACGAGGCGGTGGTCCAAAAGTATCAGGGAGCGTATCTGACTCAGCCTAACGATTCGGTGAGTCGAGTCGACGTCTGATTTGGCTATAGCGTTTTGGGAATTGCGAGTGTCGTGTGACAATACGGCTGACACGGCGTTTCTTTACTGTGCGTATTATTATTGCAGCTGGGCAACGAGACGAACCAGGCCAAGGATATGGAGCTGGCCAAGAGGTTGTGGGATATCAGCGTCAACGTCATCAAGGACAAGGTCGGGGTCGTCATCGACTACTAGGCGTCTCTGTCCGGTGTCTCCCCACACCCCATATTCTATATCGACGGCCACCATTGATATGCTACGATCACAAGCGCCTCATCGTGTATGCTCGTCCCTTTTCTCGCTCTAGGCTCTCAACTGTAGTGGCTCGTCTCGTCGTCTTGAAAACAAATGTGTAGCGAATATCGTAAAACAACTTTATGATACCCATTTACGATCACAGCGAATACAGTCTCCATGATGGTGATTGGGGAACAATTGGGGCTCGCTAAACTTGGCAGGTAGTTGATCTTATCGGTGATCGGTGTAGTATGAACGATGGGGTCGATCGTGGTCCGGTATAAATGAGCGGGTGAGTACGCCATCGGCTGTCCTGAGACTTGTCGTCTCCCATAGATCGTGCCCCCTCATCAAAGGAACCTCATCACTCTGATCTCTGATCTATCGATACATCGATTATCAAGGGCTCAGACTAGAAGACTCAAACACCTTATACCGTAGTTATCCGTACCAGTTAAGCAACTTCAATGCGATGCGAATGTTATCATAGCAGGTCGAATCCAGGCGAAACTCCGCGAACGCAAAGGACGGCAGGAAATCTCGTATCAAGAAACAAGAATGTACAATCAAAGCTCCTCGATCAAGCATAAAGCATCAAGCCAACCAATCCTTCCGCTCAGCCTCCCATCGTTCGGCACCCCAATACCCCCAAGTATACTCTTGTTGCTTCATCGGGTTCAGAGGAGGAGCCTCTTCTCCGTTTGCCAGCGAGAGGCCTTTACGCCTCATCTCCCCCAGACCTCCCGCACGAGATAATTGTTGGATATAAGTCGCCCGTTTGTACCGGATGGAGAAGACTCTTTGTAGAGCAGCGTTGACTTCTTCAAACGAAGGTGGTGAAGAAGCGGAGGAGGAAGATGACGAGGTGGTCAAGGAACGGAGGACGTAACCCAAGGCTTCGGCATCTTCGAACGCTTGAGAGGCTCCTTGACCTTGGTGCGGTAACATCGCATGAGCACCGTCCCCGACGAGGATACACCGTCCGTTCACCCATCTGTCTAGGGGTTCTTGGTCCCGAAGTTGCCAGAGACCGATATCTTCGGCTTGTCTGTGAATATCGCGCCCAGGCCGTCCTGCCATGTCAGCCGACGGATCAATGGAATGACAAGCATCGCAACGACGAATTAGGGGAGGACTTACGACAAAAGTTCTTGCCAGACCGGATCGAACGTCTCGTATGATTTCACCAGGGAATCGACGTCCCCCTTGGCCGTCCATTTCTCCTCGCTGATCTCGTTGAGCTCGGAGTCGGCTGCCAGAACCGGATATAACGTCCCAGCAAGACCGTATTAGCATCAAGACATCACCGTCAACATGATTCTCAAGCTGATGATACGCCGGCTCTGGAGGGTGTGGGGGGGGGACGAAACGAGAATCGAAACTCACGCAAGCAACAAACAAAGTTCAACAAGCTCCCATCCCGACAAGGATAACAGATGATCCTCCTCTCGCCCCCATCTACGACCGTAATCCTCCCCTCGAGCAAGCCCAAGGCTTTCAACCGCTCATTGCTCTCGATCTTGTGTGAAGGGACCAAGGTCCGGTAGGCGGAATGTCCTGAAGGAGCAGAGTTGTAGGATGCAGAGATGGTCTTGGCTCGGACGACGGACTTTATGCCGTCAGAGCCGATGATGATGTCTCCTTCGACCGTTTGACCGGAAGCGAGGGTGACGAGGCCGGTAGAGGTGTCCTGCACATAGCATCATCCCCAAGATCAAGATCATATCGTATCATATTCGTGAGCGTGTAGGGACGTGGAGATGAAGCAAGCCGGATGGAGTTGTCGATCGACAACACTCACCAGATCCACCACTCGCGCATTGAGTCGGATCTCGCACGGCTTCCCCAGACCTTTCTCGGTCGTTGCCAATCTCCAAAGTTCCTTTTGAACGTCGGCTCGGTGGTTCAAGGTCCATTCGCAGCCTTCGTCCTTGAGGGGGTCGAAGTGGGCGTCGATGAGGATTTTGGCTTCCGGGGACCCTATACGTTCGTTCGAGCAAAAGCGAGTTTTTTTGAGCGGTGATGGGAGTGAACGTGGAAACATGTGCACTTACAGCATCGATACGCTTTACAAGGTACCGAGCCGTACTTGAGGAGATCCCCGCCGAGATTCTTGATCACCCTATAAGCGTTCGGGGCGAGGTGGACGGCCGCTCCGATCTCCCCGAGTTCAGCGGCGCTTTCCAGAATCTATTCAATGGGATCCAAGAGCAGCATCGTCAGTGTGCCGTATTGATTGCAAGAAGAGTGGCGAGAGACGGATGGAGCCAGGTTGTGGACTCACGGTAACATCAGCATACTCGCGCATGGCAGCTCCCGTGGCTAGACCACAGAGGCCCGCGCCGACGATCGTCACTCGCAGTCGCTGGTTCGAGGTCGTATCGACGGTCATTGTTTTCTCTTGCTCGCTGTGATTCGTTTTTCGATTCGATGTTGGTTGGATGAAGAAGAGGAGAAAGGAAAAAGACAGGTAGGTTCAGCGATCAGACTTTATCGAGTCCGACCGACCACACGATCGATAGCGAAAGGCTTGAAACGCCGAAGCTCCCGCGCCGGCGCCCGCGCGCAACATCGGACGTCTGTTTTGAATGGATGTTCGATTCCCATAGGCTAATTTGGGCCAGGATGGTCTCCTCAAACGAGGACGATTATAGGGGTGAGCTGGTCAAGGCCCAGGTCTCACTGTCTTGATACTTCAACGTCAAGTTGTCGCAAATTCTGCAAGAAGAAAGAAACTCTGCACCGCGCCTGCTAGTGATCGACGGACAAGCCAAGCGAATCAAGATGAACGATCTTCCCATGCCGACGCCCGGAGCGAACGCTCTGCATTCGCGAGAAGAGACCGAGACCATGATCTTCGACAAGAATATCGACATTCCACTTCGAGATGGGTTGGGCTTGTTGAGAGGAAACCTTTACCGACCGATCGCGCCTGGCCGCTACCCCGTCTTGGTCACGTGTGAGTTCCTCTGATTGGGCTCGGGAGCCTTGACATGATCTGACCTCGCTGTGTCTGTTTCCTTAGATGGACCTTATGGTAAAGACCTTCCCTACTCCGATTTCAACGCCCATTCGTTTGGAGAGATCCCTGAGGAGCAAAAGTCCAAGTACTCGGCTTGGGAAGTCCCAGAACCCACTTACTGGACTCGACACGGATACGCCGTTTTGCGCGTCGACGAGCGTGGTATCGGGAGCTCTTTCGGTTTCCTGGACACCATGTCGGATCAGACCAGCTCTGACTTTGCAGAAGTCATCGAATGGGCTGCCGACCAACCCTGGTCGTCCGGCAAAATCGGCCTTTTGGGAATCTCGTGAGCTTGGCAGGTCAAATCAACCGGTTTCACCATTTAATTATGGTCCCTCTCTTTGCCAACCAGATACTACGGCGGAAGTCAGTGGCGGGTCGCAGCGCGCAAGCCCAAAGGACTTGCCTGTATCATCCCCTGGGAGGGTACGTCAATAGACTCGTCAATCCGTTTCAGCGCTTGTGAGTTGACCTTTTCACGAAAACCCTCTTCGTCTTTCAGGTATGACCGACTACTATCGAGACCGGGTCAGGCATGGAGGCATCTACTCGAACAAGTTCGTCTCGTTCTGGTGGAACAACCAAGTCAGGCCGATGCAATATGGCAACCCAGAGAAGCAATCGAGGCAGTTTGGTAGGTCCCGTTCTTCGAACTCCTCTTGACGTTCGGGTCTCATATACTTCGTCATCTGCTAACCTGGCGACTGCATGACAGGCCCTACGATCAAAGGCCCACCTGTCGGTAGGTTCTTGTTTTCGAATTTTGGGCTATCAAACTGCCTCAGGAGTCGCTAAACTGACACGCATTCCCCTTTTTAGGTCCTGACTGCGCTGAAGGCGCTCGCACCGCCGACCAACTCGTCGAGCGCAGACGCGATCAGACCATCGATAACCGAGACCATCGTTACCTGGACGAGCAGTATCACGATAGCCGAGTTTACCAGCTCAGCGATATCGAAGTGCCCGTTTTAAGTGTGGCGAATCTTGGCGGCATCATGTTGCACCTACGGGGCAACGTTGTGGGATATCTCGAAGCAGGCACCCCCAACAAATGGCTCTATTTCATCTCAGGGCGGTAAGTCGATGTAACGCCTGGCTCGTCAAAGAGCCTGATCCAGCAGCTGAGACAGAGAACGATCCCTCACAGACACGATCTACCTTTCTACCTTCCGCATTACGTGGAACTACAAAAGTCTTGTTAGTAGACGAGCGTTTCGCTTCTCGATCCGATGGATAGTCATCTAATCGACCACTCTCCTATTCCTCGATTGGCAGTCTTGGATGCCTGGTTACAAGACAAGGATAATAGGGGATGGAAACTCGGTCCGAATGTCAAGGTGCCCGCCGTCTCTGTGCTTGAGAGGCGAGGTAATCCCGGTCACAACTCGAACGAGGCGGAAGCTACCTATACAAGTCGTGGGGAAGCCGAATGGCCCCTGGCACGAACTCGATACACCAAGTTTCACTTGCAACCGGATCTCACCTTGTCTGAGACTTCGTCTACCGAAAGCAAGACGTTCCCTCTGGAAGCGCTTGGGAAATCCGAACCGCTGCAGTTCGAAGTTACGTTCGACAAGGAGACCGAAATAGCTGGACATCCTTTGATGTCGCTGGCGTACAGCGTCGAGCGCAGGGAAGACGGCACCCATCCCAAGGATATCGACGTGTTCGTCACTCTCAGACATATCGATCCACAAGGGCAAGAAGTCTTCTACACGGGTAGGACGAAACTTGTATTGCGACGGAGTTGATCCGCTGACGGTTCGTCATATATGGTCTTCGCTCAGGTACTGCGGGCGATCCTGTGCCACTTTGCAAAGGTGAGCATATCCGACCGACTGATAATCATCAGTTCAAGGTGTCAATTTTTTTGAATTTTATTTTGCTATTTTCAGGATGGCTTCGAGCCTCTGTACGCAAGATCAACGAACAGTCCCCGAGGCACCGAGACTGGCTGCCTCATCGAGATTACCTGTCTACCGAAGTAGACTACCTCAAGCCGGACGTCGTGTACGTCCTCGTCGTCGAGATCTGGCCGACCGCTTGCATCGTCGCGCCCGGGGGCAAGATCATCGCCGAAGTGAGTGTAATTTTTTATGAATCAGACTCGGAGACGTTCTTATCTCGTTTCAATCCGTAGGTTGCCACCGGTGACACTCAAGGTGGGGGTATCTTCCTGCACAACGATCCCGTAGACAGGTAAGGAAATAAGATCGGGTCACAAGAGTTTCTCTGGCGAACCTGCTGACAATGTCGTGTTCCGCAGGAACGAGCAAGATTTCGGCGGAGTAAACGTTTTGCACGTGGGAGACCGATACAATAGCTATTTGGTGCTTCCTCTTGTCTAAAACCTTTTATTCGACCATCCTAACCGCCATCGATCATGAGGAGGACCACGAGCGTATAGCTAGGTGCAACATTTCAAGAGAGCTCGATGTCGATGTATCTTTGAAATGACCATTCTATCCGACGAAACTGCTTATGGTACCGGCTCGACCATATTGCGTGTCCATTGATGCCCAGCCGAATCATGAGGTCAATATTGCGAAGCGGAGCAGGTCTGAGGTCGACGTTCTGTCGAAGAAAGGCTCGAGCGCAACACACTTGCGCAGTACTGTCATATTATCGTACGTTCCTCATACAATTAAAATATCCTAAAGCTACAAATTCGGTCTGGCCCTGTAAAACCACTCGAGGATGGCGGCCATCCATCTGAACCACCGCCGCATCATCGCATAGAAAGTAGCATGGCTGAAATGCTGGGAGGATATAGCTTGATCATTCGGGTATTGTGACAAGGGACCGTCTGAAAGGAGACAGAACGAGGTTCAGGACTGGAACCGAAAGTGGCTGGTCTATCCGTTGGACTCACCTTGTGGGAGATCTAGAGACTGATTACTCGTAGGTCTCGGCAGGACTGCCACGCATTTCGAGGTGAGATACAGAAGCGCTCCGTGACTGATCCCCCGTCGAAATGAGTCAGTCCTACACTGAGTGCATGAGGGACATACACAGTTGACGTACCCGATACCGGCCTCTTCCAGCGATTTGGTACAATCGGCGCCTTTGAAGAGGTTCAGCCCTGCTGGATCTTCTTCCCTTCGAATGATCAAGGTCGCGTTGAGCGGCGCATCGTCAACGTACAAGTTTCGTAACTAGACAAAGGGGTATGAGGCATCCTTTCAATGCGAAAGCAAGACTTTTACGATCGATCAAGGCATGACCTACCGTTCGTTCCAGTGAATATACTCTGTCTGTGGGCAGGACCTCAAGGCGCCTAGTCCCTTCAGCAGACCTTATCCTGATGATCATCGTCGGCGTTGCTCGGCATTCAGTTCTCTATTGAGTAAAGTTAGGGAAATCTCTTGTGCAGTTCAAACTACAAGGAAAGGAAATGTCGAATAGTTTCCCTGCACAAAGGCGACCTAGTAGCATCGCGACTATCGCCACCCTCGGCCACCGAGCGCGGTGGTCCGGCTGTAGACCCCCCGTCGCATTAGCTACCGAACTTGGGCGCTCGTGACCCGATAATTCACATACGATCCGTTATATACTACACAAGCTACCACTGCAGCATCTCCAGGGTGGAATCCCGTCTTCTGTCCCACATTATCTCTCCAAACTTCTGATCAACATATTCACAATGGTAGACACGAAACCCGAAGAACAATCTGTCGAACGAGCCATCTCGCGAGCTCGCGGGGCTATCACAGACGGGCGAGTGGAGAATTGGGCTTTCAAGCACAAACAGTTGGCGAGCCTCTTTTGTTAGTACTTTCGGCATCCTCCCACCATGGTCGCATATACCGGTTGCTGACTTGCGCCACCCCCAGCAGCCGCCTTGCAGCGGTTAGGTCCAGCCATGAGCGCCAGTGTCGAGACGGACGCCAAACACGATACCTTCGACCGCAGCACGCGCGAGTTGTACTGTTGCTTGGAGACGATCATCGAAATCGATCAAGCATTGCCCAAACGATTTGAGCCCGTGCTGCCCCGGAAGTGGTCTCAGAAATCTGTGGGACTAGATGTTCGAGAGAAGCACCAAGGCCTTGGGGTCATCGCAATCGTTCCTACATGGAATCGTGAGTTCCAGCCAGATGCGCCAACTCTCCGTCGTGAAACCGTAATAGCAGTTCATCATACTCCTGCTCAGACCCCTTTTCCAGTTGGATTGTCCCGCTAGCAACCGCCATCGCCGATGGAAATGCAACGATAATCCTTGTGAGTGTCCACGCTTCCACCCTGATAACGTGCTATGACTAAACCGGATGATGTGCCCCTATACAGTTCTCAGAATCGTTGTACCCAACCATGGGAGGACTCCTCACAACGTTATCCCAGACAATGGACCAGGAAGCCTATCAGTTCTTGGCCTATCCGAACGGGTTCAAAGCAGGAGACTCGAAACTCGACGTTGCAGCTGTGATCGAGTCGGATTGGGTTCTGCAGAAGACGATCAAACGTGGCGCTACATTCAGCACGAGAAGATCGATGCTCCGGCCCAACGCGATCATCATCGACCAGACAATTATGCCTTCGAGATGGAGCGCCAATGACAAGGATATGAGTCGAGGGGCGAGAGACGTCTTGCGACAAGTGGTAGACGCCATTGTTCAGGCGAGCGCACACTCTAGCTCGTCCGCGAACCCCTCTTCGTCGGCTCCCACCTTTGTCCTGGTACACGAGAACATTGCCGAAGGCTTCTTCCAGGCCATTCAAGGCGCGAATGCTGGGACTCGACATTTCAAGAGGATTCAGGAGGACGTAATGGAACATCGCGAGCTTCTCGAAGGAGCTAGCCCCGGCGAGCTCGATTTCTTGCCCGTCTTTTCGGTGTCCAGCTTCGACTATGCGCTCGACTTTGTTCAGGACGAAGTCCCGGCTGGCGTTGCGACTTACGTCTTTTCGAATGCGAGCTTCGGGGAGTACGCGTTCAAAGCACTATCTTCGATCCCTTACGTTTTCGTCAATCAGTTACCTGAGCGATTTCTAGGTGAGTATCTTGCGTATCGCGATGTTCTTAACCTGATCTGATCTGATGATGTGTCTGTGGATTCAGTTATGGGGCCATACATCGATCGCGAGGCTTTCGCATTGAAATCCCGTCGGACCTTTTTCCCGCAAGGTCAAGCAGTGGTAAAGGATGACCACCACAACGTACAACTCGAAATCTCTCGGCTCGCCCTGAAGCCTCTCAAACAAGTCCCCGGGCATCGTATCGACTTTTTCGGAGGAAGTGAGTGTACTGTTTGGGCGGCCATAGTAGATGACGCTGAGCCAAGTTTCGTTATAGGCTTCTTGTTCACGGCAGGGCTGACTCTGAGTACTATCGTCGGAGCGTTGGGGTACGGCGCTTTCATTACTGGTACCAAGCTGTACGGTAGATACGGTCCGATGGGGATCGGCCGCTTCTGAGACGATACATTGTTGTATTCATTACTGCTGTAAATATATACGATGAACTTCGAATAAGAATCTGTTTGACGCTCTCCACAAGCATGTTCGAGGCAGTCGCCTCGCGAAAGGTCTCATGCGCGCTACAACATACTTCTTGGTATTACTGGATCCGAGCGCTCCTCCAACCCATCCCCGTGTCTTCCCCACTTGACTCAACGAGAAAATCGTTCATCAACCGCATGGAATCAATCGCTTCCTTTTCTCGTCTTCTACCTGGATCGAGACTTATTCCCAAGCGCATAACAGATGAAATCATGATACTTTATGCTTCAGTACGATGCTACTAACTACATCCACGCAGAAGCCCGACCTCACAGCCCGAAACCGCAGCTCACTTCCAAGTTCTGCCCCTGCGTATGTGTCATCCACCGCTCAGATACCGTTCGTAAGCGTGTCAACACAGAAACTTACGGTCATCGAGCCGTTCTCCGCCAAAGCAACTGAATGCCAGCAAATTCCGTCAGTGAACCTCAAATCAGATAGAGATCGGTCGTAATACGCACCGTATAGCATCGCGGCCTCCTCGACGTTGACAAGCTTCCGCAGCGAGTTGCTCTGAATCACTTTCTCGATGTGCTCTTCATCGAATCCCTTGGACCAGTCCGTCATCATCACCCCAGCCGAGACACTGTTCACACGGATATTAGGGGCACAGGCTTTGGCGAGTGACTTTGCTAGATGGATGGTGGCCGCTTTCGAGACAGCTGTTAACTCAATCATGACGTTGTGTCAGTTTCACGCACGCTTGACGAGACATAACTGTACAGGCTCTTACAATATGCCTTGTTCGAGCGCAGCCTCTCTGATCTCAGCTACCGATACTGGAACTACGAGAGTGAGCTTGGACGTACCATGCTACTTCCGCTGGGTTTGATTCCTGCCACGGAGGCCGATATAACAATGCAGCCTAGATGCCCAAGAAAGAGGAATCGCCGGAATCAGTCAACGTGTGGGAGTGCAGGTGAGCAGTCTCACCTTTCGTGCGCTCCAGTGTCTCTCTACAAGCTTGAGACAACCACAAGTGGGACATGACATTGCTTTGGTAGCATTTCCTGAGGCAATCATGTCGTTCTTAGCTTCATTAGATTGGGCGAGCGGCTTGGGACGGGGGCGGCCTTACATCCAGTCATCATCGCTGACAGCCCCTATGATGAATCTAGGAGATGTCAGCACCTTCACTCAGAATATTATTGAAGCAGGACCCCAGGACAACATGCGTAAACTTACCGAGATCATTGAATTCCCCGAATGCGGTCCATCCAGCGTTGGAAATAATTATGTCGAGGTCTTTCATCGTTTCAAGCGTTGTCTACGGGAAGGACACTCGCTGTTTAGCACGGGCGATATACCTTTGCCACAAAGTCTTCTTGCCTTGACTAATTGTTCGATTCCCTCCCGATCGAACGCATTGCCTTGTACGAGAATGTGTCCGGATCCTTCAAGCTGTGATAGTGTCTTTGCCGCGCGTTCGCGGTTGGAAGAATAGTTGATCGCGACTCGTACACCTCTTGAAGCCAACTGTTTGGCGACCGCAGCGCCTGCATCATGGCGGAATCGCTCTAGATCAGTCAGAATAGAATTATTGTCAGAAGACCACGACCTTACCGATGCCGGCGGATCCACCTGCGAAGAACGATGAGGAACATCAGGTCAAAACGATCGTCAACGGCGTGTTTCATTGATGAAGACCTACCGGTTACCAGGGCGGTTTTACCGACTAGAGAAGTCATCTTGAGAGATTCGAGGCGGGTACGAGGTGTCTAGGTTGCTGAACGATGGTGTACGTGGGACAACTCGCATATGAAGCGTTGAGGTGAGCGCTGGGTAGCATGACCTTGCGTGTTTACGTTGTCTGGGCGGTGACGGATGCTATTGAGGCCGGATATCTGAAATCCAGACACTTCAGCTGTCGTTTTGGCGCTTCTCATCTGGTATATCAAGCGAGAAGCGAAGGGACACTCCCGTACTTGCTGGTGTATCGACACGCTCTCCTCGAACCTGCAACCGTAGCATTTAATCATGTCGATTCCCGTATCGTTCGACGCCTCCGACCCGGTATCCGCCAGACGATTCGTCACTGCGCACGATGAGAAAGGAAAGGCCATTTTTAGGTTCGAAAACGAGATCCCCAGGACCGCCACAACAGAGGATCCTGGAAAAAGGGCATTATTTGGAGTCAGCATCCTTCGTTGCAACCAAGGGTCTGCCCCACGGAGCCCAACGTAAACCACTTACCACCGCGTAATCTCCCATAGGTTCCGTGGAGAACGGAGGGGTTCCCCGTAGACAATGACCATGCGAAAGACATGCAGACCATCGGAGGACCTATCTATCAAGAGAATGGTTCGCTGTGCCGATTTGTCGACTTTCCACCTCAAAGCAGCTCCCCCATGCACCGCACGGAAACGTTGGATTACGGTTGGTCGTTTAGCCTTGAGCGCGTAATCCACGTTCCGCCGCTGAGAAGATTTGATTCCTCGCTTAGGCATCGTCATCTACGGTAACCTGGTATTGGAGTTGGACGATGGGGCGGAAAGACTTTTGAAACAGTCTGACGTCGTTGTCCAACGTGGAACGTGAGTGTATCCCATTCGATAGCCCAGTCGGTCGGCGCTCATCTTCGTCCGCTACGTGAACCAGCATCCACGCTTGGCACAACAGGACAGACGACTGGGCCAGAATGGTATACGTTCTCATCCCAGCGGTACCTGTCACCGTCAACGGACAGAAACTATCGGATGTCATGCACGATTGAGCAAGAGAGTTGCGCGATGGACTGGGCGTGCTATCCCAACCTTCTTGTAGAGTTCCAGTGACGAAGATCATCATGCTATAGTGTTGTGAAGATCGCTCGGGGCCATCTGTTACGTCTTGTTGCATGAAGGTCCTTCGTGAATGATCCCCTGGCCCACATCCCCGAAGTTGATTCATCGCAAGGCGACCCCGAGCACAGTGCATTTTGCCGTCATCCTGACTATTTCGCCGACACGCTCGATGGCGCTAAGCAATCTACTGCGCTCGCTCCAATGATCGTCCGCGCGGTAGCGACAGCGCTAAGATACGAAGACCGAGAGCAGGTACAGCAGGAGAGAGACGAAACGCAGCGAACTCCACAGGGTCACAGGTCACGAGCTCTTCTCTCCTGGTAGGATGGAAGCCGGTACTTTGTTTGCATCTAAAAATGGATCAAGTCAATCGCATATATACCATCGGCCATCGAGGGACTTGTCGTTACCGGCGGCTTCGCGAGAACTCTGAGCCGCATCCCGTATCGAGCATCGCCATCGCAATAGCGAGAAAGTCTTCAGTAAACCGACTTTTGCAGCAGCACTGCCACAAACCCCCAGTCGATCTCATCTCATCGAGTTGACGGATCGACTCCTCTTCATATCCGCTTTCACCTCCACCGAAGCCTAAATCAGTCGTCCTCGACCCCCGAGCACGATGAACAAGTATTTCAAACTCCTCATCGCCGCCCTCCTCATAATCTCCGCCGCCATCCAGGCCAAACAGATCGGATACGGCCACCACCTGGCAGTCCCGATCACCACGATCGTACTCCAACTCATCATCCTCGTCTTGCTCGCCGGAAACGAGATCCGGCAATCGGGTTCTGATAAGAACAGGGGACTCGTTTGACCGAGCGGCGACGGGTTGGACCGTTGAGCGAAAGAAACAGAGGGAGCGACGGATATGGCAATTTGAGGCAGGAAGATGTGCTGGGGTGGGTACGATGGAAGCGAAGAATCGGAGAAGACAAAGGGTGATTTCGTGTGCTTTGTAACGCAGTCCGGCGTCGGTCTGTTGTATTGTTGTGAATGCGGCGATGAGCTGGTCGTTCCATTATAATATTTTTCCTATGCTCAGGATCCCCTAGGTCTCTCTTCCGCTTGTGCAGAACCCAGTCTGGCCCTCGTGCCGCACTCGAGGATCACGACAGACCGGAGAAATTTCCGTCCGGACGAGATGTTACACAGACAGGTGTCGCTCGAGCGAACAAGCTGAAGCGAAGTAGAGTATTGCGCGACAGAGGCTAGAGCGATCTCGGTTGCTGCTCGAGCTGTCGGATCTTTCGATACCAAACCACGGCTTCTTCCATCCAGGGGTCCCTAGGCGGTTTACCCCCATACCAACTCTGCTCCCGGACAGCGACATTGCACTTTGTCGGTAACAAGGCGCAAAGCCACATGACGAAGTCGAAGGTACTCGTTCCAATTCGGTTTGTTGGAAACTCCACTTCGATTTGGATTTCTTCCAGGTTTGGACAACCAGCGCAAAAGCCGGTGATGTTTTGCTGACTGGCGATCTTCCAATCGCTTTGGGCCTTAAGTGTCACCTCTATACGGCGTAGCTGAGGCACGTCCCACAAGAGGATCATCTCCAGTTCAGCACCATTTATTTCAGACAGGTTCAATTGGACAAGTGACGGAGACATCAGTCGATGCAGGAGATGCACGTCCGACTCCGGAGCTCGCGAACTGGTAATGATCCTCAGGCTCTTCAAGCCATCGCGGAAGGTTGATACCTCGCTAATCAGCTCGGCCCATTCGCGCTGATTCTCAATAGCATACTCTTCCTCGTCAGAGTCCCATTCTTCCGGATCGACCATGCCTTGGTAGAGCTTCAACGAATCCAGAGTTGTCTCCATGTTTGCAGCCAAGCCTTTTGTGTAAGAAAGCCCGCCATACTCAAGAAACTCGGCAGCAGATTCGATTGCCAACGAAAGTTGATTCCACTTTCCGCTCTCATCTCGCTGAGCGTGATAGTCGCCGAAGCTGGTGGTCCAGGCATACGCTCTCAGGTTGGGAAGCTGACCGATCAACAATTCGAAGTTTGGGAATTGCTTCGAATCGAGATACATCCATATTTCGTCCCGTATTCCCTCGTCCCGTAATCCCGAGATTGCGCTCCGATATGTTTTATCACGCAAGCGCTGTGCTGCAGAATTACGTGTATTCCGATCTTCCGAGAACAGAAAGTGTCTGCACCAGTAGGAATCTTCCTCCGAAGCACCCTTCGCGAGAATGTGAGTGCTCGCGTGACGGTACATCTCCCGAGCGGCAAGATCGAAATGAAGTTGACTGGCCGTAAGACAGTTGAGCAGCGTACCTTGCCAGCAGAAGGAGTAGATATGGGCCATGATCTCGTTGGGCAAGAGCTGCTCCGCTTGAGGATCCAGAGGAAGTGTATATGGAGCTACGAACAAGCCGAAACCAAAACGGCCATCAGGAGGTGTTCAAGGACGTCATGCGGAGTCGGAATTGACAACTCACCATCGTGCATTTTGTCCAAATCGGCCGAGGTCGGTTCGACCTGCTCCTGTTGGACTTCTCCGAAGGTCGTACTGGTCACTGTGGTATCGTTCGGAGAGTCCATATTGGAAGCTTTAGCGTCTTGCTCAGCTGTCATGAAGATGTGTTGATGGCCAGAGGTCGTGAAAGAGCTGTTGTGATCGTCCAAACCCGCAAAAAGCGACCATGAGCACGGATCAGCGTCACTGAATCCAGCTGGTCTTACGTACTATTGGTCCAGTTGATCGAAAGCGATCACTTCGTGGTTCCCCAGGTAATTGGCTGGAGCGTTTGATGATGAAAGCGATCGATGCTATTGAAAGGATGCCAACATTTTTTTTCGATTGTCAGCCGACTTCAGTTATATAGGTTTGATAGAGGCTATCATCGACAGTCATCTTATAACACGTACGATCTCTCCTTGTTTAGGCACAAGTCGTTTAGCTAACTGTGTTGACTGGGTTGTACAGACATATGAGTTCAGCTATTACGCTACGATGAACCTTCGGACGTGTCGCGTTCGCAAAAAGGTGACTTACTCTGCCAAACCGGGCCCTTTCGACTCGTTTCAATTCACACAGCTAACTCGAGATAGGCTAAATGATCGATTCGGTGAACGACTTGCTAAACAGGATGGCCAAGAGGCTTTAGTCCTTACATTGACTGATATGATGAACAATTGAGCAATTGATCAAACAATCACATCGAACCCTAGGACCGAGACAGAAGATCGGAAGCATATTTCGTTCAAGTCGGAAGCAATCTGAAATCGCATGTCGAGCGATGCCGTGCGAGCTATAGGTTATAGCTGCATCTATCATTCTATACAGCATGCTCAACTACCAATGATAACGACCAAGATTATCAGCCGTCCATTACGGCATCGTATCTCTTATGTCGGTAGTCCATGCGGTCGTTATCGCTCGAGGTGTCTTCGCCAGAAACCTGACCATACCCCCTGAGCAGGCTTTCTGTAATCCAGCCATCGCACCTTCGGCCGGTCCCCTGAGTTTCAGGATATTCCTCATACTGATGCCTTTTATCGATGTCCCCTGATCACGCTGTCGCATGTCATCCTTTGTCCTCACTTCCAGATCACGCGATCGGCGCTGATACCTATAAAGACCAGGACGGTTCATAATCAGTACTGGTAGTCGACTGAGCTAACAGTCTGGGTGATTCACCTCGAATTCTCTTATCCTGGACTTGAAATCATGTGGACTGACTCCGTCTTGCCTAGCCCTACTGTTCAGTGTCCAGGTAAGTAGCAGCACGAACATCGAACAGGCTGGTACTCACCTTGACCCCTTTGAGAAACAGCTAAAGCTGTCCGCCCGATCCACCCTGGCGAGACGGTCCACACCTCTGCCAAGCGGCGCCAGCAGTTCGGCAACCTGTACGAGGAACACCTTTACTTTCTTCGAGACGTCTCTCGAGCCACCCGAGTGCGGGCCGCTGATCACGCTGACATCGACGGCGAGGAAGACGAGGAGACCGCCTATGTCGACCTCCGTCCCCGGTTCGCGGAGCTACTGAGCACATCCCGCCAGATGCTTCAACACGACGAACTCGAACTCTTGTACCCTCGGTACGAAGCCTGGGTCCAGGCATCTCAAGGCGTTCTGGACGGTGAAGACGAAGCTCGGGTGTTCAACGATCTCTTGGCCGAGTGGAACCCGGTCTTGCACGGGATCAGCCATCTTGAGGGCGGGTTCGAGGTAAATGAGGCGGCCGAGTTGGTCAAGCAAAAGTGGGACGAGTTGATTTGCAAGCGGGGAGTCGGGAGAGAGTGATGACGTTTGATTGATGGGTGATGTTCGGGAATACTTGTTGTTAGTGGATGTTGTTGGTATCGAAATCCAGATGAAAGCAAAGCTGAGATTTGCCGCCTGTCCGGCATTCATACGGGTTGTGTAGTTGATGCTTCGGTACCGTGATCTAAATATTGCCAGTATGGACATTGATCCCACCCAGCTTTCCGGCGTCGTCCTAGCTGACCTCTTTACGGGTTGTCCCAAGCATTGACGCCTAGATTGCTAATTTCTGCTGAGGCTCCGTTCTCGCTTTCCAGCCACCGTAGCAAACGATTCTTCCGCTCTTCTCTTCGATCCATAGTCCGTTCCACACACACTGAGAGCACACTGTTGGCTGATGTCTTCCATGAGAGCCCATTTCTGATTCCCGAGTCTCAATCGCTCGATCGTGATATTCTGTTACTGCACTTGATAGCCCTGGTTCCAGACCGACTGAAAATCCGTGGAACAAGGTATGTCTCCTATATCATATCTCACATAGCTGAAACGAAAGGTACTGTAACATAGGAAGAGTCGTCGGCGAAAATCAGCTTGAGTTCGACATCGACGCTATGAGACCTCATCACATGTCCTCGCTTGTAACTCACCAACTAGACTCTACCACGACCTACCGCACTACCAGTAATCACCTCGCCATACCCCATCCCGAACCGCTCTCACGATCCCAACCTATCACACCTTCCCCGCAACTTCCTTCTTCTTCACCTCAACCTCCCCTCGCTCCTCAACAATCTTCCCCACTCCCCTTCCACCCATCTCCATCCCCAGCTCCATATCCCGCCTCTCTAGACCTTCGACGACCCCCTTCCGATCCGCCTCCGAGATCTCTTGGCTCATCTTCCACTTCCCTTCCAACCGGGTGATCTTGATCTCGATCCCGATGATCGCGCGTTTGAGTACGTTGATATAAGGGGTGGGTGCGTCGGATACTTTCCAGCCTTCTTGATGCTCGTCGTCTTTATCTCCGTTCTGCGATCGAGCTTGAGATCGAGGGTGAAGGTGTTTCGCTTCGCTCTCCCTAGTCAAGTTGTCCACCTGTTCATCCAGAAACTCCCCCGTCCCCTCTTCGCCCTGAGCGTACACCCGGATCTTCCCATAGGCGGCCACACTAGCGTAATCCCATGTCGGTACGACCTTTCCAGTAGCGGGCTTGGTCGATGTATAGAAAGAGGGCGAGATGTAGGCGTTCTGAGGGGCTGTGAAGAGCACCATGACATCCCGCTCCTCGATCACCCCTTCGTTGTTGTCGTTCTTGTTCGCCTTCGAATTCGCCAGCTCGACGAGGAGTTTAGCTTGAGGGTTCTGTCTGGCCATATGCCCTTGCAGTACCCCCAGCTCGGTCTCGCTCTTGGGATCTTCCACGTGCAAGACCCATGGAACATGAGTACTGTGAAGTTGTCTGTCCGAGGATGTACCGGTAGGGTCGAAGGCGGTGATGAGGATGCCTAGTTGGGTCTTGTGGATGAGCGAACGGAGGGTTGGGATATCGTGTTCGGCGTGGATCGGGCGAAGGTACATCTTGTATGATGTTGCGAAATTGTCAAGATCTCTTTTGGAGTCTGCCTCGTGAGTATCACTACAAGCTACAGGTGGGACTTCTGCAATATGGCTTTAGATAGTGATAGAACGAGTCGAGACGTGGTCGAGTCATGCGTCCTTGTACGAGGTCGCGAGTCATATAATGCACGTTCCCGGTAAGATGATCGACCGAGGGTAGGGTGACAATTATCTCGTGCAAGAATCCTGTACAAGTTCTGAGATACTCTCCTACTCGGGACAGCACTAGATGCAGGATCAGTACACATGCCCCGCAATACGAGCTGGACAGAGATTTAAAGACATACAGAATACGGCCGCCGTCACCACTCTCAAAGCCAACCTCGTGACGATAATCAATCAATCATACATGTATACAAGTAGTGTCACAATCTTCACAATACTCACAATCCTCGCAATCTCTCACATCTATATCCCCCAATCGATCGCTGTTCGTTAGATACTATTCTCCTTATCATGTTCACCCAAGCCGACGCCGAGATGCTCGTCAGAGTTCTCACCTCCACTCAGGACGTCAATCAAAATCTGACCGACGTCAACACTCTCAAAGCCAACGTCAACACTCTCAAAGCCGACATTGCGACCCTCAAAGCTGACGTTGCGGCCATCAAAGATCAGAACAAGGCCACCGATAAGAAGTTGGACATCACAAAGACCCTCAAAGCCGACATTGCCGCTCTCAAAACTGATATGAAGACCATCGAAGATCAGCACAAGGCCACCAACAGGAAAACGGACAAGATGATGGTGATCTTGGTTGACATCAGGAGTAGTATTGCTGTACAGAAGCGTATCAATAAACAGGTGATCAGGATTCTCTTCATCTGAACAAATGTCCGGCCTTTGCCATTCTGTCCGCCTGTCCGCCTGCACCCTCCCGGACATCTTTCCGTCTATGCCATTCTGAATAACTCTCCGTCTTCGCCGTTCTGAACGTCTTTCTGCCTTCGCCATCGTGTCTAGATGAGGGACAACCGTATCCTCGGTCTCGTCAACAACACCGCAGGCAAGGGGAAAGCTTGGATCCCCCTCAGCACCCGCTGATAGACACAAAGTCATGGTAGCTAGCTTAGATGCGGCCCAGTGCGAACCCTCGCGCTGTCCCTGCGTTTCAGCCTGGAACAGGAGCTGAAACAGGACGCGTTGGAGCAGAGAGACAAAAGAGAAATGGCCATCCTCCATGAAGTCCAGTTGAATCTTCCCAGCCCCTTAGCATCTATCAAGGAGAACCTTTGCACGTTTCCAAGTTGGACTAGCATAAAACCCCGAATTTGAATCGACGTAAAACCTGGAATATATCATGAACACAGGTTGTAACTCCTTCGAACGACTATCAGATCAATCTTTCAACCGCTTGTCTCACTCATTGATCATCAACGTCAGCTATGAAGTACTCTTGTTACATTACCCTCATCGCCCTGGTGGCGCTCGGGGTCAGAGCCGAACAGCAATATTGCGATGGAGCGGAAAAGGATCCTACAGGCGCACAAATGACCGATCCATTTGCCGCTTACCAGTCCGCCGGTTTGACTTTCCCAAACGGTGTAAGCCTTCGATTGGCGAATCATCTCTTCCCGGCTTAAGAGAACCAATATCGATTGACGCGAGATGACTCATGGTACATCAGACCGATGCTAGCGGGCAACATACTGTGCTCCCGGATCTCAAGACGGTCCTGGGAAAGACGTCCATGGTGGATTGTTTTAAGGAATGTCAACTGCTCCAACCTCCAACAGACAAGGTTGGAGACGATCTCGATAAGCAATACTGTATGTCATGAAGCCACGGCTCTCTTCCGTTCAGACCGTGACACTCAGATCCAGACCTGTGTTTTCCTGGGCTTTGATCTGGATTCCTACCTGACGCATCATGAAGCCCAAGAGTATTGCCGAGGAGTCAGATATTGGGAGTTTCCTAAACCGGAGAACAACAAGTGTTTCCTCATGAAAGTCGCTCCTACCGAAGTCAGACCTACCAATGGGCTCGGCAAGACTCTAGGTTTCTTCGGAGGGGGGATGATCGGGAAATGCTCCGATAAAGGAGCCAAGGATCTCTCGGGTGAGTCTTCGACATGTTCCTTTTACAAGCGAGCGGTTCCTGATATGATAGAATCCATCCCTTTGGATAGAGCGAAACGGTGTTGGGTGTTGCGAGATCTGGTTGAAGTAAGGTCGTCGTATTGAGAGATACGTATAGATAATGGGCGCTAGTCCGGCCTCCAACATGAAAATCAGGCTCGTACCACTTGAATACAGACCCGTGTCACTTGTACACGAGACATCCGCTCTTTTGGCTGAAGTTTCTGAAGATGATTAGTTGGACAGGAAGTAAGAGGCTATGAAATCTGGAAACGACAAGTGGTCATCCCCGCCATCCCGTTCAGGTTGAGATTCATGGTTTGGTCAGACGCTTTGAAATCGATCGTGCTCTAATGGAAAACCGCATCTACTTGAATGTCATCCATATACACCTCCGTAACCCCAGACAGCCCTCGACAACCCTTAACAAGCTTAACAAGCTTCAGAAGTCTTGACAAACTGAATCTATCGGCTGAATTGGAAACCAGTATTGGTGCACGTAAAAGGCCTCTTGATCGGCCCCGCAGCGTAATTATCTCGGATCGACTTGATACTGGCGTAAGTACCGGCAGTAAATAGGAAAACACCTGCAGCACGACACAAGCATGAGTTTGACTGTCACCGTATTATGCGTCGATGTATATGTGACTTACCGGCGATAAACAGGATGATGCAAAGTACAACCTGCGAGGCATGCTTGGGGTCCTTCAAACTTCGTCCTCTGCTCATTCGGAAGTAGGCGATGGGCCAGAGGATATAGCCAAACCAACTCGCAAACAGGGCGCTGACTACGAGACGATTGGAGTCAGCTTAGAGCGTAAACCTTACCATGTAATGTGCGACACTGACTCAATGATAAAAGGTCCCCAAAAAACGGTACTGCTCGTAGCCAGAGACATGACATCAGCTCGGACCTCCAGCAGACTGGAAGCTTTCGCATCCCGAACTCACCGGCTTCAGCCAAGATGAACGCGACGATCCAACCGGCCGTGACGATTCCGAACCAAACGAGCCATCCGACACGAGTGTGCCTGCGTCGGTGAACAGAACCTTCCTTGTAGATCTGGAAGAATACCGCTCTGGAAGTTACGAGAGAGAACAGCGAGCCGACGATAAGCTATGGGTGGGATGAGGCGTCAGTAACGGAGCGTCTGAAAAGGTACCCGTTTAAGCTTACAATCGTCGGAAGAGCCAAGCCGGCCGCAGCTTTGCCCAAGTGTTCGGTCAGACTTCCATAAGCCGGACTGACAGTCAATTCTGTGCCTACAGACCGAGGCTTTCCTATTAGCTCTCATCCCGCCACGGTAACGACATACCCCGCAACTTACCAGTCTTGACATACACGACGGCGCCGAGTATGGTAAAGAGCACGATCTCGATAGCCATGGTGATGTAAAGTGCTGTCGGAAATTGTGATGGATCGCGCATGTCACCGATATAGCTCGGGATGAGCGGATGACCAATGAACGAATAGATGATGTTCAAGACGGCGTTGATTCCCTTGATCGCAGTGGTTCCCTTGGGAGCCCACATGGTCCAAGCCAACGAGGTGTCCGGATAATATTGATTGGGCTTGTCCTGCACGACATGACCTGAAACGTCGAACGCAGGTACGGGTTAGCAAAGAGCATATCGGGCTGATTTTACGGGCCACACAATCACTCACCAACGATAACGAGGATGAAACACGCAAACATAGTGCCCGCACTCAAGGCTGCCGCTGGACCCGCTTTTCTGAAACCACGCACGAGGGATCCCGCGTACATGATCCCGAACGCCGTTAGACCCCAATAGACTGAGCAGAACGTATGACCCAGCGTACTGATAGCCGTTTGAGCTCCATTCACATGGACGGCCATGACACCGAGATTGTTCAATGCCAAGCCGATGAATCTGTGTTCAAAACAGTGTCGTCAGTGATGCGTACATGCTCACTCGATGTATACGTAGAGATATCAAACTCACGCTAGGTACCACGCCAGCCTACTCTTGCCAAACAAGTGATAAGCCAAGTCACACAGGTCTCGGACTTCCCGATGAACCATGCAAAACCTCCAAAGAATATGTACCGAGTAGATGGTGGTAAAACCTACTATCAAGCAGGTGATCAAGCCTCCAGCGAGTCCCAATATGGCGAAACTCCATGGGAATGCCAGCACGACGACTGCGATAAACTGCACGAGCAGAACGCACACCGTCTGAAAAAGCGTAAGCGCGCGCTCCTTGATCTGAACTTTTTCGTCGAGATGTGTCGAAAACTCGTTTGGATCGCGTCTGGGCCTAGGAAGATCTTGGAATCGAACCGGCTCGATGGCGATGTCGGCTGTCAAGGGTGGTTGCGGTACGAGCTTGATCTTCGGGCCCTTGTGCACTGTATACAGTTTAAGTGGCAGGTAGGTGAGTAAGGACTAATTTTCGACATGCACAAGAAATATGAGACCACTCACTTTTAAAAGGCAATCCCGACATCTCCTTGTTATGAGGGGGAGCCTGATTCATCGGGAAAATGTGATAGTATAGAAGAGGGTCGTCAACCCAAAAGGTGTTGCTTAGGGTTTAGGAGAGGATGGAAAGGGAATACGATAATGTTGTGGAAGAGTTGTTCCGAACCAGAATGCCGCGATATTGCGTTGAGTCGCCACGAAACCCGTCGACTCTTATACCTAAGGCTTTATGTGAGGAGCCTCTAACACACACAACCTTCCGCGACGATCCTTTGTACCGATGGTGCAACAGTATTCGCGCGTATTGCGACATCGAGGAGATCGAGGAGGCTGTGCCCGCGCATGTCGCTTTCACTCATGGGTGTTGCTTCTCGAATCTTATCCGAGGGTTTGAGAGGGGTTCGAGAGCCAGAGGGAGCTCGGAGTTTGTTGAAAAGAGGAATCAAGCCACAGCTAAAAAGCCACCGGAGAAGCAACATGGGCGTACTCCTTGTGATGAAGATTCACAGTTTCACCGTCCTCTTCCTTTGTTGAGTCACGATTCTCCCTGCCGTAAAAGCGCCCGAAATGACCTGGCTCTCCTCTTACGCCGCAGTGATCCGTCCGTGTACTATAGGAAGATCCTTTGTGGGTCAACCGTTGACCATAGATAAGAGATCTCCCTGATTCTCCCGCCTGGAAGCCCGCTCGGCGACACGTTCGTCCTATGTATGATCGTCTGGACGCGAGTCCTCACGGGTAAATAGAGAATTGCCAGCCATGAATCTCCCATATGACAGGACTGACAAGTCAGTAGTTCTCTTCGAGGAGTCATCACGCACCGCGCTTCGTAGTTTCCGATCACCTGCTTCTCACATGATTGGCCTACTTTGCTATCTCCAACCGAATTGCATCTCCGAAATACGAAACCCGGGAATCGGGAGAGGCGGAGACCTTCAGACCCAACCTTTCTCCATGATGAAGAATCATGTTCATGCATATCCTTCCGCACGAGTCGCTTCGCCTGGTTGTTCCCCGAACGGTATGGTACAAGCCTCCTCTCTCATCCCGATATTCCCGATCTTCCGCTCTGCAGATGATCGTTCCCGTTGACAGTCTATTGAAGGGCCACGCGCATCGGATAGCACCAGCCCCTGCGATTCCTGCCTTGAATTCGCAACTTCCGATTTTCGAATGAGTAATCGATGATGAAGAGCCGTCTCGTTCGTGTGTTGGCGAGAATGACCAGACTGAACGGTGATCCAGGGCAGCTATTTCATTATGTCGATCCTGGCCTGAGCTGACGGTAGGCGCCACTCGGAGGCGTCCTCTTCAGTAGCCTCCCTTTTGTCCTGTTGCTTGAAATCCAATCTCTTGTCCCCTGACCCTTTCCCATTGGACCCTCTCGTTCACATAGATTCCTCTTGTGCGCCAGCACAACCGCCTGTTCCCGTTCTCAACTCGTCCCGTCCTATCGTCCCCCTTGTCCAAACTTCGATTGCGCCATCTGCCTGAACATGGCCATCGTCTCATCATCCTTCGCCTTCATGCTCTGTAAGCGATCTGACATGGCCGCCCGACGGTCATTGACGACGTCTGAGCGGCGGTCTTGTTTCCTAGCTTTAGCGGCTTCGCGTTGTGCCAACCTGTAATAGGAACCAGAAGTCGGGCGAGATCGGATGATCAGTTTTGATTTGACCAACCCGGATTGGTCTGCTCTTGTAGAAGAAGAAAGCAAGCACATATGCCATGTCTTTGGGACTCACGCTTTCTGGAAATCGTTCCCCCCACCCATCAAAGTCGCCTCATCCACCTCTATGCCCGCACTAGCGTCTTTTTCCCTATACATCCTATTCTCGGCATTCGTCGCTCTTCTCTCTTCCATCTTCCCCTCCCGCCCCCCGGTTTTGGGTACGAGCTCTTCCACCCTTCCGTAAAGCTTGTTCCTTTCGGCTTTCCGAGCTTTGAGGGATTCTTCCCGAGCTTCTTCCAGGGCTAGTTGTCGGTCCGCAGGGGTCTGGTTGCTTGAAGATGCCGAGAATGATAGTGCTGTGGATGGCATCGAAGGTCCAATCGTTCTGCCAGCGGAAGGTAACGAAGGTCCGATAGCACCTTTCGAGGTCGACATAGGCCCGAGCCCACCTCCACCGTTCGTCATCTTGTCCACATCCCCTCTCAGCCTCTCCAATTCGTTTTTATCGACCTTGGATCGGTTGTTCGCGAAAGACCACTTGTACCCCGTCTGAGCTGACGCTGCGACCGAGGTAGAGGCTAGCGGACGGTAATATTTGGGTGGGAGGACGAGGTCGTTCCATCGTGATATGAACTTCTTGAAATATCTGTGATCAAGCGAGTAAGAAAGATGATGTCAGCTTATAAGTACAGACACATATTTGAGAATCGGAGCAGAAAAAAGAGGGCGAGCTGACTTACTTGCGAGACTTGTCCCCGGAAAGGTCGTCCAGATACTGTTCAGAAACAACGCAGATGAGCTTACGACCAATCATAGTCTGTCCGGCATTGATGTTTCGGTTTACCTTTCCCTTTTCCTCACGTAACCAAGCCTTGAACTCGGCAGCCTTCAAGCTGTTCAGCGTAATGGGAGGATACAATCAGCTATCAGACCTCGCTTGACAGATCAGGAGCAGTTCCCGGGACGGAAAAGACCGACTCACAAATAATCATTCGTCGTCAACTCCCTCTGCCCAACCTCGTCCAGGCTTCCAATCGTCTGTTCTTCTTTCCTACCCCGATCCTCCTTATCCTCGTCTTCATATCGATCACGGCGATCTCTTGATCTCGATCTTGACCTTGACCTATCCCGATCCCGATCTCGTCTCTTGCGTTTGGAGTCTCTATCCCGTTTACGATCCGGAGAACGGGAGCGGGAGCGTGAACGATCTCTAGGCATGCTTGAAGTATCTGTAAGGCCGCTACTATTTTTGTAGCTGGAGCTGATGCTGTATGCGATTCAAGAGTGATTGCAGCAGGTGTAGCAAAGACAAGGACTTACTACTAGCTTTTGGCGATGTAGCGATCTTGCTGGGGGACTCGATTACGTAATCACACCTCTGACGTCAAGAACGATATTTGAAGAGCATATTCAAATCGCAAGTCAAGCGCAATCACTTCGTATGGCAGAGCAGGATAGCATCACAGTGTAATCCAAACCCGAGAATTATAATATAAAACCAAACAGTGTGATCCGAGAATTATAAGTGCCACGACGAGACGAATACAAATGGTACCGGTGGAAAAAACCCAGTGGGAAAAACCGGTACCCCTAACTACGATAACCAAACCGAAACCCGAGCCCGAATCAGAACCAGAAAGTGTCCATTCCCCGAGGGAAACACGACGTCGTGTATAGTCGGTTGCCCCCCCTTCGCATCTCCTCCTCTCCTTTACGTATCTTCGCGTGGTGTTGTTGTATCGAGGTGACGGTATCCCTTGTCCGACCCGTTCGTGTATATCCGGGATGTCGGCAGGTCACCATGACCGTAGGCGATCCAAGCTTCGACCCGTGACAAGCCAGCGTAGCGAGTCACCGAGGTCGTGTGAGTATGCTCTCCTTCCATCGACTCCTTCCCGTCAACCTATTAAGAGAAACCCCAAGACCCGTCTTCACGCCCAAACCGAAGAACTCACCTCCCCGAATCCGGAGAATATCGTCCCTTCCCTCGCACCTTGAACGCCAACATGATCACCCTCCCCAATGTAGGACCCGCGGAGACGTCCTCAGATCCGAGACCGACTTGTACCTGTAAAATGAGGGTCCCCAACGCCATTCAACGGAACGACCGCCGAGTCTAGGATTTGTGCCCGGTTAAGGGGACCCTCTACAGCAAGTGGTTTACCCGGATCGTTCTTGGACGTCCGTTGGGTCCCGTGAGAAAGGCAAAGGTCGGCGTGGTGGCAGGTCCGTTTCGATGTTCTCCGGCCGGGAAGGCGAGGTGGAAGGTAATGTGGAAGACTGATAGCGATCGCTCGCAGGTCCCAAGGCCCGGCTTCGAGGTCGGAGCTTCTGTACGAAGAGCGGTGGAATAAGGGTAGTCTGTTGAGAACAAATGGGGAAGGGGAGACGAAGCGAAGGTAAGCATATGAAGTAGCGAAGAAGACGAAGCTCGAGATGCCACCGATTCGGACCGGCGGGACTTACTGTTTGAAGCATGGATAACCCGCTTCGTGAGCACAGCCCACTTAGAACTCGTCCTCCTCGTCCTCGTTGACCTCAGCGACGGTGTTCATGTTGGCCAAAGCCTCTCGGAACAACCGCTTAGGCGTGGGTCGAGGCATGTCCCTGTCGAAAGTGCTTTCCTTGACGTTGCAGGTGGACCTCTTGGCCCTCGCATACCTGGAACCTCGGGCGGGAGCGTCGGGGCAGATAGGCGCAACCTCGGAGGCGGGCTCGCAGACGTCCTCGACCTCGGTAGCGATCTCGGGAGCTGAAGCGGTAGAAGCACCCGTTACGGCTGAGAATCGCTCGGCGTAGTCGGGGAAGAATTGGACGTTGTCGAACAAGTGTCGGTAGAGTTCGTAAGCAGCGCCAGGAGTGTTGTTTCGAACCGCGATCTCGAGTCGTTCGGCTTGTTGTCGGACGTCGCGGCACTGTTCGGCCTCCTTCTTGTCGGCGGCCTCCTGCTTCTCGATACGGACGTTGGTGATCCAGTTCTCGGTCATGTCCTCGTCGGTGACCTCGTGGTGAACGATATCGTCCATGTGAGGCATGGTACGGTGGGTGTTCAGTCCCTCCTCGATGCGGACAGTCCTCTCCCTCGCATCGAAGTCGTAGTCCTCAGGAAGCTCCTTGCGAACGATAGGTTGCTTGCCTAGCATAGACCTCTCCTTGTTGATGACGTCCAGGTCGACGAGGTGCTCGTTGATCTCGGTGTAGACGTCGGTGTGGGTCTGCGATCCGGACGACGAAAGGAAGGTCGGGTCAGCGATCGGACATGACGTCGAAGAACGCGGAAACGGGCTGGCTCGGGCTGACTTACGGGACGGTTCTGTTGTCATATCGATAAAGTACGAAGCCGAGGATGTAGAAGAAGAAGGACGGTGCACGATCAGTACGATATTCGTTGTATCGCTTGTGTTGATAGGCGAAAACTGACCATCACGTCCTCGGCCTGATCGAGCTCGAACGAAAAACAAAACAACAAACCCGATGACGAATCACCCAAAGTCAGCGGATCCGACCTATGACATTCTGGGCTGGAGAAAGACGACGGGAACTCACGGTAGCATAACGACCAGTCTTGACCCTCAGGGCGCTCTTGATAGGTTCAGCGACCCTGTGTTGAGGGACCGAAGCCCATCGGGTCTATATCGAAGATGAACAAACGATCGCGCCAAAAAGTCGGATCAGCGAAAAACGATCCAGACCGGAATGTTGCGACGACGACGACGACGACGACGACGACGACTCACCTCTTCAGGGCATTCGATCTGCTCACGACGAGGACCGGCGACGATCCTGATGACGAGGGGTCGAGGCTGGGGGATGATCCTCGCCTTGTCGGTCTCGGCGGCCTTGGTAGCACGTCGAGCCTTGATCCGGGCCAAGAGCGAAGCCGAGTCGACCTTAGCGGTGGCGGCGACGTCCTCCGAGGTGACCTGAGCACGTCCTTGGACGGCGGGAATGACGATAACGGGGAGGTTCTTCTTGCCCTTGACCGAAGCGATCGCAGACTTGAGAGAGGTAGAGATGGAGGATTTGAGGGTAGGGGCAGTAGCGTAAGAAGACATCTTGTTAGCAGAAAAAGGTTTTTTAGTTGTGCGTGTTATGTTTTTTTGGGTGCTTGGTAGCGTTCAGAAAAACTTAGCAAATAGCAGAAGAAAGTTTCACAGATAGTTCAACGATGAGGAAAGGAGAGAAAGAGGTGGGCAATGGTAGTCTGATAGTTTGCAAGTCGAAGTCGACTAGATATGTGGTCGAGGGGCGAGGGGGGAGGGGTCGAGGGGGGGTCCAAGCGCGATGAACGCGTCGCGTCACTCGACCGTGTTTGATTGAACAAGCTGACGATGCGCTTAGGGAATGACGAGCGTCGCAAGTAGGCGCAGTCCTCTCCTGCTCCTGGAGGAAGAGCACAGAGCTCCGACCCGCCTCCTATGACGTCGAGTAGATGTTCAACCTCGACTATCTTCGCACGCGCATAGAAACCAGAGGACCAGGTACAGGAGGGCTAAGTCATTCCGCCATCGTCGTCATCGTCAATCATGGGCATCCAGCCATTTCCCTGTACCATGCCTCGCATCCCAACGTCGTAGTCCGAGACGCTGCCACAGTTCCGCTCCATGTATCAAACAGTATTCTACATGCGCCCTTGCTCGCGCGTACCCTGTAACACTAAGCGCAATAGCAAAATGAACGTCGAAATCGAGCTCGAGGTTCAGGTCATCGTCCAGCCCGGATCGTCAGTCCTCATCAAAACGTCTGGTATTTCCTCGCACATCCATGATATAGACGTATAAAGATGACACAAAGAAGGCGAGCGATAAATGATCTTCTCTTGCCACCATGGCCGATACGGGCGTTTCATGTGATTTTACTTGTAGACGAAACTGTCGCTGAACCAGCGCGCGCTGTGATATGGAACTCGATCCCCATGACACTTTCGATACAGAATTGACGATCGCATTGTCCCAGTCCTCTTACCGATCGTGTCTTGAATATGTACCGCTGACGAAAACTTCGATTACGAAAGTACTGCGGAAGATGCTCTGCGTTGTAGTGGTCTTCGACGTGAAAGAAAGATGTAGTTGATCTGCGATACTTTGACCTGTCAAGGAATATCAAGGAGATTTAATGTGAAGGGATGAACGGACCCGGAAGTGATTGTTTGGAGACTGAGTATCGGCGGCTGGTGAGATAGTCGATGATCAGTGGCATCGCGGACATGCTACGAGAATCTCTTACACCTTTCTTTCCAGATATCACTCGGAAGGAGCTGAACCGAAATACCGCTTGAATTTGCTGAGGATCAACCTCGTGCTAAATCTGCTTACCCCTCTTGAGGTCGATATCTTTTGACGAACTTTCCTCGCGCAGTTACGCAGTGTTCCGACGGATTTCCCCGAGGTTACGTGTTGGCTGACTCTCACTTGGCTACTCGGTATATCCCCCAACGCCAACGAGGACAAGGGAAAAGTACAGTGATACATCAGTTCGAAGGAATGGCATACCTTGAAGAGAGTGGTAGGGCTGCACTCGACCTGTCGCTTTTGCCTCAAGAAATATGTCAGATGGTGGGCAATGTATCCATTGACAAACAGGAGCTGTACGGTTACCGCCTCCACATCTGTGATTATCAGATTGGATTATGCAAATATGTGCCCCTCCTCCGACTCCTCTAGTTGACTTCCTGTTCCTTCTGATTCGACACCTGACCGTGAAGGTATTGCAAGACGGATTAATGACAACCTTGCCCATGGGGCTGTAATAGAATTTCCGGATATCCAAAGACTTGTCCAAAAGGGATTGAATTTAGAAACGATGATCCCGTAAGGCCCGTAATCAATCGGTTAAGTAGTGTACAGACCTAATCCTCTAAGGCTCCCCAGGTCGAAGAGACGATCTAAAACTTGGAGAGGTGAGAAAAGGTATGAGGTGATCTGATGAAGAGATGGGCGGAGGTCAGCCTAAGCCTTTCGAAGTTGCACCAAATGGCGCGAGCAGTAAGGAGTTGATCAAGCTATAAAAGATACACTTGAACCGCAGAAATCGGGAAGGTCGATGAACCTTTGGAAAATTCAGCTTTCCTGTACTTATGAGCGTTTCTGTTACCCTATGTTCTGGACAGCCTGTCGCTTTCGAGTCGGACTAACAAATTTGAGTAGGACGAGAGCGAGACATGCTGATGCTTTGCTGGTGTACCGGTGTGTTGATCTTACAAAGTGGTGAAATGGTGATCCAACATGACCAAAAAATGGAGGAGGCCGAGGAGGAGGAGAAGTTTACAGAACAGACTCGACCTGCGACCCGCGACTTTGACAACAGACACGACAACCCCTAACCCTTCGTCTGTCGCTCCTTCTGCTCCTTCTCCCAGTTGCGTGCCAATTGGGTCGCCGAGAAACTCTTCTTGTACTCTTCAACAGGCTCGGTGGAGATTCTGAGAGGTTTGGTTTTCTAGACGACAATATACAATATCAGACCTGCAACGCCGACAGAAGTTGTGATTCGTCCCGCCAATCGCAATTCGTCCCCGATCGCAATTCGTCCTCAAATACTCGACATTGCGACTCGTCCTGCAACTCACCTTAAACCCCGGGCTGTCATGAATCGTCTCGTCGTTGCTAGTCTTGCACTGAGATCTTCCGCTTCTTACTTTTTTGGGGGTTTGGGGTGGTCGAAGTCGTGCTGGCCGTGCCAGAAGACAAAGACGAGAAGGTAGAGGTGGAGGTGGATCCGGGAAAGGACCCCGATTACGATCCTGAGGTTTCGTCCGACGACATCTCCGATGGAGAGTTTTTCAAAGGTTGCGAGTAGAGGCGGTGTGTGATGATCGACCTAGGGTAGACGCATGAGGCCAGATATCCATGGTGCTGTCTAACCTCCGATAGGTATCGTCGTGGTCTGATTGGCGATAGCTTCAGGCTATCGACCAGAACAAGCGGTCAAATACGAAAGACCGTAGTCTGGAAGACACGGGTCCCAATCCGTTCCTACCTATCCTACTGTGCCTTCCACTCGAGACGTCAGATCAAACTGATCAAGGTCGGCGTAGCGTTACTCGCCATGTGTGAACATCTTTTTGATCGCCAACAGCTAGCTTCCCTACGTATCAGGTGCAGCATGGAAGTCAACACAAGTCTTAAGTTTCGTGCAGTGCGAGCTATTGTTACCGCTCCAAATGCAGATCGTGTCTGCCAACAAGCAGGTAGCCTGCGTTTCAGCCATCCCAATGAGAATCGAAACAGAGCGCATTGACCGGGTCCAGCTTGATATTGGGGAGCAGAAGAAGCCCCCAAAAGAAGAACGCACAGAATACATAAGCTTGACCAAAAATCCATTCCACACCAATGTGTCCTTCAGCTATAGCGTCTCTTCGACCTTGAACAACTCTCTATACGCGCGACCGAGACCCAGAATATGCGATAATTAAGGTTTCGGAAGCAGATCGGCGCTTTGGCGGCCCGAGGAATGCTCCGATCGCTTTCCACGTCGGCGTTGTCCTCGAGAGCTACAAAGATCGAAGATCGCACAACTACCATGACCAGAGTAGATATACATTTGCATCACATATAGTCTTCTCACAATGACCTCAGTACCTTGGAAACCTTTCATCTCCCCTACCGACCTCGAGATCGCCCAGGACGGCCTAAAGATCTCGTTCCGAACGCTTCCCAAGACCGACTGGTGGAGAACAGGAAAAGTACACAGTACATCCGGAGCGTACGTTGCGGTCGAGCACGATACGCTGTTGAAAGATGTCAAGAGTTTCAAGTTGGAGGCTTCGATTGAAGTGAATGGGGGGCATCAGGTGAGCCGTGATTTCAAGCTTAGCGGATCATACTGCAGCATTAACGGCTGGGATCCTAATCTATGTCCTTGGTCCCCTCTAGTTGTAAGCTCGGCGAGGCAGCAACATATTAACAGGATTCGAGTGCTTATCCATATCTTGTATTCACAACACAGCGACCAAGCCGGTCTTTTCCTCTACATCTCCGACACCCTCTGGATCAAGACCGGTCTCGAAGTAGTCGACGGCCAAGCGAGGGTATCCTGCGTAGTGACGGACTCGTATGCCGACTGGTGAGGCCATCTCTCACACCGGCCACCTTAGAAAATGTTCCTGATTCTCTCTCGATCACATCATGATTTAATTCAACAGGTCGCTCTACCCTTTCGAAAACCAAACCGCCCATCGCTTCTCCATCCAGATCGAGGCTCAAGAATCCGAGCCCCTTCCTCTGATCAAGATCAGCTATAACGGGCACATCCTTCGAGAACTACCTGCGTTCGGTATGGCTCAGGGGACGGGCCAGGGGACGGGGAAATTCAGGGCGGGCGTGATGGGGTGTTCGCCGTTGTCTGATGGGTGTGAGGTGTCTTTCGAGGAGATCTCGGTTGAGGGCTCTTGAAAGGGAGAGATAGGGATCCTGCTTGGACACCGTAACGACAGGGGAGAAGCGCGACGAGGACACTATGCATAGCCATAGGACAGGAAAAACGATGTTCTCATGACTGTGCCGACGATGAAACATCATGCTCAGTACCATCTTGCCTGAAACACCGCTCAATCATACAATCACGTTTCTGCCGCTTGAACTCTCCGGGGGGGGGGGGGGAGGCACATACCTTCGTGTCCAGATACAGGAATGCATAACGAGGGGTCAAGGGGTACCTTTCGGGGTTTGAGGGGCAGGTCAAAAGCAATACGAGGAGGTGAAACACGAAGTTTGAGATCCCGTGTATGTATCTCAATCCTGAACGAATAAATAAGTTGACGATCGGAACAAGTAAGTCGGACTCTTAGCTCTCCAATCAAGTAAAACATAGCTTTCTATTTCAAAATGTTGAAAGCGATACAAGCATTCGCCGCCGTATCTCTTGCGTGTCAAGCCTGGCTTCCTGTCGCTTGTGGACAAGACGTCGCGCTGGCCGACAAGATCAACCTTGAAAAACGGGACGAACAAGCAGACGCACTGGTGCCTAAAGGCTCTCATCGACAGAAAGGCGACTGGGAGTTCCTACAAGAATACTTTGCTCGTCCGCTCAACGATCACAACCTCGGCAGCGTTTGGGACAGTTCTCGGAGCCTCGGGACGTTCTGGAACGTTGAGGGTATCAACAACTTCCCCAAACAAGCGGCGTTCGGCAAAGAGCCCGACGCCAAATCTGATATAACCAACCGATGCGTACTTGTGTTCTATTACCCTGGCTACTGGAAGGAGCTTGGCAACGCCAGCGAGATCACCGATATCTACGCGTTTTACGATAGACCGTTAGCTGTGGCACCCCTGTGCGGGCCGGTCGATGCGCCTGACAGCTACAAGGAGTTTCCGCGAGCATCCAAAGAGGAAGACAAGGACAAGGTGGATTCGCTGGTCTTTCGAAGCTATTATAGCAAAGATCCGGATGCCACCGACATTTATTATGTCGTTAGGTCGGTGTCGCGCCATGCTCTAGATACCACTTCTTGACATGTATTGATGGTTTTCTATGGCTCGCAGGGAACCCAAATATGTCCCAGGTCCACAGCCCGATGATTGGAAATTGGAAGAGCTCGACAACGATGCCATCTTTCTGGCCAAAGACGATGCTAAATTCATGCCCGGTAGCCTGTGAGTTATGGTGGAGCCCTTCGTTATCAAGCTTGCTCTAGCTAAACCGAGAGGACCTCGCTTGTATCACTCTGTTTTCAGCCGTGACAACAAGGATAATACAAAGAAGGCGATCCGCGTTAGTTTGAGGAAATGGACCAAGGACAATAATAACGGCAACGTCCCGAATCCGTACAAGTCTGGACCGGGATCTGATGCTTGGTGGAAATGGTCACAGGTCAACTTTTTCTGGTAAGTGATCATCGTCAAGCCCGCCAGCCGAAGCAACTGACTCATCTCTCCTCATAATTTCTTTCTTGTGTTGTAGGGGATATGGAGAAAATGGAAGCCGCAAGCCTCACCCTTAGAGTATCGGCTTATTCTTGCAATCCGGTAGTGTAGAGGCCTTACACCTGCCATGGAGTACATTTGTTTGACTGAAGTCTTGTAGATGAAACAGTCTATCACATGCTACTAAACTTTACAACATGAAACAAATTGTTTGTATCGGAAGCAGTCGATCACATCCCCGAAGGAAGTAGAAGGTCTCAGACGGCTTATTCACTGATCCTTGCTGTTTGCTTGAGTAGCCGCGGTGGTGACTTGACTCAGAATCGAAGCAATAGTCTCGTCGAGGATCGACCGGAACGTCTTCTCCAGGTCAGAGACGACAGTCTGCGGATCGGAAGTGCCCGTCATCTCGGACCAAACGGTCTTCTCATCTTGCAGAGCCTTAAATGTCATCGGGGCATCGTCCACAGCCTTGGGATCACCCCACATGTTCCACCTAACTTTGAAGTCATCCCACTGGACCTTGGCAAGATGCTCGCGGATATGATACATCTCACGAAGTCCCGAGATGATAGCTTGGGGGTCGGAGCCTTCCTTCTCGAGTTTGATGAGTAGTTGCTCCAGCTCTGTGACGTATTCCAAACCCTGGGAGCGCCATTCCTTGAACTTGTCTCCCGTCTTGTCCCACCCGCGTGCCAGGAAGCGCTCATGCCAGATAGAAGACGTCGAGACGTCGATGTTCAATACTTTCACGCACTGGGCGATGGCTTCCTTAGCTTCCTTAGCAGCGTCGACGTTGAAATTCCCCTCCCAGACCTTTTGAACGACCAGTTTGCCGGCTTCAAGAGTAGCGGACACCAGAAAGGTTCTCATGGCCATGAGTGTCTCTCTCGATACCTTCTGCACGAAGGCCCCGTTGACCTCTGGATTTTCGGTAACGAGTTTCTTCCTCAAGACGATCATCTTCATCTCTGATACCATAGGTGTATCAGAATCAATCCAAGCGCTCGAGAGTAGGCCCCCCATGGATATGAGTTCGGTGACCAGTCCCGCATTGATGCTGGCGTTGCCCTGCCGATTAACAAAGACAGTCCTCAACAGATCTTGAGTGGCGAGCAAATTCCTGATATCTTGGTTTCTTTTGGTACTCATGTTTGGCATGTGTTGGAAATTCGGCTGCTGAGATTGATAAGTCGGTTTACTGAAGATGAGAAGGGCAAAACGTGCGTGCCCTCAAATCGTGCCGAATTGGAGACTTTATATGTGAATGGTGAAGCAAGGCGTACTAAGAGGGGCAACACCGCGTCACCGCGCAGCAGAGGGGCCACAGTACAAAGGAGTCAGCACCAAGAGCACGCCTTAGCATGGCAGCTGGACCCCCTCATCTGGGTATGGCTCGTGTCGAGCCTCTACATACTATGCGTAGGATCACATCATCAGCTCCTTTCACGACTTTCTGCCACAAAGGCTCCGCGTGACTTCGGTGACAGCAAGACTCATCAGCGCATGACCTGTCAGACATGACTTTCCATCATGTCACCATGGACATGCTGATACTGTACTGACCTCGATAAGGTAAGGAGAAGGATCCTGTGCTATGAAATAGTCGTTTAGGCATTCGCAACTTATGGTTACATTCGGAAATCGAGAGACGGAAGGATCGAGTCAGATGATGAAGATTGATGCGATCCTCAATCAGAATATGATGCCAGGGAGTGGCGTCATATCAAAGATTGTGTGCTCAGAACCCAAGTGCTTTCGTTTCCCTTTAAGTTGTACGGAGTATTCTCGCTGGACCCGGAGTGTTCATCGTGGCGTTTTATCAACGATTGCGTGCTGAGAACCCAAGGGCTTTAGTCTCCCTTTGATTAGTATGGAGTATTCTTGCTGAACGCGGAGGGCTCGTCGTGGCGTCATTCGAGAGATTATATGCTTATATGCTTAAGGACCCAAGTGCTTTCGTTTCCTTGGCAAATTGCCACTGGCAATTCACGGAGTATTCCTGCTGGGCCCGGAGGGATCGCCGGCGGATGCAGGATCAACCGGGTCATCGATTGACATCTTGTTTCAAGCGTTTCAAGCCAATTTCGCGCTAACAAAACGCCACTGTTTCCTCAAGATCCACGCTAACAAAGGTAATAGACGCGCGAGGCATCGTTTCGGGCTCTTAGCCGTTCTGACATGGCTTGTGAAACTGCTATCTTCAGTCCATTCTAGAGCCCAGCTTGGTCAGTTGTTCGTTGAATTATTATACTCGAACATCGAGACCGATGGCAGCGAGCATACTCGAGATTGCAAAACAGTTTCATCAATCGGCATCTTATACAAAGTGCTATGATTGCTGGACCAAGCACGGGATGAATCAAGATCACAATGATTCTAGTTTCCGCTACGGTTCATCACCAGAAGATCTTAGCTCCCACCCTTGTTGAAGGTTTCTGGATGCTCGAGAGCGGGTGGCAAACGACGCGGAGGAAAGATCGCTTCCCAAGCCGCCCTGACCAACCGATATTCAGTACTCGCGCAAGTTCCGTTCTGGCAGAAGCCCGCTTTTACTCACATCATCTCGATCAATTTTCCCTCACTCCAAGGTCTTCCTACAATGGACATTGTGACCGGTTCGCTGATGGCTTCGTCGTAACCCAAGGGGACGGTCACGATAGGGTACCTGATAATTCCAATATCGGGAAGCAGTAATGATCTCGCCAGTGTCAACCAAATATTGTACTTTTGCAGATCTCGACGATAACAGTCTAATCGACAGTGTATTCGCCTGCTTTGTAAACTTACCTGGCAGGAGAGGCGAACCAGACGGGCATACCGATATCATCCTGTTGGAAGAAAACGAGTCCATCGAGATCATACTTGTCAAACACAACCCTGAGGCCTTCCTGATCCGCGATCCTAATCACTGGATACAGCGAAGACGAGTGCGACGGTGAAGTTTGAGCGGGGGTACGGTCGGTTCACAAGATCGCTTTGATGTAGAACTAAATGCTCACTGTCTTCGTTGGCCTTGATGTATTCCGGATCGCCTCTACCTTTGGTGGCTTGAGCTTGTAAGAATCGTTCCTGGCCCGGTTGTTCGGGAGGCATCTCGATGTCCTGTAAGAGGCAACAGAGCAGCAAGGTCAAGATTTGGCTTAGAGCTAATGGCTGAATAGCAATCACCTTGTGCTCGATGTTGAACCTAGGTCACGTCATATAAATACAGGATGCCTTAGATGGCGCAGGCACGATTTCGGAAAGCGTCGCAAGGGACTTACTTAATAACGTCTTCGAGAGTACGCATCGGAGTCTTGGCCAGGGATGCAAAGTACACGGCGATGTCCTCCTTGAACTCGGTAAGCTCGGCCATGTTGTCCAAAGCCCTGAAGCCTTCTACATCAAAGTCGATCTCTTCCACCTCTCCAAACACAGTGGCGCCGTGAACACGAAGCTTCTCAATGGCTTCCGCCATTAACTTCCTGTCAATATAAACAGCGGACCATCTTTAGCTTCTGGTCTGAAAACTATTGAAATCAAGGAATTCACTTTTTGTAATCCGTTTCCGCTCTATCGGGAGTCTCGGTTTCAGCAAGTCAATGAAAGCGGCTGAAATATAGCGAAAACTAACTCGGTCGCGATCAACTCCGGGCGAAACGCGTAAAAGCCTAACCTCTTGCCATTGAGTGAGGGATTGATAGTCTGCTTTACGAAATCCACCGTGTTTTGTTCAAAAGGCCACCTTTTTGCTGTTCGTACACGACGGCCATATCAATCATCGGGTGAAACAAATCGCTCGAGATGGATTCCTGCTTACTGTTGGGATCCTTTACATCTGGGCCAGCAATGACGCTCAGCAAAAGAGCAGCATCGTACGCGCACTTGGTCATGGGCCCTGCCACGTCTCGTGAGAAACAAAGGGGAAGTACTCCAGCCATACTAACCAGCCCGACGCTGTAGAGATGCCGGATTTATTAACAATCATAGACGCCGGGTCCGCTTGAGAATTTGCCGCTACTCACGTGGGTTTGATTGAGAAGAGGCCCTTTGATTTCGCAAAAAGGAATTCAGGTGAACTTTTGGTCAGACTTGAAGAACCCACTCAACGATCACTTACCTGACCCGACGCAGGATTACCAATCGACCCACAGGTCTCGGTACCGATAGATGCGGGGGCAAACCCGGCAGAGACTCCCACTGCACTTCCAGTGCTACTGCCTGGATGTACAGCACAGCAAGAGATTGATATATTTGCTACCAAAGATGTAGAGGATCGTCTTACCACCGGGGTCCCTCTTCGGGTTATAGGCTGACCTGCAAGCGCCACCTCGTGCTGACCAGCCATTGTTGAGGTGGCCGTAACCTTCAAGAAAGTTTTCACCCTGATCGAATGATCACAGTCCGAATGAGACGATACTTCACGTGTTGTGTGAACAGGGTCGGAAAACTTACTTGACGATAATTGGCCCATTCACTCAAGTTTGCCTTGCCTGTATCATGCATGTCAGGTGGATCCCGGTACGACATCTGACATAAGGCGCAACTAACCTAGCACGATAGCTCCATTCTCTCTCAGGCGCTTGATCAAGGTGGCGTCCTGTTAATCGAGACCAATCGTTGCAGATATGAGTTAATTCAATCTTCATACGTTTATTGTTGTCGCACAGACTTGCCTCTTTCACAACAGCGTCCACAAGTGCAAAGCTTCCGGCGGTCGTCTTCAGGCCCAGCTCTGGGTCCGTGTTGATATTGTCTTTGATCAACAAAGGGATCCCGTGTAGTGGTCCCATCAATTTCTGAATATCATTTCACATCGTTCATCTGGTTAGCCATTACTACTATAGCCAGATCGGAAAGTGACTACGAGACTTACCCCTGCTTTCCGTTGCTCATCGAGTCCTCGAGCTATCTCGACAAGTTGCTCTCTGGGACCGGTTTCGATGACCGCACGAAGCTTTAGTCCTTGGTAATTGTCCTTCTCAATCGCAGCCTAGACAAACAAATGGGTGCTTGTCGGTCAGGACTGGAACGGTGAGTACGCTGTCGACCGCTTACAAGGTAGGCTTCGATCAAGTCGACGCTAGTACACTCCTTCTCCGCAAGAGCCCATTGAAGGTCCTTGATAGTTGCCTTGAGCAGATTGGGCACGACTGACATGATATAATGATTCTCAGCAAAGACGTTGAGACGACTAGACAACTGAGTAACGCCTGACGCATGGCCTCGATGGCCGAATGGCTTGTCTCGACCTATATACCCGCAACGGGATGATCCAGACAAAAGGGGTTAAACCCAAGATGCCAAAAGGCCTTTGAGCAGACAAAGGAGTAGTTGCGCATGTCCAGTAAGAGCGAGTCCGCTGTTTCGAAGGAAATTCGAAAGGCTATGTAGCGAAAGTCCTTTCGAGCGTGTCCGCAGACGATGGTTCAGACCCGAATTATAGATACGGCTGTCATTTCTGTCTTGTTTTACAGTTCACCACCCGCTGAAATCGCCGAAACTGCCCAGCTTCTTGGGTTTCTTCGCGCTAGCTCCGCCAAAGTCATAGTTGTTTGTGACGCTCGGTGCCGGTGGCTTTTGTTTCTTGCTCGCGAGGTACTTGCCAACGGCGGCGTCGCCATCGTCCTCCAACTTCCTCTTTCCCTTTTCTCCAAGATCGGTTCCAAGCCATGTCGTCCGATCTGCCTCTCGTGCTGCTTTCTTGGCCGCTCGAAGGGCGAGAGCATCTTCTGACTGATCCTGCCTTGAAATCTTCGCGTTTAATCTATCTTGATATGTTTGGAAAGGGTCTTGGACGCTACGAGTGCAATCGCGCAAGGCGAGTCGACATCAGTGTCCTGTATACCTGATAGAATTACCACCTCCGCTCACATCACTATTCCAAGGATCTTGATCTCCTCAGCCGGCGCGTCTCCTTTCTTTGCTACAGGCTGCGTTTCCAGCAGCGACAGCACCTGGAGACTGTCATCGTCGACCAGCTTGCCAAAGACCGTATGCTTGCCATCAAGGTGCGGTGTTGGTCGGAAGGTGAAGAAAAATTGAGACCTATCGACGAAACAAGAGCGCTTGTCAGCATGGGCGGATACGTGACGCGTCAGTTCATGACCGCTTACCCGTTGGTGTTCGGCCCGCGATTTGCCATCGACTATAACGAGACCAACTGTTCAGCGCTCAGCCCTGAAACGATCCATGCGACTTCACTTACAAGAACCCCTCGTTCGCTATGCTTGTAAGCGCCCTTAAGATCGTGCTCATCCCTAAAGTTGTTACCCCAGAAGCTTGACCCTCCTCGTCCCGTACCTGTCGGGTCTCCGCCCTGGATCTGTATGAAATCCAACGTAAAGCTAAATCAGTATCGCGTTGGGTTTCAACATTTGAGAAACCTTGCTACTGACCATAAATCCTGGTATCAGGCGGTGAAAGACCACATCGTCGTATTTGCCTTGTTGCGCCAACTTAATCCAATTATACACGGTCTTGGGTGCCTGCAGGATAGTCTCGATTTTGAGTTTTGACGATCTCCTTCACCCACCCGTCAACTGGGACTCACGCGATCTCCATGCAGCTCCACATTTAGATTACCCAGATTCGTCCGGATCGTCGCGTACCCCTTGTACTGAATTCGTTCCTTCTCTTTGGTAACTTTGCTCATCTCGTCGAACATGTCTGTCGAGCGCGAGTTCCGAACGTAAACACCATGCTGATCAGCAATGGCAATTTCAAGATATCGTACTTCCAACATCCCGACTCACACTCTTCCTCGTCAAACATAGCCGTCTCGTTCTTAGCCGCCGGGGCCAATGACGTGCTGGTAAAAGAAGCCGACGCTTGCCCGTTGGTGAAATTTGAAGCGTTATCTAGGTACCAGATCAAACGATGATCTTCAGCACTCGCCGGCCGGTACTTTCCCGTCTTCCGATAGGATGATCTATCAGAAGGGGGTACTGACAAGCTTTCTGAGCCTTCGGTCTGATCGCAACAAGACCTTCTTCCGGCGTCTTGTTTGCCTCGCTCGACGTCGCCTTGGCCAGATCTTCTGCCGCTTTCGACTATGGTAAGATATCGTTCGCATACCCTTGTCAGCCGATCTTGTCCAGAAGTATACTATGTCATCAAGCAGGCTATTTCTGACTCACCTTCTGTGCGACCATCCTCAATACCTTCCCAGCTCCACCTGCAGCGTCCACGTTAATGCCCCTAAGAGGATCGCTCGCCCGGTCGGTCTCTACGGGTTCGCATACAGATACAACATAGCAGAGCGCAGCAGCGAGATGAGCGCACTCAGGACATCAAAACATCATCGGATTGACTAGACGTACCCTCGACCCGTTTGTCAGACTTGACGTAATCGTACGAGCTCAGATCCCTAGCTCCTAGATTTTCCGGGTCCTGCACAGGCGGTCCAGAAAAGCATATCCAATGACAGACCGGCGTGAACGCGAACCCAGATTTAATCAGCCGCTGTCCTTTGACCTCGCCCAGAGTGGCGGTAGTTCGGAGTTCGGAGGATGCTTACCTGGATCGTGACGACGTCGCTCTTCGTAAAAGGCGATTCATCGATCAAGTCCCGGAACGTCTTGGTCTTGATAGCCAGCATGTGCAAGGAAGACATATCATACACATTTCCCTACATAGCGAATTCGGAGATACGTGAGGATCACGAAGTAAGTTGAGTTTTCCGGAAGGTGATGCAGGGCGTAGAGTTCGGGTACGAACAGTAGTTTTTAGGAAGACGATGTGGGTGTGCTGGGAGAGCGGTTTGTAGGTGATCGGATCGTGGTACGATCCTTCAGCGTTCTGTTGTATCATCATACGACAACCAGATTTGGGATGTCAGCTAGATGAAAGTATACGGCTCGAATAGACTTGTACGTGTCGAGAGCCTACCTTGAAGAAGTTGAGCTTGACGAGTTCGTTGGTTGTGAGCGGAGTCCCTGTAGCAGGATCTAGAACATAGACGTATCCATTATTAGCAAGGATTAAAGCTGGAACGAATGAGAGGATCAGAGTAGATAACTCACTCGTTCCGTATTTACGGATGTAGGGCACGATATTGAGGAGATCAAAGACATCGGCCCTGTTCCCCTCCCCGATCGCCGCTACGGGATTCTTGAAGGGCTGGAGGGACAACGCACAGCAGTCACTGACAGAAAGCAAGAATTACCGATCAGCGGTGGAGACTCAAGATAGATATAGCTTGAGATCGCCTCGATCGAAAGTACTTTACTTACAAGGGCAACCTCTGGAAACCGCCCGTCCCCGTCGGTGCTTGCTTGCCCACAGACCCGGAAGACAACCCGGCAGCATGTTCATCGTGAGTGACGTATAGTCTATTGTGCTTGTGTTTACCCATGGTTGGACCTCTGTAGTGGGAGATTAGGCGGTATCTAGAAGAAAGTTATGCACGTTATGGTACAAGAGCGCAAGAGTCTCGAAGCAAGCTCTTGGGTTGGAAGCAGCTTAAGCAGGTGAAGTCTCGCTAATCTCGCTAAATCAGCCGATCCGACATATCATCCTAAACAGAGCGATCACCGACAATGCCAACAACTAAATCGAGGGGCAACGATGGTCATCGCATGACATATGACGACGCATTGGCGGATGGCGGACGCATGCCGGCCCAGACAATTCATACAAATTCACACTCCACTACTGCTGTTCGTTCGCCCGACAGGCTGCGCCGTCAACTTTCTCCCCCGCTTCCCGGCTTGCTGCTTCGTCGCCTTCTTCTGGCTTTCGAGTTCCTTCGCTTCCCGTTCTTGTTCCTCCAGCTGCTTTCTGGTCTTGGCTGCTCGTCTTGTTGCCATCTCTGCACTGATTCCGTAGGTCCGCGGTTGAAGTTCGACTTTCCCTGATGATGGGTTCGCCGGTCCTGGTACGCGAAGGAGCTCTCCCATCCTAGCCATCTTTTCCTCCATGTAGACGAGGGAATGTAACAACACCTCTTGAATTGCATGCAGAAAGGTCGTTGGATCTTGAGCCCAACTCCCCCTAGTAAGGGTGGTGAACAGGACCATTGGCCCAATCCAAGTTGCATACTCTACTGTCCACTCTTCCCCGCACACAGTCATAGCCAAGACGAAGTATCGGGGATCAGGTCCGACGTCGGTCGGTGACCTGGCATGGTCGTACAGATCGACCATAGCGCCCAGCTGATCAAGAATGACGGAAGGGTCGTTATCGCTCGAGCTCGAGTAAGACGGGCTGAACTTTGCATGCGACTCACCTGAAAATAACAAGCGTTCATGGCTTGAGCCTGGGCAATCTGCATCTCGGTTGACCGCGAGCCATCCTTTTGCCAAGATCCCGTTCGCGACATTTGTATGATGAACAGATCATGGAGAGACGAGCAGCTGAGAGAGACCACGATCAGATTCGAGAGGGCCGACTTTGAAACGAGGGCTCGCGCTTACTCGTCGGAGATCAAGGTGCTCTTGTTTGGTGCGAAATCACGAGTCGCGGGGTTCTTGAGAATGCGTAAGTTGGCTTCCGGTGACAGTGGGTGGCAATCGTTGTGTGAGGCTGAGACTGCGGAAGGATTCGCAGGGTTAAGGCCGACAAGAATATCGACTTTTGGTGCCGATAAGTCCACCTGTGAGCGAGACGGGGAGGTGGACACCGATTAGTTTGATAGGCAACACAGTCTCGAGTGCTAGAAAGAACATCGTTCTTACCTGGTCCTTCAGGTCGAGCGGAAGACGATTCCACTCTTCCGGGCTTCTCACGACGAATCGAGGCTTTGCTTCTTTCGGCTCTGATCCATTCTCGAGGTCGAGGTCCAGCGCGTTGAGGTAGTCCTGTGCATGACAGTCAGGCATGTGAGCCTGCGGATCTATATCTAGAGATCGTGGCATCAGATGGAATAGATATGGCATTGTTACTTACTCTGAGTAGTTCCTGCATCGCCGCTTGTAGATCGAATTTGGACCAAGTTTGATCGCGGTAGAGTTTGCGAATTTCGACCAAACGGGAGACCGCGGGTTTGACGGCTGGGTCTTCTGCTTCGGTGGCCAGGGCCTGTTTGATGTAAGTACTTGAGACAGAGGATACCACGATGAATAACTCATACTCACATCGAAAGATCCGACCAGATAGCAATGTACGCTCGGTGGGATGGGTTCGAGCAGGGCCCGCATATCCGCTTTCATGAGCAAGTAGAAGTAGTGCTCCGGAGTCTGTCCGCCGGCAGTAAGGTCGGTTGCATTTGAAGGTGGTGCTTTGACCTTGAGACTTGCGAGTCTGGGAGGTGTGAACTGCGAGATCGAGTCTTCAGGATCGCACTGAAGCCCAGGCAAACAGTTCAGCTTCTTCGAATCGGTTACCACACCCTGTCGAGTCCTGTTTGCAGCTCACCTCCTCCTCCTTCTGATTGACCCATTCTAAATCGATCTCCAACTCCTTGAACGGCGGCTCATCGGAAGTCTCTCGACGAACATCATCTGGCTCCTCGTTATCCGTGTTATCGGGCTCCGAATCACTGTTCGAGTATCCACAGAAATGTTCTTCATATGCGTTGGTAAGGTCAGAGTGTGTCTCCAGACCCTCGAGGGACTGCGTATCGTGGGCCTGGTCGTCCATCTGGTGGTCCATCTCCCGCTCCCGCGAGCTTCCGAGATTTGGCAAGATCTTCGTAGGTACCAGATGAAGTTTTGGGAAGTGATTGCCGCAACTTTGGCTCTCGGATGCGGTCGTCGAGGTGTTGTTCGAAATCCCAGACGAGCTCAGCCGAAGCAGTGACTCTTTGTCCAGGGTTAGCAGCACAAGTGCTAGTCATTTGATCGATAGGATAGGTGGTCGCCGGGTGATGAGCGAGCGAGTCTCCGGGCCTTTTGCCTTGGGATGAATCATCTGATTGCCAGGCCAGCAATGCTCGGTGATTGGATTATGGTGAACGGCAATGGAATGTTCTCGACGCCGGACAACCATAGTATATAGTAATGAAGATCGTATATGGGCTATGAGCTCGGAGCTTGGAGATTGGAGAGGTGTACAGAGTGAGTGTCATCGTTACAAGCTACAAGTAGTGTACAACGTACAGATGCAAAAACGATGGAGTCGAGCTCGAGGGGTGATCGACGGTCTGAGCCGGATGCCGTAAGTGACCGGAACTAAATCTCCTTCTTAATTGCTTCCGGAGCTTGAACCTTCCGAATTTTGGCCAGCAGGTCGTCGAATCAACCATCGCTACCTGTTCTCGACGACGCACTTCCTTCCTGTCTGCGTTCTGAATTTGTCCTCCAGAATCATACTCATAGTCATGGAATATTGATCTCGTAGCTCTACCTTCCCGCCAAGCTCCACCCGTGATCCGCTCTCGCTACAATCGTTCTCAGGTCTTACACAACTTGACATGAAGAGAAAGTTCGCCGGGTCTGCAAGGCGTAGACGTTCTTCTCGTTCTTCACGTCTCAATTCCGATCGACCCACTGGAAGACCTTCAGCCATGCCGTCTATTCCTTTCCCAAAGATAATCTTCGATCCGGACCCCGAATCTTCCGGCAACCCGCTTCTTGAGTCGGCTACGTCGGCTTGCTGTCCCCAACGATTCGACATCCCCCCTATGCCCGTATATGATGACACGGACGTCATGTGGGATCCTGGCCACTGGAGTGAGAAAGAGCAGGGTAGCCATCATGAATGCCAAGAGTTTTGGTTCACGCTCTTCGAGCATCTCATGCCGAAACTTCGTGCACATCTGATCCAGACGGATATTTGGTTTCGTCGGAGTTCGTTCGACGACCTGGACGAGCGCGATGAGTATCATCGCCGGGATGCCGATCTGAACTTTAGGACCTGGCTCGAAGATTACACTAAACGGATGAAAGGGTCGAAGCAGGAAAACTTCTTCAAGATCCGAATCCCGCTGGAGGCGAAGGAGGATACCATTCCAGAGGATTACATCTTAAAAGAGAGAGACTCTTACCATTCGTTCGATGAAGCTGCAACTACAAGACCGGATCAAGAAGAACGACATATCGTCCGAAGTGCATCTCAGGCCGGTCGTACCTTTTCGGCCTATTTCAGTAATATCAAGCGAAATCGCTCAGAGAGCGGTGTAGACCTCAGTCGGGTACTCTTAGGAACAGCGGAGGTCAAGCCAAGGCCTCCGTTCAAGGACCAAGGAATAGATAAGTGGAAATGGTACCTCACAGGCTGTCTGGCTCAGGTGCTCAAGTACATGTCGGTCGGCTGGGACGTCTATGGAGCGAGACATGCGTTGTTGACCATCGGCACGTCTTTTCGACGTCTCGTCCTGGTCGATCGGAAGGACGGGACCGGGGTGGACTTGCTCGTCGATCTCGGCCCGAAAGATCCTACCACAGGGGAGCTAGTCATGGAAGATCAGGAAGTCGGCATGACCCTCTCACAGCTGTTCCACGAGCTCGATCCGGAGAACAACTTTTACGAATTCGCACCACTGCTCGATTCTGAGGAAGAACGGGGTAATCCCAGAGAAGTCTTCAGGTCGTTCTTTCTGAGCATGGGACAACATCACCTCGATCGCGCCAGACTGCAAAGAGAACCCGAGGTCCACCTCTCTGGCCGGATAGCGAGGATCGAGAATTTTGACCTCGGCCTCTTGACGGACTGTTTGTCCGACCTGTACTGGACCATGTTGGAAGAAGAAGAAAGACTAGGCGTCCGCCCCGTAGGAGGATGGTTAGCGGATCATCTGCCCGGCGAAGCTGGGCAATTCGGGACCCCGTCCCTGAACACCTTGAAATACGACTTTGACGCAGACTCGTTGTCCGACCTCGAGATTTCCGACGACACCCTGCTGCCCGACGCCAATACGAGCGATACGAACCAGGACGCCGATGAGCAGGGGGTTCTGTTTACGGACGATAACGACGATTTCATGAGACGGTACATCCAGGCCACTGTCGACAAACGATACGAATTGGATCGCCAATTTGGGTTGTACCGGCACCTTGAGCGGAGACTCAAAGGACATCGCGAGATCTTCATTTTGCCCAAGTAGATTTACGTTACTATGTCAGTTGTGCTTCTCTATCTTTTGTTTTTTTGCGAGTCACCTTGCACCTTGTCGACCTTGTAGACTTGGAACCCCTTGACCCGTCGGGCTATGCGAATGTGACGTAATCACGTAATTCGCCTTCCGCCGGGCCGCCGGGATGAGAGAGAGGGAGCGGCCGAGAGTGACGAATGTCCATTTCTCTTCTAAGCTTCTTGCCATGCCCACCATTTTTACTTTCGACTCCTACCTCGCTGGACTCTCCACACGTTGCAAACTTCTGTCTTGTACATATAGCTGCAACTGTCTCATCTTCCAGTCCCACGCCTGAATTCCTGCCTACAACAAGTGACCCGTATAATAGACAAAATCCAGCCTCGACATGTCCAACCTACCGCCTCCACCTACCCCTCCTCGTCACGCCGCACGCCGCCCCGATACAAAGTCCACCTCTGTCTACACCGACAAGACCCCGGTACCTACAGGGGAGAAACCGAGCTGGAAAGATGGATTCAAGGCCAAGAGCAAGGTTTGGGGATCGGTCGCGCTGGAAAAGGGAATCAAGATCAGTGATCAGCTCGGAGCCAAGGTGAACAATTATGCCGAAAAGGTCAGTCTATATGTTTCATACAACGAGCTGGCTATAAGTTGCGATGTATGGTGCTTGATTGGTCGATCCAGCTTTTGGCAGCACCTCTGGTAAATCGAATCTGACCTATGATTATGCTTTTTGCAGACGGGCAACGAGAGGTTCTGGCCAACAACTGGAGACTTCCCCCAAGAGATCGAGAAATGCGCACGGATCTTGAAGGCGTTCACGGGTACGTCTTTCCCGAACGACTTCGATCTCCCAAGTTAGGACATTGATGATGACAATCGAGGTGCTGACTGGAAATCAACCTTTTCGTGCCGCGGTGGAATAGTTGAGGGGATCCCTACCGAGGTTGTACCGGAGATCGAAGATAAGAACCAGGATCAAGGAGATGGGACAACCAAGAAGAGTAAGTCTCGCAGATTCTTGTCATGCATACCGATCTCATCGCTCTCGTGCTTACAACCCTAAAATACTCGGCTCTTGTCTGGTGTTGTTCAATACTGGCAGAGGCAAAGAAACCCGTCAAGCTGCTCCGGAAGATCCCCCCGAAGGTTCTCAGCGAAGCGGTCGGATTGGCGATCTTTACGAACTTTGTGAGTTGGCGGCTTCCATACACTCTTGTTCCCTGTGTCTTCCATGGCGATCGCTACTTGGTGATTCTGGAGTTGTAACGGGACTGTGACTGACCTAGACCTTGCTCTTGTTATTGCGTTCAGAGAACCGCCATCGCACCTTTCGGAGGTAGCGGAGGAGCCGGAATCGTCATCGCCCGATTACCCGACGGCTGTGAGTACAAGCTAAACTCTTATTCGCCTGACAAGATCGATTTTACGCTGGTTCCCGACTGACACATCTGCGTATTATGCCCGACCAGCTTGGTCCCCCCCAAGTTCTATCAGTCCGAACAACTACGCAGCCGGGTTAGTCTACGGGGTCGACATCTTTGACGCTGTCGGTGCGTACGAAAAAGCCTCATATAATGTCTGTTCGGGTATCATCCTGACCGAGATCTCCGGCTTTCGCTCGACGCTTGAAAATAGTGGTCATCAGGACTCAAAAAGCGATGGAGACGTTCTACGGACATAAAGCCACCCTAGGTGCTGATATCGGGGTTGTCGCCGGTCCCGTAAGTTTATCGATTCTTCCATTTTTTATGAAGCAAAACAAGGCTAACTTTTGCTCGGACTGGACTTGATTTTTGTCGATTCTTTATGAGTAGTTCGGAGCTGGAGCGGTTGTCGAGAGCGGGAAAGAAAGGGCTCCGGTTTTCAGTTACGTGAAGAGTAGGGGTCTTTATGCCGGGATCAGCATTCTCGGCCAGGTCTTTGTCGGTGAGTTTTCGTGTGATGGTCATATGGTTGGGAGTAATCAGATCTCGGGCTGATCTCATCCTTCTCGGTCACGCCTCTGCGAACATCATCGAAATGACTGAATCTAGAACGTTACGATGAGAACGGTGCACTATATCACTGGCCAGGCGTCAAGGCTCAGGACATCGTGAGCCTTCACACTACCTTGACGCATATAAGCCTGCTCACGTCAATCGCTGACCTCTGACTTGCTCCTCGTGTCTAGTTGACGGGTAAGGTCCGCATGCCGCGTGAAGCGGCCAATCTCATGGAAGTGCTCAAAGACGCCGAATCGGGCAAAGCGCAACAACAGAACGGGGACGGACTGGAGTACGTTGAGCCGAGTAGTATCGATCAGCTGGACTTGAATGAAGGGGTGAGTCCGTGTATGGGATACCAGGCCTCCCAAGATGTCTCGGCTGACGAAATGCGGGGTTCGTTTTGGTGATCCTGTAGGAGGTTTTGAAGTTGCCGCCGACTCCGGATATGGTCGATCCGGATTGGGGCAACGAGGATCCCGATGCCACCAAGGTCAAGAGGATGTCTTCTGGCTATAACACCCCTCTCACCCAATCTCACCATCCCGTACCCGCGGTCTCGACTTCGACGCAAGCGCACCCGGTTCCTCCCCGACTTCCACCGCGGTTCAAGAGCGACGCATCGAGCGTTTCAGCTTATTCGAGTGCGGATGATGGGGAGTCTCCGACAACGCAACCTCTTCCTCCTTCAAACCCGTCCCATTTACCTGCTTCGGGAGGATCGGCTGTGGGCGATAGTGGGATGGACGAGAGCGAACGGAGAGAATACGAACAACATCTAGAGATGCTCAAGTACGAGGCCGATCTTGCGGCTGCAGGGGACGGACAGGCTGTCGCGGTAGCTTCAGTCGAAGAACGAGTCATACCGACATCAACGACGACCGCCGGGTTAGGGTTCGAAGCTGGAGCCGGAGACAAGGCTGATAGAATGGATCTGCCACCGACGTACATGCCTGCTGGGAATGGGGATCAGCAGGTACAACAACAAGAGGATCTAGGGAGGCAGATGGAGAAAATGTCCGTCACAGGTACTTCGACGAGCAAGTGAGAAGGGACCGTGGAAGGTATAATGTCTTGTAGCGTGATTGTCCGGATAATACAATTAGAAGGCTTGTCCCACATCGCTTGTAAGCTTATCGTTTCGTTGTAGTAGCTATAGTCGTAGACCAAAACCTCTATCGAGAAGGAAAGGATGCGGAGTGCGATCACGACGCCAATATAGGCCTATAGTTACGACTGTACCGTCGATCGGGGCGAGCGGTGGGCCAGAGCGGACATTCGAATTTAGCTACAATGTCCGCCCGGGTCGTGTCACTGTCGCCCACATCAAGGACTTGGCTAGTTCGAATACAGCTGATCACCTGAGATCCTGATAACTTATCGACGAGGACCGAGGCCCCCGATATATGTGCTACGGACCACTGATATCGCCATCGAGAGCTTGGCCGCTGCTCTTCTACAAAGATAGTTAACACAATCGCGCCAGCTCATCATTCGATCGCCTATATTCAATCTCGACCGGACGGGCTGCACGACTCCCCTACGATCACTACTTCCTGACGAACCAAGATGCCGATCACACGACACGTCGACAACATCCACTTCGATCCAGGTCTCCCACCTGGTAATCCGCTTTGGAACCGGGATATGCATGCTTTCCCCACCATCTTCCGGCTCGCTTCGCAAACCTTCGATTTCGGTGACGAAGACGTAGCTACCTACTTCTTTGATCCCGAAAGGATGCGATACCACGAAACCGCTCTCGACGCTTGGAACATGCTCCTCTCGGACCTCATGCCGAAGAATCATATGGTTCAGGTGTCGACTATCGGCACCACATTGGACCAGATTAATTCAACCACCCTGCACGACGCCGTAACGTTTCGCGACGTCAACACAGCCTATCGCGAGGCAAGAATACCAAGCTACAACTTGCTGACAGAGCAACAGTCAGCAGCAGTGGCAAATATGGCTCATGAATCAGTCAACACAGCCCAAGCCCTCAACATGATCACCAGGTCTGCTAGGACCCCTGATTTCAAAGCTACAGCTTTCTCATACAGCGTGCTCCCGAAGCCCCAACACGCGTTTGAGCTACTTCTCGTCGGGGAGCTCAAGCAGAGGTTTGACCTAATGGTGATGACGTTGAAGATCAAAGGCTTGCTGGTTGGTACGCTTTGCCAGTGTCTGAGGTACCTGGCATATAGCAAGCGTATCTATGATACCAGATTTGCCCTCATCATTCACGGTCACGGTTTTCGGAGGTGCTTCGTCACCGAAAATGACGTCTTATGGATCGATATCGGTCGGCTTGGGCCAGACGAGGAGAACGATGTCGTCGACATGACGCTATCTCATCTTCTGACATACGGCTTGGACGGTGGTGCGGCTTTATACCACGAACTCAGGTAAGTCTGGTGTTACATCACACCGGACTCTTCCCTGTGTGCGTTATCGACAACGACGACGTTTGCGTAGACCCGACTCGACTTTCACCGACGGCGGAGCTGGTCATGCGTTGTCGTCCTTCTTGGAGCTAGTCGGCCAGACCTGGATCAACAATCATCTCGGCATCAAACTCCCTCTCGAACTTGGAGGTGATGGACACAACAAGTACGCTCGGGTGCAGGATTTTACCCTGGAGAGTCTCGCCAGAGCTGCTAGCGACGTTCGGCTTCACATGGAAGAGCAGCAAGAGGACGAACAAAGAGGACCAGACGTTGGTTGGGAAGAAGAGAATGTCGATGTGGACACAGAGGGGCACGAGCCAAAGAAGGCTCACCACGACGTGCTCAACGATCCGGAACACATTACCCACGGAAGAGAGGTGCAGACCGAGGTGGATGCCATTCCGCCTAGCATTGAAGCTGACCCGACCGCGGAGGCCATGTCTAACGGTGACCTCATGCGAGACCAACTAATGAACATTGTCGACCAGAAGAACGAAAGTCTGAGCAGCTTGCACTGCGAGAAGACCAGCCAGCATAGCGAGGAGAAGAAACCATCACCTTTCACACCTGAGCAGATATCGTGGCTCAGGGCGGTCGGCAAAGAAATGCGGGATGCCGGAGCCAGCTTAGACGAAATTTATCCAGGCTAATCCTCCCCGTCGACGGTTTTGGCACCTCGTCCCCATCGATTCCACTTGAGTCGCATGCGATGTGGACCTACGATCCTTCCGCGAAAGAAAGCAATAATAGTCCATATCACCGGAGCTTGTATCAGTACATCTTTGCCACTCTTCTGTCTTGTCCGGCAACGCCTCGCGTCGTCAAAATCGATAACGACTTTCGTTCATCAAGCATTTCAGTGTGATCCCCGGCCGAGAAGAAGGAAGAAAGGAAACGATGAAAATTGCATTTCATGTTATGTTCATCTTCGCAGTTCATGGGCTCGTTGTCATGTTCTGAGGTTGGTCATAACCCGTGATCACGGGCGGAGGGTTCCAGTACGGGTCATTCATGTGCGAGAGAAGATCGACGGAGAACCTGTTGGCGCCATGATTAACTAATTGATTGATGTGCCTCGGCGTGTTTCCGGACAATCTTACCAGTCATGCGATTCTTGCAAGAGAGCGTCGATAGTGAGCGAGTCGTCGAATCCGACCAAGTCAAGGTCGAGCTACGCAAGAGAACGAGATCGACGTCAGCGTTACGATCCGCCTACGCTTCAACTGACATTTGGCACTCACTGAGAAATCTGGCACCTGGTTGCCGGCTTGGTGAAGCCGGGCCGCGAGGTCATCCGCCGCGATCTCGGTGCGTCCAGGATTGGGCGTGTTCTCGCGAGTGGCGACTCTTGTCGGCGCCACCGACGAGATGCGTAGCAAGCTGGCGAAGAACTTGGCTTGATAGAACGCCGTATTTTGCCCACGAGCAAATCGCTTGCACTCCCGTGCCATATCCCGGAAGACCATCTGGACTTGTTCAAGCGTCGAAGGATCCATCCTGTTCATGTGCTATGGGTCGAAGAGGTCAAAAAACACGATCGTTCCTCATGATACTATGGCGTGCTCACCCTCGCGAGAAAGACTCCAGCCTGTGCTGCACGAAAGGTGATGATATCCGGCGCAAACAGGATAACCTCGTGAGGACTGAGGTCGGTTATGATGTACCTGAGCATCTGCACTGCGAGCGAGATGGTCCGCGCGAGCGAGCGGATATTCTCGTGGTACGGCAGAAAGCGACGATTGAACTCTTCGTATTCAAATCGGAAATTTATCCCGTAAAAGAAACAGATGGCCCTGGAGATTGGGTGCAACTCGCCAGGAGCTACAACACACAAGCTTCGTCAGCTCGCTATCGTCATGCGCAGGAATCGGGGTTGCGCTTACGATTAGGCCCAAACCACAGGTCCTGCCACGTCTGATGCTCTCTGCTGGCGTTGTGTAGGATATATTTGAAACTCATCCCTTGGGACGGCGTGGCCATCGGGTCCGGGTTGAGCTTGATCGTATTCAAGAGTTCGGAGAGGTCTCCATGCATCGAAGAGCAGCCTAGCATGACATCGGCGTAGCAGTAGATCTCGGGATGATCTTCACACCATTCTCGAGTGGAGTGTATCGCTCCAGGAAGCACCATGCGGTGTCCACGTCCGTGCAGCAGGAACATCCTGGAGATTTGAAACAATGTGAGCAAGTGTGAAGCGGAGAACCTGGAAGGCGATGCTTACGTTCTGTCAAAAGCTGTCAGCTGCCTAAACGTCCTTTCTCCGTTCTGATTGCATGACCAAAGATCAACTAGAGCGCCTTACGACTAAAACGACCGCACTCACAAGAATCTCTCTGGCCTGAAATTCGTCCTCGGGAAGGGGTGTCTTGCGCGGTATATCGAGCCCCAGCTCGAGGGCGACCCTATGATTTAACGAAAAACGTTAGCGACTATACTGTTGCAGGTACCGTAGATCTAGCGCGACTCGTACCTGATGGCATATCCGACTCGCAACCAGGTAGACTTGTCGTTGGCCTCTTTCCATACGCTCAACATGCTGAGAGCCTGACACATCCCGATATGAGCGTCTCCCCGTGCGAAAGCGATCCCGAGCATGTCGTTCGCCCGTTTCCTCAGAGGTTTATAGATTTCCGGGAGGTAAATCTGGGCAGCGACCGCTAGGATGGCCGTAAACAAGATCGGCGAGGTCCGAAGACAGTATTCTGGGGTATGGTGCGCCGGGTCCAATAGGGCGATGTAGGTGTTCAACCTCGAGTGATATTGATCGAACAGGTACGGCACGTCGATGGGAGCCACCAAGCCGAGTGAAACGGGATCCTCCATCCCTTCCGACGGTTGTTCCTCGTGCAACCCATTCAGCTCGGGAAAGCTGTCACGCGAATGCGCCGTCTGCGTCTCCTCGTGACGTTTTCGATTGGCTTCCATCTGCACCTGATCGTCCCATCTCATCCGTTTACGCGGCCGAGCGGAATCCTCAAACGATGTCGGATCGTCTTCCTCGCCGCCCAGGGTCGTCCGTCGCCGTGAGTCCCTTTCCGCCATCCCACCATATGCCATGTTGCCTGGATGCGAATCGCGATGCAATGCCGCGTACCCATGACTATGGGGTGAATCGTCATACCGATCGTCTTCGCTCGCCCTTCGATCCTGCTCCCTCGTCGCAGCGTAATCCCGTTCGATCAGCCTCCCATCCCTTCGCTCCCTCTCTGCGCTGATAGGCGTGCCTCCGATCAACATCTGTCCGCTGTTCTTGGCGTCGTGCGACATGACCTCGAGCATGGTCGTCAGCGCCATCGGGTACTTTTGTTTCCCGCCCGGCGGCGGAGACCCAGTGGTCCGGACCGCCGTGCTACTTCGTCGCCGGTTGTTTACGCTTCCACTTCCACTCGCATGCGAGTTGCTGTTGTTGTTCAGGCCAGGGGGTAACAAATTGGGAGAGAAACTCGTCGGATCGTGCTGCGAGTAAGCTCGGCTCGAGGGAGTCGATCCGTGCGGGACCGAGACATCGCCGTTGCCGCTACCCCCTCCCATGACTCCAGGGCCTCCAGCCAGTCGAACATGGCTATGGTTGTTGGTCGAACCGATAGGACCTCCGATATATCCTCCTCTGTCTAGCGGACCGGGATCCAGCGGATTGCCGATATGGTTCTTACTTGGCATATTAGATCCCGCCGTATGAGGAGGTAGAAACGTGTTCATACCGAGATCGAGTCCGAACCCTGAAGACCCATACCCCATCGAGCCTGACCCTGATCCTGAACCCGAGGCCGATCCCGATGCCGAGGCTGATATTGAGCCTGAGGCGGGAGTAGCCAGACGGCCGAGCGCCAACGAAGGGTCCAAGGGCGACATGGCAAAGTTTGTCAAGACCGGGTCTATCTCGCTCAATCCCGATCCCAAGTTCAGGTTGTTCAAATGGTTCATCCCCGTTTGGTGTCCCCGATTTTGGGTTTGGGTAAGCGAATGTGAGTTTGAAGATGACGGTTGTGGTTGTGGCGTGTAGCGTGGACGGGAAGCCGAAGAGGTGTCAAAGTCGGACCAGCTGAACGTTGGGACCGGAGGACCAGGTCGAGCGGGTCTTTCACCGCTCCGATCCGTCGTTTTCGTGCTCTCGTCTTCGTCTTCATCCCCAGACCCCGAACCTGAACCTGAGATGTTGGATCCGTCATCTGATTCTCCATCTTCCTCTCCAGGCCCGATGGGTGGTAGGGAGCGCGAGGCCTGTTGTGTCTGTATGTGGGACTGCGCTGGGTCCGTCCCATTCCCATTCCCATTCCTATTGCCAGCTGCACTCCCAGCTACGGTCCCAGTCCCGGTCTTCTTCTTCCCCTTCTTCCCTCCCGCTCCCGCCCCAACACCCGTCGAAGCCACATTACCCTCCCCAACCATGACCTTGCCGTTCTTCCCCAAGACCGGCTGTTCCTCCCTCTCCTGACCCGGTTTGACGGGGCGTCTTTTCGGTTTATAGATGCAGTCTAGGGAAAGACGGCTGCATCGACGGCAAGGGTCTAGAGGGGCCGAGTCGGGGTGCGCGAAGAGGCAGCGGAGCTGTGGGTGGAGTGTTTGATTGTTTATGGGAGTATATTGTGAGGTTGTTTTTGTCGATTCGAGCGAGGGGTTTGTGGTTGTGTAGATGAGAGACGAGGTAAGGACAGGAAGATGTAAGGCGATGGTAGGTGAAGGCAAAAGTGAAAGTTGCAGTTGCAGTTGGACATCAGCCTCCTCCCAAAGCAACTTTACCCCAAAAGATCGCACAGGCGTGAAACCTGAACGAGATTGTTATGCTTGACCGACCTTGATATTCCGACAAGCCATACAAGCGATCTTCCTCTTAATCGGCGCATCATCCCCTAAACCCAACCCCTCCTTGCTATCCTTGCTATTATTATTGTCATCCCGGGCAACGGAATTCTCTTTACTCCGTCCACCTAGACTCGAGGTATCCAGGTTGAGGTCGATATTGTTGTGGATTTTGGTGTTACTATTGTTGCTATTATTATTGATGTCGTTGTGGGTATACCGACCGTGCCCATTGATATTCGTATGCCCACTCCCACGTTCGGGTTCTTCTTTCAAATGCAAGTTCAGCTGAGGTGATCGGGAAACCGAACTCGGACCAGAGATGGGATGGTTGATGGTTCCGGTAGCAGTATTGCTATTATGAGATGGCCGTGAACTCGAGGGGTTCCTCGATGATGAAGACATTATATCGGAACGATCTGCAGAGTGCAGATATCGTGTGGCCTGTGGTGTGGTATTGGACTTCGTGGTATACGGGGTATAATCCCAAGCTTCAAATAACAATTCCTCCGATCACACTACTCCTGTTACTGATCGCTTCGATGGCGGATGGCGATGGTCGATAATCGGTGATCCTCCTCCTAGCGAGGTGCGAGGTGAGAGGTGGTGGTGACGATCCCTCTCCGATCCGTAATCGAGGATTTGGTACCGAGGCGAGATTCCGGTAGGAGATAATACAGATGTAATTTCCCGAGATCGAATGAGGATACGGCGATGATACAAAGAGGAGAGGATCAGGAGATGGAGATGGCGATGGCGATCAAGGAGGAGAGGTGTGTGTGTGTGTGGGGAAGAAGAAGGAATGCCGACCCCCGATCCAGGGAGGAGATCTCGGATGCTAATATAATAACCTCTCCTGTCAATGTCAGCAGAGGGCGGCGCGGCGTTGACAGACGTGATCATGAGCAATGTCAACCTGGCCTGCCTGGGTGATAACAAGAGGATGTTCGAGATGAATATGATTTGATCGTAGCTAGGAATCAAAGTCGGCTGGCATGAACAGCTCAGCGATATCGCAGGTCGTGCTCCACCTTATAATTGCTCTCTGTGTTCTCGATTCGCTTTAGCGCGCACAACGCCGAATTCGATCAGCAGCTCAGCAGTAAAGCAATACAAGAACTAATGTATTATAATAGTAGGATCATTCACGTTCAACAAGTATTCCGACCTTGACCTGGTAGTGCTCATCACGTTGGTATCCTCTGCACAATTATCCCGGTCCTCCCGCCGTCCCCTGACATCAGCTCGAGCTAGCCTCGCTTGGGGTCGACTTCCTTCTCGGCGAGCTCATGATGAACGCCCACGAGGTCAGGCGAAGGAGCTCTCTGCGTTCCCTCTATAGGCTGCGTGATGGTCTTATTTCCGACATCATCGTCCTCCTCCTCCTCGAGCCGCTCATGCTGCATCCCTTGCGTGACAGGCCCAACCGGCTCGTCGACCTCTTGGACGAGCGAATGGCCCAAGGCCGTGGCCGGCGACGTCGTCGCTGTACTTGTCGTACCGGGTGATAACGGCTCGTATGCCCTTCCTCCCATCTCATCCGCGTGGGATTGCGGTGAGGTGGCGTTATAAGACGGACGTCTCGTATGCATACTACCGACGTCCGCGGGTCTCCTCGGCGGAAGAGGAGGAGGTGCAAATTCTCGGTTTGGGTTTGGCGGTGAGACGGAAATTGGGGACGCTGCGCCGGGAGGCAAGAACGTTCGGGAGGGTCCAGCCTTTTCCGGCGAGTCGTATGCCTCGTCGTTCAGGTTGATGCGATGCATTCCCATGGATCCCTCTGCAGTGGACGCCATTGACGTGTCCACTTTGGGTAATTTGGCTCGCGTATGATGTGAGCCGATACCGGTATGAACGGGTTGGTAAGATAGACTGCCGCTCCTAGAAAGAGCTGCTCCGGCAGGCAAAACCGGCGCATCGCTCTCCTCTCGACTGAAAAGCTGTTGTTCCGAATGCGTAGGGGTTTTAGCTCATCGGAAACTGGAATGATGTCGAGGCGTTCAAAACTCACTAGCGGTGCATAGTTGATCATGTCCTCCACCACAGTGTCCTGCAGCGAATATTCGGTTTGTTCAAGCTCATTCCGATTCCGACCTAAACCCAACTGTGTTGCACACTTGACTCACCTTTCCAACCTTGAAATTCTTCAAACCGCCGTCTTTGGGTAGCTCGTCTTCGCCAAACAAGGTCTTTCCAAATATCACGGCCAGGTTCTGGTAGGAAAACAAGTAGAGTCAGGTTTCCGTGGATGCGGCTGGTGAATGCTCGGGAGTCGTACCTTGGCGTCCATCTTGTTCTGCGTCGAGTGCGCAGCCACTCGTGACAAGTGCTCAACGATCACGCGCAACGTCGACTGGTGAATGGGCGGCATCCTGGACAGCCTCGCTCGGATGGCGGAGAAATTGCTGCTTATATGGGATTCTAATTTTGCGGAGTAGAGCAAGCGACCAAAATCAGTGACTGCGAGGTCAAAGTAACAGGAATTGTACTTGCCTCGGTTTTCGGTATACCTTATCCGATCGGCGAGAGGAAAGTAGAAGATCGGCTCAGGTAACTCCCGACAATACTTCTTCAAGACGGCGGAGACCACTGAAATCTCGTGTTCAGGGGAGAATTGGAAAGCTCGCTCGTCTATGACACCGACGGCAATAATCAGCATCAGACCCGCACCTTTGCTCCATATCAGCTGCTCACCTTGCTCGATCTCGTATACGAGCTGAGATTTCAGAACAGGCGTGGCACGGTCAGCCTTAAAAACGAGTACTCACGCGGAGCGCACAGCTTACCTGCTGAACGGCCGCGACCCTTCCATTGATGCGATGAATCCCTTCCATCTGTAGAGCTGTGACACGACCGGCTCCTTGTCAGATCACGGCTAAGCGCACGTTTTCGATGTGCCGGACTTGCCTCTTGCATCGAGCTCTGCAATGCATTTGACCACGATGGCAGGAGGGTGTCCATGATCCTTGTCGGCCCTCGTGTACTCGTAATCGTTGAGAGAGACTCCAAATATTAGAGAGCGACATTGGCCAACCTAGAGGGCAGATCGGGAATCAGTTCAGAGAAATATATTTGGTGACCCCAGCTCGCACTCACATAATAATTCTCGTAAAGTACGGGAGTCGCAAAGTTGATCGTCTTCAGATGAGCTGGGCCGCTGAAGATAGCGACTGTTCATGTTTCCGATGCAGCTTAGTACTAGCGGACTGTCGATCATAGTCCAAAACTAGACTCACCATCCTTTGCGATATCTACGCTTTCAACAGCCTTCCTCGGATGCTCGACCATCTGAGCGTTCGTAGCTGCCGTGGCTGACGAACAATCGATATAGGCCATCAGACAGGCTTTGAGCGATCCGCAAAGTTCGGCCGTGAACGTGTCGAAACTCTGGTCGGCGAGACGGAGTTCAATTCAGCCTTGCGCGCTATCACACACACACGGGATCTGGATGGACAACGTACATCTGAAGCGGAAGCTTGAATTTTGTTCCGTCGCAGCCTCAGAGATTCGAGGTGGAACACGGCTTCCCTATACGCCTTGTCTGAACAGAGCATGATGAAATAGGCCGATCAGCGGGAGCCTCCTGCGAACCATCCGACAACCTTGAAGAGAAACAAGAAAATAAGCGACACTCACCTGCCTCTTCCGCCTCGCGCTTCAATTTGACCCCCTTCATCGCGCTGGCCTTGACGGCGATCCCATCCGGTACCCTTCCAGTTCCATAAGACCCGCTCGGCGATTTCACATGTCCTAAAGCCGTACCCATGGGAGCTGAAGGTAACGGCTGCATCCCTCCCGAGTTCAGAGGCGAGCCACTTGGGTGCGCCGGAGGAAGGACGACGAAACCCTCTTCCGGGCTCTTGGTATCTTTTTCCTTTTCCTTGTCCCCGCCGAACCTCGCCATGAAGGCGTTCAAGCCTCGTTTGCCCGTGTTGGCCAGATCTCCAAAGACCTCCTTGGCCTTGTCCGCCTGGCCCGTCGAACCCGCTCTTCTTCTACCTCCAGGACCGTCGTTATCGAACGAGACGTTGTTCGCAAGAGCCGGGTTCGCCGATGGTGGAAGTGGAGCCGACATTCCAGGTGGGCTGGCATAAGGGTTTGAAGGATGTTCGTACGAAGGCGTCCCTAAGGGCGAGTATGACCGATCGCCGTGGACCGGGTCAGACAGTAACCTTGCTTGATGAGCAATAGCCGCGTCTTGCCGTTTCTGATCCTCGACCTCTTGACACTTCTTAAAGTACGCCTTTTTCAGTTTGGGCAGGGTGTGTTCGGCTTGGTCGATGTACATCTGGCGCAACCAATAGTGTAGCGATATTGGAAGCATTAGCTCCCTGCTGACCAGGACTACCACCTAGATCTGACTTTGCATCGTACTCACGTTCGTGGCCCTCTCCAGATCCTCCCTGATCCTCCCCTTGATTCTACCCTGTACACTCGCCATCTCCTGTAAGATCCTGACCACGCTATCCTGCAGAGCTTCGCAGTACGCCCGTCGAGTATCCGCTTCCCGTTCCGTATGATCCCGGACTTCTCGCCAGGCCTGTCGGGACGTAGGTAGAGGTCCGTCGATTCCACTACGAAAGGGAAAGGTGAAGCAAAAGAAAAGGCGATGCAGAATAAGCTTTGAGGATGATGTTTCCAAGGCGGTTGTCTCTTGAGCTTGGATCGCTCGGCTTACTCTTCGTAAAGCGAGTCGAACGCCCTAGACTTGACGTAGAGCCTTTGAAGCGAATCGACGTATTGCTCTTCGATGTGTATTCGTTCGTTGAAGAACGCCAAGTAGCCTTTGTTGACTATAATCACCGAACCGGAATAGTATCAAAATGTCAACTAAAAGATCTTCAAGGACGAGGTTGTGGAAGGACTTTACTCACTCTCGTTCAATTTCGCCTGAAAAAGACAACAGGGTAGAGAATCGCCCGCTTGTCAGCTGTCTATACCGATAGCAGGTAGCTATCTGTCCTCATCGTGACGACTCACATCAAACTTCCCCACCACATCATCGACCTTGCTCGTCACCCCTTTACCCGTCAAATCCACGCTTCGCCTATCCCTCGATTGTTGTTTAAAGTGTGACGATTCGCCATAGGGTAGCGACTCGGTGGACGAGGCAGGATGTTGCATCTTGCAAACAAGACCTGTCTGGTTGCAGGTGCTCCCCCGTGAGAAGTTGTACTATGCTTTAGGTTCCTGAGATAGACAGATGAATCGTTGGCGTCGGTATATGGTATCGTTGATGGTCTGATCGGTTTGGTGATTGGTCTTCCGCTCGGTGGAGAAGGGCTTGGCGGCAGGTCGAGCTTTGTTTGGGTGGGTCCCCGCCTTCTCTTCCTGTATTTATATCCCTTGCCTCCCAGCGACGAGATTCTCCCTGAAAACAGTCGGGATTGTTGCAGAGTTATGCTGCGAGTTGCTGCGGATCAAGTGGAGTAGTAAAATGACCATCACCGTACCTCCTTTGAGGAGGTGCGGTGAGATGATGGATGTTGATAACCGGAAGCAAAATCGCTCCCTGAATTGGTTCCGTCATGTCATTTCCGGAAGGATATTTACATCGCTCGGCAAGCAGCAACAGCGGGGCAGTGCTAGATCCTCCTTATCGACACCGCCACAGAGACACACTGGCCGACCTTTCTCAATCTGAGTTCAGGTTCGTACAGCACCGAGTCGATGTATGTAAATAAGAGCGGTCATGGGTATCCTGTCATGGAATTTGATACAACAGATTATTACTCGCAAGAACTGAATTCACCTCCTTCCACGTGAAAGTCTCGTCTCTCAAACACCCCTCGTCTTACTCTCGTATGGCTTCCACACCTATCGCCGTGATCTGTCTCGCCACAGGATGGTCCGGTTTCAACGTCGATACCGGCTCGACCGGGGTCCTCCCCAATACATCTTCCGGTGAACTGGGTGAATGGTGTTCTTCGGCCTCTTCTCTTATACCGGTTGGAATTCGCCTCGCAGCAGAAGGTTGAGTCTGACGGGAAGTCAACCACTGAGCAAGAGGGACGATAAGTTCAGCTTCGTCAGTTGGTATTCTATCGCTGAGCTACATTGGTCTGGCATGATTCGGCTTACAGGATGATCCAGAGCCTGGGCAGAGCTCGGCCGTGCGTGAGGATCCGGTTGCATCAGGTATTTCACAAACAGGATAGCTGATACGCAACAGTAGAACAACATTAGCATTCACCTAGAAACAACAATACTATTGGCCTGGAACGTACCTTGTTCCGAAACACCCCTAAACGGACCTGGTGGGAAATCGACCTCCGCCCTCATCGATTCCCTGATCAAGTCTGCGTATCCTCTCGATCTCCAAGGTGTCGATGCCGATAACCTGTAAGAGCCCGTCATAGCGCATTGAATCAAGTCGACGTCAAGTCATGGTCAGCCAGACGAACATGAAACCTCGATACGAGCGACCGTAACATTCGTACTGACAGGTTGTAGGCAATCACGCCGACCCCGAATACATCCTGGTTCTTCCCATAACCCGTCTTCAAGAAGACTTCCGGTGCTGCGTATCCGGGTGTTCCAGCTACTTCGATCTGGGTTTTCGGGTCGGTAGTGCCCTCCTGGTTCTTATCCAGGATCTGCGATAGAGACCAGGTTCATGGGTCGGACCCTCGATCTCAGCAAGCTTGCATATCACAGCAACGCCTCATTGATCCTTGAGAGATCTAGTGGGACTGACCTTGGAGATCCCAAAGTCGATGAGCACGACATCGTCGATCGCAGAATCCTCCGAGCGGTAGAGGAAATTGTCCGGCTTGATATCCCTATGAATGATGCCGTGACTATGAATGAAGGACAATGTATCCTGTTTGTCGCTCCACGAGCTGCATGTCAGCCTACACTGTCTGAAATGCTTTCGCAATGGGTTCCGGTCTTGGGAGCTGACTCACGAGTATCCGTAGCATGATCCTCTTGACCGCCTCCTCTGTGAACCTTCCCCTTGTATTCAGTCGTTCGAGTAACTCTCCACCGGTCATGAGGGGGAAGACGAGGTAGTATTTATGACTGGATTCGAACCAGCTAGAAGGATTGTACCAACGGTAAAGCGGCGGGTCAGTATGGTGACGACTGAGATCGACTTCCAGGCAGTCTTGTTTTGGCTCACTCTAATATGCAACCTGAGAAAAGGAGAATCGTACGGGATTAAGCGTTGAACAATCGGCACTTGTCCCCCAAAGTGTACTTACAGATATTCCTGTTGTCGTGTATGCGGTCGAATCCACTGTTCTCACAAACTTGTCCATCAACATCGCAAACCCATCCCCTTCAACCCAGATTGAGGAAACGAACTCACTCGTGCAGGATCTTCAAATACTCCGAGTGTTCCATCACCGCTTCCTTCCTGACCACCTTGACCGCTACACATCGGCCATCCTTCGATCTTGCCCTCATGACCTGGCCTGATCCTCCTTCTCCAATGGGCAGCGATCCGGCTGGACCAAAGTCATAGTCCTTTTTCCGATGTGACGAGCGGGGAGATTGGCGGAAGAAGTTGTGCAGCATAATGGAAGGGTAGATCCAAGTGACTAGCTACTAGCCTGTCATGAGTAGGTTCAGTAGTAGTAGTGGTGATTGATAGGTCGAAAGACTTCAAGTGGTCCTCGCTGATGGGTGATTGACCCCTCGATCTCCCTATTTCTGGCCGAGCTGACATGTTCGGACGTTACCGGGTGTAGAGTTCGGATGATGATGATGTCACGGCCGCAATTTGCCGAGTTTCACGTGATCAGCATCGCAACGAGCGGAGACATCTTGAAACGCGTGTCCCAAGCTACAATCGATTCTTGATACAAAGCATGCAATAGCATTCATCATTCATCGTGCGGATCGTCGTGTGAACCACAGTACAGCAGCCCAAGCCAGAGTCATGGTCGCAAGCATGGTCACAGTAGCAGGTTGTAGTACCTCGATCCCGACGGCTTGCGCCAATACGCCGGTTGTGAAGGGTAACATCGCGCTGCCAACTTGGCCAAAACTGGCAAATGCACGATCAGGTCAAAAACCGGTCGAGACTGTCTCAAGTGGAGTGAGTTGAAAATTGTACGTACCTCTGGATCCAAGCTACAGACCCGCTTGCGATTTCGTGCGGTATAGAGTGCCGCGCGACCGAGAGCATGATCGGGAACATCGGGCCTGGCGATCGCATATAAGCGAGGACCCAGGATTGCCCAGCTCAGAGCAATACCGACTCACCTAAACACAAGCCGATGAACGATGTGGCTACTGCCCCTGCCATGAGCGTCGGTACGAACCAGGCAACCAGATCCAACCCGATGGCGATCAAGGCGTAGGCGAATACGATCCTTCGTTCTCCGACCTTTTGCAAACTTTTTAAAGCTATCACATATCAAGATCGGCTTTGAAACGCTTACCTTCTGGTTGATCCATATGAAACAAAGTCGACCTATCGTCAAGCCGCCCCAAAACCCTGAAACCACAGACGGAAGATCAGCTCGCCCATTCCTGCCTCTACCATATCCCGAGCCCGAGCCAACTGACCTGTCGATGCATAACCCGCAGAAGCACTACCTCCTCGAACTTCTTGTAAGAACGTGACGATCCACCTGATCCCCATCCAGTAGCATAATCGTGAACAGATCAGTTACCGAGTCTCAGATCGTTCTCGAGACCCGTTCGTTTTGGGACACTTGCACTCACCCTCCCAAGCTGACCTCGGTCCCGGTGTATAGGAACGCCCACATTGCCAATGCATGAACAGCGCGATTACGCATTATCCGGGTCATCTTACTCCACGTCTCCGCGTTGGCGTTGGCATTGCTGCTTGCATCGTTACTCAAGTCTTCAATGTTTCCTGAAGCTTCAGCTCCGAACTTCCTGTCGATATCTTTCCCTTGATCGTCCGAATCTGATTCTTTAGTATCGTTTCGTGGCGAGCGAACATCAACCTCGACAAGTCGTGGTTGCGATTGAGGTAAAAGGTCTTTCTCCGCTCTACCCCGGAAGGCAAAGAGGATCAAAGCAAAGGAAAGTCCAGCGAGACCGAGGGAGGAGAGGTAATGTAACCTCCATCTGTGGGGGAGGACGGAGAATTGAGTTGCGATTAGGGGCGAGACTAGCGCGCCTAGGCCTATTGCACGTTTTGTAGGGACGTCATGTAGAATCGATTATGATACAGCAGAAATCAGTCCCACCTAATGCCCCTTCGGCTTTCATAGATTCAATTGGACTCACCGTAGCAAGCCTGACACAAACACTGCTTCAGGTTCTGATTCCTATGCAGCTTCATCAAAAAAGCTGTAGCGAGGCACTGGACGGTCCCGGCTCCGATGCCAGAAAGGACGAATCCGATACAAAAGACCGGGTAGGGGGTTGGAGCGGCGAGGAGGACGTATGCTATAAGCTGGAATGAAATAGGAAGGGTGTAAACATCACGTGGAGAGAGTTTTGTTATCTCGCCGAGTCTTCGTCGGAGAAGATGAGAGAGGGAAGGGGATCCGGCGGCTCGGCTCACCTGAAATGCCGTCCCGATCAATAAAGCCTACGCCACAACGAGACATCATTAAACCAAAGCGTTGTATCCTACTATTTCAGCCAACTCCACCCTCGACTAGATAAGCGCGAAACAAAAGGCAAGACCGACCTTCCCGAACCCGAAGCGATCTTCCAACCAGACGTTCAGAGCGGCAGCGATGAAATACCCTACAAAGCAACACAATCGCAGCCCATCAGCTCTCGAACTGCTAATGCAGCTCATTGCTCTTCACGAAGCTGCCTTCAGAAAAGCAAGAAGCGAGGTATAAAGTTCTGGACTTGCCTATGCACACGCAGACGAAAACTAGGGAGACGACCGTATACCCTATATCGAAGTATTCTTGCATCCGAGGTACGAGGGGGCCGCTAGGTTCCACCAAATCAAGGCCGAGTCGGGGTTTCGAGAGGACAAAGGCGTCGAGTCACATGAGGTGTTTTCAAATCAACTTTCCTTCCACCTCAGGTTAAGTAGATGATGGATTCGGAAATGCAGAGGGACACGAGATCCAGGACGTGGTTGAAAAAATACGAGATGACTCACGTAGTCCCATCACTCCACCCGCAGACGATCATGACCCAGAAAAAAGCAGCCAAATACCACCTCTCCACATTTCCGGGCAAATGCAAGTCTTCTCCGTCTTGTAGGTCTCGAGATTCATCGTGGAATGGACCAGCTAGAGGGGGATTGGTTTTCTCTTCTTCTCCGCGGAGGGTTGATGTTGAGACGGATACAGGTGCGATTATTCGGGCTTGGAGGGCTTCCTTCGAGGTTGTGGTCCGTGACTCCATCGTTTTGGGTTGAATTCCTCCATATTTATTTGGGAGTGTAGCCATGTCGAAACCCCGGTCAGCAACCGCTGTTCTATCTATACGCCCAGCGAGCCTCGCTCGGACGGTACGGCGAGACGCACGAGACAAGGTGATACGTACTCCACACTGCAAGATGTGCAGTACAGTGGCATGATATAAGACTGGCAGTGTCGTCTTTTACAAGCTTACAAGAGGGCGATGCGATACCAAGGAATCAAAGGCAGGCTTTTGTGCGCGGTACAAAGGGGTCGAAGGATCCGGAGGGTGATCAGCGATATTTCATCCTTGATTGTAGCTTTCGTTCGTTTCTTTGTCTGGGCCACGAGGTTCGATACGACAAAGATACCCCGGAGACCCTTCTGGTCTCTCGCATCTTTCGTTGAGGTTCGAATGGAGCTAGAATATGACTTCCCGGAAGTTTCAACCAGAGAATAATGAAGCAAGGGATGATGAAACGAAACGACGATCAACACCCGATGGCTGATGATTGGGTTTTAGCTTAGCGCGCGGGAGGAAACTCTGATCGATCGGTTCGGCCGACCCGAAAATCGCGAGGACACCTGGGATTCCATCTATCGGACACCGACTTGCTTGTTGGCCATGGGCTGTTTGCTTCCTGCGCCATGTCACCAGAAAATCCCCAAGAGCTCCTGAATTCCATGGTCGTTCAGCAGGTCATAAGCAGGTCTGAATTCGCATATCGGAACAGCTCGCAGCGGATCGACGATCTCTGCATCCGCCCTTCTCGGTTCGTCTAGCGCGGAACGAAAATAGCTCCTTCCTTGAAAGCGAAGGAACGAAGAGCGGCAACTGATTTTTTATCAGATAACCTGCGCGCCCTACGAGTGGAGAGGGAGAGGGGGAGGTCGTCGGGGAAGGAGAGGGTTCAAGGTTCAAGGTGAAGCCAATTCCTCCCGAGATTTCAGGCAGAAGATGGAGCTTTTTTCGCCGTCAGTCAGCGAGAGAGGATGAGATATATATATAACACGGATCGAAACTTTTTGCTCCTATCTGATTACCATCCCACCGAGGGAGAATGAGATCAAATCACCATCACCAGATAAATCGTCATGTACGCCTCATCGGTCTCCTTGCTCGGAGTCGCTGCTCTGTTCGCAGGAACAGCCCAGGCGGCTCTGGTAGAACATTACTGGAACATCTCTTACACGCAAGCTAACCCGGACGGGTTGTTCGAGAGGAGAGTCATCGGAGTCAACGGGTCGTGGCCGTACGTACCAACCAACTCGCCGTCAAATATCTCAACAGATCCTTCCGACTAACATTTTATACCTGATCATCACAACGCCAGACCCCCACCAATCCTCGTCAACCAACACGACACCCTCCGCGTCCACGCCTACAACGGTCTAGGGGACGTCGGGACCTCTCTCCACTCGCACGGAAACTTTTTCAACGGGACAAACTATTACGATGGAGCGGTGGGGACGACGCAGTGTGCGATCCCCCCAGGTGAGACGTTGACGTATGAGATCCCTGTGGATCTGCAGGCGGGGACTTTTTGGATCCACGTAAGTCGATTTCGTTTCACTTCTGTTGATTTGGGTTCCGTACTGATAACGTTCCCGTCTCCCCTCTTCCGTCCAACTTACTTCTTCTGCCTCCATCCCCCACCTTGACATTGGCAGGGCCACTATAACGGCCAATACGTCGACGGTCTCCGCGCACCCGTCGTCATCCTCCCCTCGGAACCGCGTTCGGACAACTTGACATGGGACGAGGATTATACGGTGGTCGTCTCTGATTGGTATCACGATGAACACCCGGTCATGGTCAAGGAGAGGTTCTTGGTCTGGGTGAGTCCTGCTTGATGGAGGCGGTTGACTAGGGGATTGAAGCCTGATTGATATGTCTTTGGGTATGGTCGTCAATTGTAGTGGAACCCGACCGGTGCCGAGCCTGTGCCAGGTCAGTTCCCCTCCATTCCCCCTTTCTCACATTCACCCCGCTGATTTAATACTACCGACATCGACGCGCAGAATCCGCCATGATCTACGTCGCCAAGGACGGCCAATACCTCTCATCTTACGACGACTTGATGGCAGGCAAGGGGACCAACAACGATGCCGTCATCCCGTTTGAAGCCGGGAAGAAGTATAGGATCAGGGTGATCAACATGTCCAGTCTTTCCAGTAAGTCGCGAGCTCTGGAGGTTACGAATGAGTATACGTGAGTTTAGTCGCCGACATTGACGTTATTTCGGCTTCGTCAGTGTTCCACTTGCAAATCAAGGATCACACCATGCAGGTCATCGAGATGGACGGCATCGACACCGTCCCCACCGAGACCGACATGCTCACCATCGCCGTCGCCCAACGATACTCTGTCTACGTCGAAGCCAAGTCCAACGCCGATTCCAACTATGCGATGATGGTCTGGCAAGATCCCGACATGTACGACGCCATCCCCGAGGAGCTCGTCCTGAACAATACCGTCCAGATCCAGTACTCGGCGGCCCTGCCCAAGGCGGAGGCGTTCACGTTCGATGTGGCCCCGACAGAGTATTCGACGTACCCGATCGCGGATGACACCATCTTCAAGCCTTTGTTGAGGAACGCGAGTGCTCCGCCGGATCAAGAGTTTACGATCGTCGCCACTTTCGATGTGGGTAGTTTGTCAAGAAAGAGAAGCGCCGTGTGGCTTGAGCTGATTGATGTCTTCCTTGGGCTATTTAGACCTTTGACGATGGTACCCCTCGATCGGCTTGTAAGTCAAACAAGTGTGCTCTCGCCGCTGTCTCATCGCTAACCACTCCTGAACACCTGCTCGCAATCAGTCAACGATGTGTAAGTCTCGCCGGCAATTTCTTCGATCCGATTTTTGGCCGCTTACGTGTTTAACATCTGGTGCTTCTTACAGTACCTACCAGATGCCGATGACCCCTACCCTATTCACCGAGATGACTATGGGCAACGATTCGAACAACGCCAGGGTCTATGGGTCCATGACCAACGCCTTGATGCTCGATCACCTTGCCATGATCCAGGTTACCATCGTTAACACGTAAGTCGGCTTACTAACTCCTCGAATCCTTGTCCAAGTTTGTCTGAAATAAAACCCTTATGTGCAACCGTGTAGCGACACCGGTTTCCACCCGTTCCACTTGCACGGTCACGAGTTCCAAGTCATGGGTAAATCCACAGATTACCTCTCGAATGACACTTCGGTCAACCCGCCCATTGTCGAGCAAGAGAACCCCATGCGAAGGGATACCGTCACCGTTCCTCCCGGAGGATCCACGACGATCCGATTCAGGGCCGACAACCCCGGTGCTTGGTTGTTGCATTGTCACGTATGTCCTGTATCGTTGCAATTTGATGAAGACCTTGTGCTGATCCTTCGTACGCGCTGTACTACTTGCCTTGTCAACCGGGGCGCAACAGGTCGAATGGCACATGAACCAAGGTCTTGCCGTCACCTTTGTCTCGTTCCCGGACGAGACGCAAAAGCTGTTGACGCTCCCTCAAACGTTGATCGACCATTGCGAGGCCCAGAACATCCCCGCTAGCGGAAACATCGTTGGTCTTATGTCGACCACTGACTTTAAGGGCGAGCCTTACGGACCTTGGCCTCAGAAGTTGGGTTGGAGACCCAAGGGTGCGTATTCGCTGTGATTTGCCTGTAAAACATCTTCTCTGACCGTCTCTTATCATCGCGATCACAGGTATCGTCGCGATGACCGGTTGCGTCCTGACAGTCGTGCTCGGTTTCGCCACCGTCGTGTGGTACGCATCCGGCAGTCTGGATGACGCAGAGATCGAGGAAGAGATCAAACGAAAGCACGAATTGAAGCAAAGTAGCGGCGGCAAGTTTGGATTCGTCAAGAGGCTTGCGAACCGAAGTTAGATCTAGTTGCTATGCACAATAATGTAGACGTAGGGCAGAATCTCAATGCATAATCAAAACGAGCCGAGGTCGTGCATGCCACCAGGCTTTCCCAAAATATCGACGAGACTGTCTCCGGCCTCGAGCTGTATAGGCTTATCTCCGACTCTCCATACGCTTCTGCATAGCATCTCTATCCCTCATGCCAACCAAGATCGCCATCATCTCGTCCGTTTTCTTGTCAGTGGCCTTGTTCTGATCCTTGATGGTCTTCATGTCGGTTTTGAGAGCCGTAACATTGGCTTTGAGGGTCATGATGTCGTCCAACTTACGATGTCGCTCAGTATATGGCCAACATCAAGACTCTCAAGACCGACGTTGCGACCATCAAAGCCGACATTGCGGCCATCAAGGATCAGAACAAGGCCACCAATAAGAACTCTGACAAGCGTCTTGGTGTCGGCTTGGGTGAACATGATAAGGAGAGTAGTATCTAACGAACAGCGATTGAGTGGATTGGGGTATAGAGATGTGAGAGATTGCGAGAATTATGAGTATCGTGAAGATTGTGACACTGTACATGTATGATTGATTGATTATCGTGATGGAGGTGGGGTGTAGGGTGATTCAACATCTTAAGGCATGATGAACATTGGTTTCGTCCGCATGTCCGCGCAACAATCCCCGATTCCCGAAGACTTGATTCGATCATGCATGGCCTAGACTTCGTCTATCACATCTCATGACGCTTGTATAGTTTCAGACTTGTGGCTCCTTATCCTTGCAACTTGCGCCTCAGATCGACAAAAGTGCGCCTCACGAGAGGTCTAGTCCCATCTGCCAGAAATTCGTCTCCAAGCGTACACAATCTCTCCAGATCCGCACAAGCCTTTCCAATCGGGCTGGAGAAGGTTGTTCTTTGACTATACGTTGCTCCAATGATTCTACAGAACAGCGGGGTCTTAGATACGTTACTCGCTGGAAATGAACAGCCCGAGTATGAACTCACCGATTCCACGAGTGACGGCCCCTTGGTAATCTGCTCCGCTGTAATCTTCTATCCATCTTCGGTATCGATTTCCTTCGAGAATGAACCCTTCACTGCGTTCGGCAATCTTCCGTCGAAGGTAGAGCCCGACCTCGCCGTACCCAACAAGACAGCTCAAGACGGCGACAACGAGCTCGAGCACGTCCCCACGGTGTCCGACGTCGAGGATGTATTGCGAGTACGAATAGTTGGCTGGGGATTCGGTCGAGGCGAGCATCTCTTCCATAGTGATGCCAAACGATTTGCAAAACTACCCGAACATAGCAGGGACGAACAGAGCGTTACTGCGTGCTCATTTTTCAGCCCTGCCTACAAGGACTGACCTCGACGTGCATCGTGCTCTCGCGAGCGATGTGAAGTGATATCTCCGAAAAAGCCTTGATCTCCTCAAAGTCCGACGTCTTGGACGCAGCCAAAGCATGCGCTCTGGCATCTTTGAAGACAAATCAAATCCAGGTTCAGCTTTCCGGCCTGATCACCACTCGGTTCGCTCATGATTCCCGGCTCACAATGCCGCAGATAGTGCCAATCCTGTATAATGTAATGCCGGAAACATTCGACAGGTAATGTCCCCTTTCCGAGCTGGAGGACGAAGGGGTGTCGTACATATCCTTTCCATTCGCCCGGAGAAGACCGGAGGAGGAATGACATGAACGGGTGAGGGTTCTGTAATGTTGGCCTGAACCGTCGAATAGGTTAATATCATTGTTAGCCAAAATCTGCGATCGGTGCCGTATCCAGAACTTGTATGAGATCGTAGAATGTGTACTCACAATGGCAACGGTCGAGGGATAGTCATACATTGATGATTAAGGGGACCATTACCTTGACCCTTAGCTTGCGCCGTGATCAAGGCATACTGGACGTATTCGATACCTTGCTGTACCGCCTCTTTCACTATCATACGGCATCACCAAAGGCACCTCGAATTAGCACACTTGCATTGAAACCATGTTAACTAGAAGAGTCAAAACTCGATAACTCACTGGACTTTCCATGCCCAACATTACTAGCTATCGCAGCGCTCAACGTACAACCCGTTCCATGCGTCGACCGGCTCTTGATGGACGGTGCTACGAAGAGGGTAGCTTGCACGCCTTCCTTGTCGTTGGTCGATGATAAGAGGACATCGACGATGCATTCGTCCTCCTTGACTTCGACCTCAACCGGAGGCTCAGGAGAAGTTATATCCGGATTTGTGGAATTCGACTTGGCTTGCGTAGGGGTAAAATCCCCCTGTTTAGCCTTGACAAGCGTTTGGCGGTAAGCAGAGAGGATCTCCACGAAATCTCCGTCTTCCCCCTCCTCATTCGAGTCCGCCTCGAGCGTATTCCCATCCCAAACCACCTCGACCTCCAACCCGGACCCTACTTCCTCCTTCTTGAGAGCTCGGAATTGCGCCTTGAATGCCGAGGTAGTTAACGGTACATGACCTCCCTTGACCAGAACCCCCTTTTCTGCATCCACTTCTCCCCGGTTCTCCGATTGCAAGAACGCCAGGATCTCGGTCCCAACCTCTATCATGCTCTTCAGATCTTTCACTCGGACCCCGGTGTCGTCTTCGGTATCCTTGATAACCTTCCCCAAGACTTCTTCACTCAGAGCAGAACCTGCATTCGACCTCGGGGCTGATCCAAAGGTTGACATTGAAGCTGATGGCGAGGAACCGGATCTAGCACGAAGACAGTTGACGATCATCTCCGCTTCAAGAGCGTTGGGCGTGACGATATAACACAAGGGAAGGAAATCGAAGACGAGATCGTTGATAGCCGAAGGGGATAATAGCGAATGCCGAGAGGTGGATACCGAGACTGGGTCGATGATGAGCGGAGGTAGAGGTGGGAGTTGCGTAGAGTTCGTCTGCGGTCCCGATGTTGAGGTGGACGAGGAGTTATGGATTGGGAGAGAGTATTTTTCCGACAAGGCCTGGATGAGAGCTTGGATGATCGGTGAGGATGCCAGCATGCCCGTCTTGATCGCTTTCGGTGGGAGGTCATCCACTAGGCAAGTCAACTAGCAATTATCGAGACCGAAAGATTCCGTCCGTGTCAGCCTCGATACCCCTATTGAATTCTCATTTATATTTCGACTCCAAAGGTCGCCAGACATACCTGCTTGAACACCGCCTCGACGCTCATCTCCCAAACCCCCTGTACACCCAGAGTGTTCTGAGCGGTCAAGGCGGTAATGACGCTCGTCCCGAACCCACGATGAGCCTCGATCGTCTTGAGGTCCGCTTGGATCCCAGCACCTCCCGAGGGGTCCGAGCCGGCGATGGTCAGGATCGTCGGTTGGTCGCTCATCTTTTCTACGTCTAGTCACGCCGATGCATGAAGGACCACTGGATTGGTATGCAAGGGTTGGTAAGGCTTGTCATCTCGATTTTTATAGAATGGCAAGTTGCGAGTTGCACAGTCGACTGCGAGACGGAAGACGGAAGAGACGACGGATGATTGCTCGTCGCATTCAATTTCGGATTTCGGAGGTGGAGGTGGAGGCAACTTCCGGATCCGCAAGGTTGACGTCAGAGAAAACGTGAAACCGCGGAAATAGAGTTCGTCATATCGAGGTACCCGGCCTTGAGCAGCAGCCAATGTCTTGTTTCAAGTCTGTATAAACCCAGTCATACTTTGCGCGCTTTCGTTGGGTGTTTGGACACTGGCATTGGTTTCGGTGGGTAGTGTAATTCTGGTACATGACGGAGAATTTCCTACATAACGTGCTACCGCAATACGACATCCACCACGAATCACCTCCTCCTCGACCTCTTCCCACTCGACTCCTTTTCCATGACGACCTCCTCGACCCAATCGTCCAACTCGCAGATCTTGAACTGCCGCCTACCCCAACCCATCCTCTTCGCTTCTTCCCTCCACATCCTGCTCGTCCCCTTCCTCCACGTCCAGAGCTCGACCTTCCACCCTCTCTCAACCGCCAACTTGACGCACCCGAGGAATCCGAGGTCGTTGAACTGTCCGCCCTTGGCGTCTCCAGTCCCGAGGACCAAAGTACCCGGTTGAGGGGAGAAGAGCAGCGTCTGGAGGATTTGCAGGTGGAGAAGCTCATCCACCGCTTGTTCCCGCATTCGCCGGGAGGTGATGGACGGGTCGTTCAGGTTGGGTAGGACTAGAGGTCGGGTGACGGCCGGAGTGTCCGAATCCGTTCCTGTAGTCGTGGCCTCGGTCTCGTCCTTGACGATAGCCGACGTCCAAGTCTTCTTCCCTCCCTTCTTCCCCTTGACGGGCACCTTCTCCCTCTCCCTCTCCTTGTCCTCGCTTTCACTGGTCCCATCGCCGGGCTTCCTATCGACCTCGACCCGTTTCAAGACACAACACCTCCAACCCATCTTGACCGCCCCGTCCAACCCTTGCGTCAACGGTGCGCTGGCGACGAGGTGCATACCGTCACGTGCTGGTCGACGTCCTCGCAACATGAGGAGCGAGAGGATGGGGATGTTGAGGATCTTCTTGGTCCCGACTGTCAGGTTGGGTAGAGGGCGGGAGACGAGGGTGGAGATCATCCCGTGGTGGATGTTTGAGCTATAACGAGAAAGGCACATCGTGTTGTTAGCCAACTGCGAGACAACCAATGACGGTATCATCGATGACATCGAAACCAGAACTCACTGATCGAGAAAGACATAGACATCCCCAAACACCTCACTGCCCTCCTCGACCTTGACCTGACTGATTAACCTCCCGACACCCTCTTCCCACCTGACTTCACCCTCCTTCCCATCGACCAAGAACCTCTCCACCTCATCCCTGACCTGCCTGATCCCAGAGTCCGTCTCCGCCTCGGTATCAGACTCGACCTTGACCTCGTCCTCGACCAATCCCGCCTGAACCTCATCGTCCAACCTCCTCACCCAAGCTTCTCCTGCGAACTTTTCCCTCATCCTCCCCGTCATCCCCTGCAAGACCTTGATCACCTTGGGGACGGGCTTGATAAACTCTACACTGACTTCTTCCGCTGTAGATTCCTCGGCGGACGATTGGAAAGTATTTGCCGGTGGGATGTATCCTCGTGGGTATCGAATGGGGTTGGATGTGGGAGTCGGGAGCGTCTCACGGTCCAAGGTGAAGGTGATAGGAGGAAAGTTGATCCGGGGTAACGATACGGTGGTTTCCTCTTCAACCTCGACCTTGATCTGCTCGGTCGGAGCTGGGGTGACCGGGACGGGCGATTCGCTCAAGACCGGTGTCTTGGCTCGTAACAGCCCTTTCAGATGGCTAACCAAGAGGTCCCCCACTTCGTCCTGATCCTCCTGTGCCTTGACATCGGCACTCCTGCCCGTAGGGTTTCGCGTCTCTACTCTCCCCCTCTCCTTCTCGTCCAGGGCAATCAACGCCTTCAAGACCTTCACTTGACCGGGAGCGATCCATCTCCTCCGTCGACCACCCGATCGAATGGCTTGCATGTGAGAGAGCCGGTAGAGGTACATTTCGCGTCCGAGTTTGGAAATGAGTCGGGTACGTCTGAGCGAGTTCGATGTCGACGCTGGTGCCGGTGCTGTTGTTGATGGAGATGTTGATATTGATGTAGCTACGGTTGTCGATGCCGCTGAAGGGACCGATAGCTTCTGCAGATCCGTACTGATCGGGACAGACGTCGTAATATCCTGAAGACCTTTCGTATCTCCAATCTGCACCTTCTCCTCGTAATCCTGATCCTGATCTTCTTGCTCTTCCTCCTCAACGATAACCTTCCTCCCGAAATCCCGAACCTTGACCTCAACCCCACCTGACTCCCCCTTCATCCTCATCCCCTTGTCCTTGTCCTTTTTCGACTCCGACTTGACCCGTCCTAGTACCAGCCGAGCTGAAGATGTAGACAAAGGAACCTCGCCCGCGACGCCCGGTTTTGGTCTCTCGTTGTCATTGTCGCTCGAAGGCGGGGTCAGGGGTAAGACGGTATTTCTGGCAAGATCCGTCCGGGAGATGGGTCGAGATTGCGATCTGGGTTTCGTAATCAAGGTAGTAGAAGTAGTGGGGTGATCGTCGGCAAAGGTGTAGTTACCGGCGAGTCCGGCGAGGTGGCGAGGAGTGATGGACATATCGTGATCTTGAGTTGCGTCGGGTTCGAATGCCTTGATGCTGCCTGAATGACTATTTAATGCTCGTCTGAACCTTGTGGTGTTGAGCTGACTGTGCTGAGGTTGAACTAAGTGCTGATGCTGGTATGCTGTTGTCTATCGACGAAAGTGATCGCTCGTATTCGTGAGACTGATGCTGCGTTACCTTGTCGTAATCGTAATGAAGAGCAGAGTACTGTCGAGCCAGCGATGTGATGCGATGCGATGCGATCTGAAGTATACAAGTGATGCAAGACGGTGATGAAGATGTAGATATAGGTATAACAGGTGGCAGGTGGGGTGTCAACATACGATCGAGGAGGGGGAGGTGGCGAAGCACAAGGTCGAACGAATCGCTCCAACACACAGAGAGTGGCAACTCTCGATCGTCCGGAAGCAGATCGATAACCACGGCGATCGGTATCGGATGTAAAACCTCGGTACCAATTCCTCTTGATCGGTCACGTGATCTTCGGTCGCAGTCTGCTGAAACTCGGTTGACTGGTATATCGGGTACCGTGAGGTGAAATTAAGGTATGCGGTAGGGTAAGGGCCACGAGAGATGAGTTCGACAGAGCCAGGCAGGCATGATCCATTGTCATCAATAATAATATATCTATATTTATCCATGCTCGTTTGCAGCCCTGATCCTTCTGCGTCGATCTATCTCGCGCGATCTATACTCAGTCAAGTTATTTGTTGTTGCACGATGAGACCGCTCATTCGAGGGTAGGCAAGAACTCCTCCAAGACGTCGGCCTATAAGTCAGGACAATCTCGGTCAGTCCCTATCGCCCTCAACTTAGCATATTCCGCACATCTCGGTCGACTTACGATGAGCTACCAAAGCGAATCACACCGACAATCCGATAACAACAAGACAACAAGAAGTGAACAGAATCAGCTTTCAGCTCTCCCATCTCGTTCAAACTCCACCGCATCGCAACATAGCAACCAAGAAAATGACCCGTCGACCTACCTGATGATCCTCCGCCTGAGGCAGACCGCTGACCAAGATCGTCCCGATCGGACAGGCCGTATTGTTCTTCAACCAGATCGGGAAGCCTGTGGTTGCAGCCAAAGATCCGGATAGAACGGACGACAGGATAGGGATGGCGAACAAGGTCACTCGATCAGCTTGATCCTTACCTCATGTGGAGGGGGGGGGGGACAGGTAATGCAAGCGGGTTATTCGGCGACTCACCTCCTCCATGACAAGCATACTCCGGGAACGGATAACCCTTATCCTCCGGTTGACGGTTCTGCAGCGCCAAACTGTTCCCCCCCGCACAAAAAACCTCACAATCAATCAGTCTCCATGGCGATTGTAGGGCGGTCGTATAACGAGATACTATACATGTATGAGTCTCAAAGAGGGGGAAGGGGAAAGACTCACACGCGTCCGACCAAGAAACTGCTCTTCCCCGTCTGCCTGACCAGCTTTTCTTTCCGGCCCGCCCAGATCCAGTTGTCAGGGCCTGGTCGTAGGATCGATGATATTTGATGATGATGTTGTGGATAATGTGAATTGATGATGAGGACGAGGACGAGGTAGGTACCGGCCAGTAGGTATCGGACCCGAGAGCGAGCGCAAGATTGAGCATCGGACGAGGGAGGGGTTGAACATGGACGTATCGACAAAAGGTATTCGCAATGACAGTCAGTCTCGGTAATGCAACGGCGAATGAGCAGGAGCAAATCATGTACAAGAAGGTTAATCCACTTACCGGTCGCGCTCGCATCCCCTGCTACGCAGCTGAAAAGGTCATGCCCATTAAACGTCCGGATGGCGATGACCACACCTGTTTCATGCCACCAAGCATGAACACCGAGCCCATCGTGCCAGATTAATCAAGCATGTAAGCTCAAATTCTTGTACTATGTACCAAAAGAGACCATTCGAAGATGATGACGTACCGAGACCCTTCTTGACCCCCGGTTTGGCTGAACGGCCGATCGACTCGTCCCCATAAGTCTCGAGGAAGGCTTCTTTTAATGCCAGGCCGAGGTTGAACGCTATCCGGTTTGAAATACGCAGATTCAAGAGTCAATTAGATGATCAATATCTTCCGATCTCTCTTCAGCTTAGACAAGTCAAAAGAGGGGAAACTCACCGATCTCGGGACTAAACTTGGCAAACCTCAATTCGGCATGATGTTTGTCGAGCAGGTCGACGAGGGCTGCGTCTTTGAGGTCGTACTCGGGAGCTCGCTTGGCGGTGGACATCTTGAAAGATCGTGTGATTGTGGATTAGCAATGGATAGAGGTGGAATGTAGCTAGGCAGGTAGGCGTACAGAACAACTTGGCGAAAGATAGGGGTCGTTGGAGGGTTGTGCTTGGGTTAGGCTGACGTGGGATAACACGGACATTCAGTTGTTACTCTTATGTCCGCTATGCTATTACGTCAGGAATGTGAATACCCGGCGTTTGTTTACCCGGAACCAACCGCCCCGGCGTTGCTAGCCTCCTCTCCCTCACAGCTCACCTTGCAACTCGCACCTCGAAGGATGACTTCGGATTGCCAGATCGATTTCATCCCACTCTTCTGATTATAATCATCGAGATACAGAGGACTCACAAAATTCCCATCTGTATCAGACAAAACCTGCCAAGCAACCAACCTAGAACCGTGAACATGTCCACCTCCAACGCCCCTACCAAGATGAAAGCGCTCGTCTACCGAGATGCCAACCAGGTCGAAGTCGTAGAAAAGGATATCCCTACTCCTGGACCAGGCGAGGTGGTCGTCAAGGTCACGACGAGTGGATTATGGTGAGCGTCAACAGTCTCCTATCATATAAGACCCGAAAGTCCATAGGATTGATGGGCTCACGGACTGGATCTTGGCACTCCCTCGTTGCTACAGCGGGAGCGATCTGCACAACTACAGGGCCGAGGCTGTGAGTGATCTCATTCCACCCGTCAAGAAAAGCGGCTGTAGGTCCCGTGTTGCACGATCGATGCTGACGATTGGAACCTTGCCTTATAGTCCAGCTTTACCAGTACCGGGTTCACCATGGTCAGTTTTGCTTCCTGACCTCCAATATCTTCGAAACCCGAGAAACTCTCATTGACGCCATTGCATCGGATTCACCTTTTACTAGGGCCACGAATTTACCGGCTACATCCACTCTGTCGGCCCCCCCTCCGATTCCTCTTCCTCAGAACCCTCGTCCACTCCCAACCTTCAAGTCGGCCAGCGCGTAGTCTGCCCCTTCACGACCTCTTGCGGCGACTGCTGGTTCTGCCAACGCGGCCAGACCGGACGATGTACGAAAGGATCCCTCATCGGGTGTCCGAAGTTGGAAGGAGCTCAGGCTGGGTATGTCAGGGTCCTGCTGGCGAGGACCACGTTGTTTGAGGCTCCGGAAGGGATGCCGGATGGGCATCTGATCTTGATGGCCGGTAAGCCGGCGTGATTTGGAGCGAGATGGTTTAGGACACGAAATGCTAAAACACAAGTGACTTGGGAATCTTTCTATGACCCGGTTAGATATCTTCCCTACGGGTTGTTTCGTCGTCAAGAACGCCTGGGACATGTTGGGCGAAGTTGAGAGGCAGGACGCTACAGCGCTTGTCATCGGTTGCGGACCCGTCGGACTCTGCGTGAGTCCAAGTCTGAGATGTGTCATCGAAATTCGACCCGCTCGATGCGGCTGATCCTGAGGGTCTTGTCTTCATGTGCTACTTTTCCTACAGGCTATCATGGCGGCCAAAGCGAGGTTCAGCAAGGTCTTTGCTATCGACCCGGTCCCCGAACGAATGGGTCAGTCGAGACGCCATTCCCATAACATCCACTTAGATTGACATCGAGGCTGATCAACCGGGACGTTCGATTAGAGATGGCCAGGAAATACGGAGCGATCCCCTTGACCCAGACGGACGGCTCGTACACCGCCTCGCTCCTCGAACAAACCCCTTACGGGCCCGACGTCGTCCTCGAAGTCGTCGGCAACCCCTCCGCTCACGCCCTCGCCATCGATCTCGTTCGGATCGGTGGGGTCGTCGCCTCTTGCGGGGTCCACTCGGCCGCCCTGACGATCAACGGAGACACCGCTTACAACAAGAACCTGAAGTTTTGTTTCGGCAGGTGTCACGTCCGGGCGATGTTCCCATACGCCTTGGGGCTGTTGCAAAAGATCGGAAAGGAGACGCCGGAGTTGTTGGACGATTTCGTACAAAAGGTCGTCAGCATCGACGAGGCTCCAGAGGTGAGTTTGTGGGGCTGTCGGAATTTGATCCGCGTAGATCGAGGCTGATCGCCGATCGGTTCATGTCAGTACTATCGCCTGTTCAACGAACGCAAGATCGGCAAGGTCGTCTTCGAGTTCTCGGACGTTTAGAGAGATACGACCGCCTGGCAGCTCGAGGCATGATTCAAGCGCATTAAAATGTTGTATGTGTCATGGACGCGAGGTGCACATCGGAAAGACTTATACAAGCGCATGCCGGTCGAGTCTAACTTCGTAAAGGTCGTAAAGGTCGTACAGAGCGTACAGTCCGTATAGGTCGTAAAGGTCGTGAAGAAGTCATAATCATTCAAGCTCTGGTCCGGTTAAAGAACGGAAGCTTCCCTCCACTTTTCGGGTACCTCTACCCTTCGCTACTCGGGGCAGAATCCCCTTCCCCTCCTTCTTCGGAAGACGGGGACTCCTCAGCAGGAGACGCGCTGTAGCGAACAAGAGCATGAGGACGGCGATATTGAGAGAGAACGATTATTGTAGCCATGGGCAACATACCTGTACTGCATTTGAGAAACAGTCTGACATGCCTCCCCGTACATCTCTGGATAGGCTGGTCCCCTGCCATCACAAGCACTCATTGCATCCATGATGACCTATGATATACATTAGCTTCGAAGCGCAAACGGGGAAACGGATGGGCTCACCTGCTGTAACAACTTCTTGCCATCCGGTTCCCTTATATCCCGCCACAGAGAAGTCTGAGGACCTTCAGTGACGCGAGTGGGGCTGTAGCGCAGATCGGCATTGCCTGTGATGGTCGAGTCAGTAATCTCGATACCAGAAACATGCACTCGGAGATCTTACTAGGACGCATCACCCCGAGGTTTCGATTCGGCTCATACTTGACCTCCGCTTCATCACTCTCCGCTTGCAGCCAGCAGTAGGGCCGGAACCAACACCCTACCCAACCAATCAGGTACAGATGCTGATTCATGACCCCATTGTCCTGAGCTGCATTGGCTCTCCCTCTGATCTGTGCGTCAACTTCAAGTGCTTTCGCTGGAGTGATTTCGTCGGCTTCGGTGTCGGGAGCTTTGATTTCGACGATCAAGATGGTGAAGCTGGGATGGGCAAATTGAGTGTCGAGGCTCTCAGGCGTTTGGGCGAAGAGGCAGTTGTCGACTTTTCCAGAAGATAGCTCTTTTTTATCCATGATCTCCTCGAAAGGATTGTAGGCGTAGTCACGGGCTTTGAAAGCGACTTCCGTTTTAGAGTAGAACAACGTGCGAGTCGAGGGTTTCGTCGGGCATTGCTCCGCCAACTTCCCTATGAGCGTTTGGACCGCGTCCCGTAGATTATCGTGATTTGTAAGTATCACGGCTCTGAGACCTCCGTCAGATTTGACGATCCATTGCGTAAGTAACCAGCCGACGTCTCCCCACACGGCGAAGAGCGGTAGATCTAGAACCGCGGGCGGGATGGGGGGAGGCTGAGATTGGCCGGCGGTATGGACTTCGGTAGACGGGGTGGGAGACGACATGGTCTGTGATTCTGCTTGCGTACGTCGAAGATGCCAAAGTATGTAATCCTTGCGTCGAGCAGCAGCGCCCTTGAGGTTTTGTCTTTCGAATATCGACTTTCCGGCTGGGAGGAGGTAGGGAAGAGTCTGTACACGCAAGTGGAGACCAAGGCCCGGGGTCAGCTGGAGAAGTGTGTCGCAGCATAACTAGCTGATCGACGCTCACGGAGGACTGTCTGTTTAAACTTTTGGTGCCAGGCATCGAGTGATAGATGAGAGAGAGACGATCGAGGCGGATGGTAAGGACGAGAGACGCTTCAATGTCTATTGTCGGATCTCAGGGAAGAGGTCGATGACATCCAGCACGGAGGTTGCCAGTTCCAACCCGTTCCGGGAGGAGGGAATTGATGCTTCTCGTTGCACCAATTGAGATTCTATGTGAACTCGTAGAGCCTGCAATGATTATGGAGAAGGAGTATGAGCTAATGAAGCCCCATGATCGAGCTTGCATCCTGCAGGACGAGGACGAGACCGTAAAAGAAGGAACACAGGCTACCTACCTCGAACTCGTGAATGGTGATGTTGACCTTTGCGTATAACAAGTCCAACCCGGCAGCACCGGGTCGGGCGATCCGACGTGAATAATACTCGGTCAGATGCTGATGACTAGATCAATTGAGAGCGAGATCTATCGTGCGGCAGCTTTGTTGTTGACATCATGTACACATATATTAGTCGTTGCAAGTATACAAGTGCAAGTTGCTCAAGGTTGATTCAACCTTATGACGGCTCGGGGACCCTACCGGAGCGTACGCGTCGCCTCCCCCCGGGTCATCCTCTCCCGGGTCTTGACAGAGGATCAGACTCGATTCCATATACCATATACAAATGAGAAACACTCGGATACACACAGTAGTATTTGCGACTGACCCTAACACTGCTTTTATCGACTTGCCACTGATCTAAGAAAACGTCAACTCGCCCCCTCCCCAACTCGTCTGCGTCACGCTCTTGCTGTTCCTCATCGCTGCGTATCCGACGCACGTCTGGTTTGCACACTCCTTGGCCACCGCCATGGCCTTGCTACTGATATTCACCGTCTCTGCCACTTCCTCTGTCGTCAACCACATGGTCACCCCGGCGACCTGGAACGATCCCGCGTCCTTGTTGTAGACCGAGTCACCTGCGATAATGAGCGAGGTTGCGATCAGATCGAATGTTCACTTCTACCGTCTGGTCAAGCTGTCCTGTCGAGACCTGGACCCACCTCGCGTAAAACCCCATGGAGACAACGAATCGTCCACCGTCGACGTCAAGTTCTCCCCAAAGGCCGTGTTGTTACCCTGAACGATTACAAGACTGGCATAAGTAACGCGTTCGAATGACAACTTTCTTGTTCGGGGCGTACCTGATCGAAAACAACGATCCGTTTCCGATCGTCGTCCCATGGATCTTGGAAGTTGAGCATCCCGTTATCAGAAGGTTCGAGATCGTTGGACTCGGGGATCCGAAGGTCACCGTTAACCGAGCGGCTGAAAAATCCAAAGTCCAGGTATCAATTTTCAAGTTTCTTCTAACATGTTATCGAGCTTCAAGGCTCGAATCTGGACTCACAGCAAGAATCCTCCCTGGAACGCCGGATGCATCCTCGTCGAAGCTTCCCCGTTCGATGTATAAGCCCCACTATCCAAGACGACCCCCGGCGGCTGAGCCAGATACTTCAAGACCAACGGCCCGTTCGTCGTCTGCGCCCTGACTTTAATGTTCCGGATGGGTATGTCGTCCGGGTCCATATTCAGGGGGGTCGAACCGTAATCAGAGACGGCACGGCTGACGACCATCTTGGCTGTCGGTGGGCTGTCGGAAAAGGCACGGAGGTCGAGGGCGGAGCGGGTGTTGCCGGCTCGAGGGAAATAGTTGGACCCATCCCGGGTAACAACCGAGTCTAGGTAGCCCTGTTGGTCGAGCAAGCAGAAGAGTGAGAATAAGTGAGACTTTGCAGCAGCTTGGAATGGTTCGCCGTCAAGCAGGGCTTACGGGGTTGTGTAGGATAACATCTGCCAGGAGACCACCGCTGTTCGATGCCAGAGCCTTCCAGTCAGTACCGCACGGCGCTCGAACATGACATGAACCCAAAGCCGTCGGGGACATACTTTGTCGAGTTCATGATCAGGCTTTCGGAAACGTTAAAAGTCCCCCAGAGACTGCTCGTCCGCGTCTGAAGGGTCATTTCGTCCGCCGCGACGTACTGGATGGCAGGGGTCATCAGCACACGATCTCATGGCCGTCGTCTGGTTATCCACTCACATCGGCGCCGATCAACCCCCTCCCGATCGAAACCTCCAAACTCGCGAAACTAGCCAACCCCTTCATATTCCCCATCCTCATCCCCATCTGATCGGTGATGATCTCCAACGAGTTCAACTTGCGGTCCAGCTGGTCAAAGACCGCTGTCGAGTTGACCTCGCCGTCGTCTCGGAGCGGCATGGAAGCTGGAGGTGGGTAGCGGACGAGGATGAAAAAGGAGAGGTTGGGGTCACCGGCGACGACTTCATCGGGCGAGTCGGTCGATAGAGATTGAGTCTGTCGTCGTTGGGCGCGATTTGGATCGAATGTACGGTCAATATCGGCGTAAAGAGCAAGAACCAGATGCCCGAACGACTCACGTAAACTCCAACCCCCTGCCTGCCCGTCTGATCGGTCATCTGACAGACCAAGCTCTCCGTCGCGTTCGCTCCCGTCCGCTTGACCACATCGATCCTGACCTTGTCCTGCGGGATCTCACCCGCTTGCAGTACCGGGTAATCGTCCACGCCCATCACCTGGACCGACCCCGAGCTCGAATCCCCCTTGGACCTCACAAAGACCGAAGAGGCGTTCTTGTCCAGATAAAACGTCGTGTACGTGATCGTCTGCCCATAGGGTGCGAAAGCGACCGAACGGAGGATGTTGCTTGAAGAGAGCGGGGAAAAGAGGTTGCATCGTTCCGATTGACCGTCTTCGGGTGGAGGCCCGTTTTTCATGGGATCGAACGTTAGGTATCCTTGCGAGTCGAAGGGGACGACGATCCGACTCCCTCCTGCGCTATAGATCTTGCTCGCCTTCTCGTTTTGCCTTCCTAGCGTCAGACCGCCTACCAGTCCGCCTGCAATCCCACTCGCCAGGACCTACAGTTTCAAGACGAAGCGGACAGAATCGCAATCCTCAGTGAATCTCCAATTCGTGTCCCTTGAACATGGGAAAAGGTAGACGACTTACCATGACGAAAACGATCGCCCAAATCCACCTCTTCGTACTCCACCGCTTCCACCCCCAACTCTCCGGATAAAACGACCCCTTGAGCCCGCCCACTGTTACCATCGCGGTCTCTCGTCCCTGAACTTCCCGATCTCGATCTCGATCTCCTTGCCATTCACGTCGCTTGCCCTTGCCTTTCCCTCCTCTATCCCGCCTGAACAATCCCGAGCCGGTCCCGTCGACCATATCCGGACGACCGGGTATCTCGCCGGTGGAACCCCTTGCTCTTTCCCCCTCTTCCCCTCCGCGAGCCGCACCAATACGGGTACTCGGACCGGGATTCGAAGTCGAAGAAGAACCCAACCATCCCAATCCCAATCCCCACCCCCATCCTGACCCGCGCCTTGAACCTTTCCTCTCCCTCCCCATCCCCCTCCTCGTCCGGCCAGGTCCTCTCCCGAACAACCCCATCCCCGAGCCCATCATACTTCCAGACATAGACGCCGATGCCGAGGCCGATATCGATGCCGACGTCGAGGCAAACAGGGAAGAAGCCCTGGAATCGTCAATCTCGAATTCCTGTCTGCTCGTCCGCGCCGAGGCCGAAAGAGGGTTGAAGTTATTGTTGGTGGTGGTGTTGGTATTTGGGATGGAAGGGAGGGTGAGTTGGGAGGTAGACGCTTCTGCCTGATGTTGAGGTTGAGGTTGGGCTGGAGGGTAGTAAGAGTATGGGTACGGGTTCGGGTTCGGGTACATGTACGGGTTATTATCGTTACTGTTGTCGATGTTGTTGAGGACGTTGAGGTAAGGATGGGTGGATGGTGATCCTGACCTTGATCCTGGCTCGCCCTCTCGTTGACTCATATTCGAATCCGAAGATATAGACAGAGGCAGAGGCAGAGATGAAGGAAAGACCTGATCATAACCTCGACCCTGAGCCGTCCCGTTGTATCCTACTGTCGCAGAACCCGGTCTCGATCCTCCTCTAGTCCCATTCACACCCCCGTTGCCGCCCATGTTCACATTGCCGCCCGCATTGACATTCACATTCCCGCCCGTGTGCCCATTCACATGCCGATGAACCAACCCGGGATTATAAGGCGGAGGAGGGAGCGCTAACCCGGTATAACTCTCCAGGGAAGTCCGGGATCGGTTGTCCGGTACTTGAGATTGAGATTGGAATTGAGGTTGAACATGGAGTGCTGATCGTAGCGGTATGTGCGACTGAGGTTCAGTTCGAGATTGCAGTTGAAGTTGAGAACGCAAACGAGCCTCGTCCTCGTCGAGCTGACGTTGAAGCGCTTCCTTTTCCGGATCTTCCGGGAGGATCATCTTGATTCACGTTCGATGCGATTTCCACTTGTCTGTCAAGCTCTACTGTCGATTTCGATTTCGATTTTCAAACGGTTGAAAGCAAGACTATTTGAGACTTGCCCTATGCCATCCGCTTTGCATTTGAAGAGAACGTGCGGACGAGGGTTTCTAGATAAAGATGGTGAGATCCGATTGTCGAGGAGGGATGTAGGTGTGGCGGGAAAGGTATGGATGACGAGAGGGCGCGTAAAGTCGGTCGTAATCTCTAGTTACCGGGGGTCTTGGAGGCTATATAGATATATAGCTGAATGTCAGCGAGTCATGGTCGCGGGTAGCTAGTTCCAAGAGGGAAGTCAAGGGAGAGAGAGATGGAACACGATGAGATCATGGAGATGCAAATTGAAGAGAGGGATACGAGGGTTTCTCACACAACGAGTGCAAGGGCAGGCAGGGAGGAGGAGAAGGGAGAGGGGAGGCGACGCGGATATATAATTACATGAGTCGGGATCAGTTTCATCATAGTTACGGCAGCAAATTCCAGCAGGGGTTGATGTCATGTGGATGTACGAGGTGGTTGGTCTCTCTAGGCCTCTCTTTCAACACACAGTGGCTATACACCCAAGGTATACTACTCTGCAATCTCAAAAGAAGTAGCGAAACGGTCATTTGGGGAGTAACACACGACTCTTTGATCCGAGCAGAGCGCAACGATGGCAGGCCCACGGATCTTATCGAGGACCACCAACCTCCGAACGCGGATATCTTCCTCTTCTCCACTCGCACACCCATCGAGATATAGACATCTTTCTTCAACGACAATAGCGTCGCGCCTACCTCTACCTCTACCTCGCCGAAACGCTCAAAAGGACATCTCTTACCGGCCCATCCCAAGATTTAGGCATCTCCACACCTCAACCCCCCTCTCGGACATCCCACAATGGCCCAACCCTCCCGTCCCTCAACCGACCGTCACTCCCTATTCCTCCAACTCGAATGCAGGCGGACCGGGAAATGATAATAGTAACAACAACAACAACAATGGTGGCGGTGGAAATGGTGGGAAATCGACCCGAGGAAGCGTCTACGCGGAATTAGCTGCGAGCCCGATCGTTCAGGCTGCGGTGACGACCGCCATCGGGTTGATCGCCGTGTGAGTCCCTGGCCTCCCTCCTCCCCCTTCTTTCGGGTAGATCAGAACGAAATAATGCTAGATGCTTATTACATTGCCTTACCGGGGAAAATGCCGCGTTTTTTCTTTCTTGTTGTTCGCTAGGTTCGTAGGAGGGGTCGGGTATCTGGCTTACTACAAGGCGGACGTGTTGAACAAGGTGAGTGGAAACTCTCCAGCTTTTATATATTCGATACATGCCTCGAAATCGAATGTGTTTTGCTGATGAATGGTTTTTTTGCTTTCGAAACGTCGAATTATACTCCTATTCCTCTTCACCTATACGCCCCGGTCGAACCACTCATCCACGCAACCCCAGATGGAAGGAGCCTTCGCAGCGGGCTACGACCCCGCCCTAGAAGTAGGCAAACTGCACCACAAGAAACACCCTCACCACCCAGGCTCTCTCTTCGAACACGAGATGCAAGAATCCGACGACCCCTCCGACCCCCACTCGCACCCTCATACCAACATCGTCCGTAAAGAACAACAAACCGTCGATGGGATCGTCAAGGGCGAAAACGTCGGCAACTACTGGATCCTCATGGGTCCCAAGGGCACGGGGAAGAAACATACCATCATCGAGAGTATGAGGGGGATCCATGCGGATGGAGCGGCGTTTGCCGAGGCGCATGGGGATCTCGAGGTGTTTCGGTTGAGGTTGGGCAAGGCGCTTCATTACGAGTTCAAGTGAGTGGGTGGTTTTTCTTTCTTCTCCTTTGGAAGTGGATTTTTTTAGTGGTTGCGAAAGAGAGGAGATAAGGGCCACCTTTTCGGGTGGACTGAATGATTACCCTGGTCCATGTGAGATGATTTGCTGATTCGACGTGTTTGCGGTTTATGTCATATCATACAGCGAAGACTGGCAAGGTGAGCTCTAGAAGCGCAGCCCATACGACTTCAATCAACGCTCAGCTAACTCATCCTGTATTTTATCTTTCCTCGTCTAGGCTCCTTATTCTCCCGACGTGATCCTCGAGAAGGAGGACCTCGGTTGGATATCGAACGTGGTCAGTGCAACAGGTCTTTTCGGACCGGTCATCCCAATGATTTAGCTGATGGGCCCATGCTTCGCAGCGATGAACAAGCTGGAAAAGGTCGCTCTGAGGTATACGGAACGTAGGGGCAGGCCCCTCGTACTCGCTATCAGTGGTATGTTGCGTTGCTGATGGACTCCCTACTTGGATTGCTCACTGACAACGTATCGCCCCTATTTGATGACAATTGAAGATGTCCACCTGTTCGGTAACGACCCGGAAGGGATCGCCCTGGTACAACAACTGCAACAACGTGCAGAGGCTTGGGCGGAAGCGGGGATTTTGACCATGATCTTCACCACGGACGATTATTGGCCATATGAGACGATGAAGAAGAACGCAAGTCGGCTCAGGGTGAGTCCTCGTCTTCTTACTCGCTTGAATGCGAGATAACGCTCACCTTAAACCTCGCTGCGATATCATTTCAGGTTCTGAGTGTCCCGGACCTCTCCCCTCCAGAGGCTTTCAATGCGCTTCGTTACCTTCGCTCGTGCTACGGTCCATCGGCCGCTATCGACCGAGCAAAGGACAAGGAACAGATGCCGCAAGTCTTGCACCTGCTCGGAGGACGGATCTCGTTGTTGCTACGTGCTGCCAAGGCTAGGGATATGCTTGGTAAGGAAAGCCGATATTTCTCTTGGAAGTGGATTTTTCACTGATGTTTTTATGGATACGCGATGCGCGACAGAGGAAGCTCGGGACATGCTGGATGTGGAAAGAGAATGGATCATGTCAAGGTGCGTTCGCTCTCTCGCTTCAGTCGTTGTTAGTATGACAATGCCTTATCCGGGTTCACGCCTCGCTGCTCCTCTTAGAATCGGCTTGATTCCCGATCACGATGACGATGTCATGGATGAACAAAAGTGAGTTTTGTTTCTGCATCTCTGACTGAAGGCGATCGTCACGCTGATCACGTATCTTCCGCAGGTGGTCGAGGTAGGCATAGAACAATCACCCGGATACTGACGAAGGGGACGGTACTAATACCTGATTCGACTATGACACAGTTGTTCGTGGCTCCTCCTGCACGAGTTCGTCAAGCTACAAAAGGCAAGGTTGGAGGGGGCAGAAATCGCCGGGTCCTTGCCTGATATCGAGCTACCTAAGACGACCTATGGGAAGGCCAGGGTGGTCATGACACGTCCAGGTGAGTCGGATCTGTCAGCTTTTCAAGCTCTCCCGCTAAATCTTGACCATTGCAGACTTTTTGAGTGGCCTAGATTACGCAAACGTGAGTCGGTTCTGAATACGCTCATGTAGTAGTTTCGGTAGCACCGTGTTGACACGGATCTCGCCATCTCTCTCTCATCCAGATCATTTCGATCGATGTGAGTAGCACGCACGTCCTGGAATGCACAACAGCGACTGATATTCTCGTTTCAATGTTGACAGAACAAGTTCAACGTGCGCCCTGACAACATGTTGACTCTGAGGTCAGCCGAGCAGATCACAAATGAAGAAGACTTTGAAGAGACTCTCCAATCTGTGCGAGACCGGGTAGACGAGATCGAGGGTCTGCATAGGCAGTCCGAGATCTGCGTCAAGGAACCGTTCCAGATCCGGTATGAAAGCGGCGGATGGCTTTCCTGGTTATGGCCGAGTCGTGGACGGGTCATATCTGTCGAAGGCCTGGGTGCCGCTTTCGTACCGGCAAAGGACGAGAAGGACGATTGATGACCATGTTGACTGTTCTTGCGAAGCGGTTAAGCAGACACCACAACACACTTATACCCATCTATACCACCCTGTACACCCTTAGCAGCAATTTAGCGACCAGTGTCGAGCGGATTAGGCTGATCGCCGTATAGGGCGTTCAAACCGTAGAATTACTGCCTCCACCTCAGCCTACAGGTCTTCAGTAGGCAAGGCGATGCCAAAATCCTTTCCGAATCGCCTCCCTTTGTTAATGGCTGCGATCTGCCCTCCCTTTGATCATTTACGGTCGCAAGCTGTGCTGCACGACTCGACTTCGAATCTGCCACTCAACATACTCTCCATAGACCAGGACGACGTTGAACTACTCTATACACACAAGCCTGATCATCACTAGCGAACCTTGACCCACGATGCAAAGCCCAATGGATGAGGACGATCTGAGTCGCCCGATATCTGCACCCAGACCGGTAGCATCGGGCGCTTCTACGGTCAATCACAATCCGTTGAGCGTTCGAGTGACCGATACATCGATTGGAAAATTCGACCCTAGAACCAAACCAGGAATCAAGGTTGATGATGCATACTCCGTACTCAATCCGGATCTACCGAGCCGAGACGCATTGTACATTTTCGTGAACTTTATTTCGTATACGCGCACGCCGAAACAAGGTTCACAAGGCGTACGGGACGAACAGCTGAAACATGCTTCGAGGCTATTGGACTATGCCAGGGTAAGATTGCCTAGAATGCGTCCGTTTTATCCATTCATCCATTCAATAAGCCTGATGTTTCGCTTTGTCACTTGATGACCCGCAGGACCTCTCACAAAGACCGAGAAACCGTGTCAGCGCTCTTCATATCAAATATCGCTTTCCCGAGGAACCCGGCAGCAAACTACTCCAAGGAAACCCTCGTCCGTTCCCCGTGATGCTGGATCCCGTCATCAAAATTGACATGAGTGAGTGCAACATTATGGAGAGAACACAGTATTCGCTCCGCTTGACTAAGGGTTTCCTACGAGGAGAACCTACGGGGACCTTTGAGCCGGCATTTGCTGCGGCCATTTTCCAGCATATCGCTCAGAACATCAACCCAGCCCCGAAGAACGTCGTGGTGGCCTATGTAGGAGCAGAAGTGACAGCGTGAGTGATTGACTCTATGAAGTCGGCAGCATCTCTGGCTTACGTGGAACACCTTGACAACAGCACGCACATCCGCGATCTCTCGGTCTGGTGTTCCAATCGGGTCCCGGCGGTAACGACCTTTTCCGTGACTGAATGCCGAATTCGAGATCCGCGTCCGCTAGAAGAAGCGTTGGGCGATGCGCTTGACATCTCGATGTACCTGAACGAAGGCGAATCGCCCGTCTATGATACCTATCCTGGTTCTGGCGAGAGCTTCTCCGCGCACCGACCTTTTGGCCACTCTACCTCTGGTGGTTCCTACCTCCGCGCCAAAGAAAAGGCGCTCAGGCAGTTCGGGGTCATCACCAACAGCTACAGTAGTGGGAGAGGTAGCTGGGTGAGCGACATTGGCGTAGGGTCTCCCAACATCCGAGCGCTCCGCGGGCATACTCTTGAAGCTATCATCGATAGCATGGGATTAGGTGATGGCAACGAGGCCGCCGCGAATCGACAACAGGAGCGAGACCTACAGCTCGCCGAGATGGTCAAGCCTAAAGACTTTGCTGCCAAGAGAAGCAGCAGTTCAGCGCCGAAGCGTTCGTGGAGACAGAACAGTGGATCCGAGGGTACCAAGGCCGGTGGGCGGACCTGGAGGGACCTCGTCGTCGCGCAGAACGATCGTTTCAATCCGGAATACATAGATCCAGATGTCTGAACGGCATGTTTGCCACGTTGAGATGTGTATTATGCATGTGTGGATTCGACGCTCGGTTTACTTGCCATGCGACGCCTGTGGATTATGCCTGATACATGATGTCTTTGTTCATCGTTCCAATAGCCCTTGACATACGCCTTCAATGTCGGCGATCTCTTTGGGAGCGTTTGCGGACAGGTTCAGAGGACCATCTTTCGTGAAAGCGACGGCGTCCTGCCAGAACATCGGAAAGTATTACCATCAGCCTCGCCAATCATGAGCTATTGCTAGAGCTCCTGTCGAATTTACCTCTATCCGGATACCCATCCCGTGGAAAGCTTTGGGAAAGGCGTCATTGGCAGGAACGTAACAACCGGGCTCGATCGTGATCACGTTCCCTTCCACCAGACTGAAGTTCAGGAAGCGTTCCAGTCAGACCTCTTTCATTGCCGAGAGCGGTAATAGACGCGGATGCTCACTGTCCATTCCGGTTATTGGACGCGCAGTCGTGCAGATCGCTGCCAAGGTGGTGGGAGATGTAGTGTGGGTACTATCGTCGGACCTTATTAGCCGGAGAACTCGCGATGAAAACGGTAAATAAGCACGCTCACCAAGCTTCGCTCGACGTCCCCGGTATACAACTTGAACCCAATCTGTCTGAGCTCCTCGGTCAAGAGGCTGCAACCTGCACAACCAATATTCTTCCCCGTCAGCATAGTCGAGCTCAACACGTCAAACGGCCTTGAAATCATTGACCCGATACTCACTCAACCGGTGGATTTCCCCCATCCCAACCTCATCTTCAACCCTGCACTTCTCCACACACTTCTTCTGTACGTTCAAGACCGCCTGATAGAGGTCCTTTTGCGGTTCACTGAATTTGCCCGAGACGGGGAACGTCCGTGTGATGTCCGATGCGTAGTGCGAGTATTCGCACCCAGCGTCGAGGAGGAGGAGTTCGCCGGGTTGGAGGAGCTGGTCGTTCTGGGTGTAGTGGATGACACAGGCATTGGCGCTGCATTGCATAATATCCAAAAGACGTCATATCATGTTCGTCAGATCTGACCCTTCAAGACGCGCTTTGTGCAGCAGCAATGGAACGACCGTCGACTCACCCTGAAGCGACCACGGGCACATAAGCCGGCCTCTCGCTCCCCCTCATCGCGCAATGATACTCAAACTCCGCCTGGACCATATACTCTGTCACTTCTTTCCTCTCCTCCGTCATCCCTCTAGCGGTGGAGCGCATGACCCGCGTATGTGCCTCTGAAGAGATGTCACCGGCTCTTTTCATCAAGGCGAGTTCGGCTGGGGATTTGATCATCCGGAGTTTCTCCACCTCGGGAGCTAGGGGTTTGCATTTCGGATTCGAGGCGAGGAGTTGGTGGAGAACCAAGTGAGGCGGGACCTTCTGATTTGTCGATGATGAAGAACCCGATAGGAACTTCCCTAGCGTAGAAGAGACCTTGCCTCTTTTCGTCATCCCAAGCTCATTGAATGCCGTTGACGATAACGACGCCGGCGGGTAAGGCTCCGACCACTCCGACTCCGATGCCTTAGGCGGCAACTCCACAAACAACTTCCCCTCCCCCTTGATATCGACGATCCTCTCCAAATGCTCCTGCAGCAGCGTATTCGGGAACGCCTCGTCCGCCCCAAACACCTTTACCGCCCCCTCTGGGCCTGTGCGGGCTCCTTCCCATTTTTCTTCATGTGCGTCCTTGGAGGGGACGTAGAGGGTGTAGGTATAACCCCGGGAGGAGGAAGGTTTGGATTCTAGAGCGCACGATGGACATGCGGGTGGACAAGGCGAGATAGAAGGGACCAGGAGAATAAGTGGGACAGGGGTCGTTGTAGCGAGGATCAGCTCGACGATGCAGGTCACGTACGGCATCCTTCGGACCCCAGTGGAGAAGGAGTAGAAGTACTCACCGAGCACCAGGACCGCATCAGGTTCATGAAACCCCGTCAAGTAGAAGAAATCGGTAGCTACGGAAAGTAGGAACGTTTGGGTTAGCATTCAGCGCCCGGGCTGTCGAGACGCTTTGCGGGAAGATCGAGCAGGCGGATAGTTAAAAGGCAGAGGTAGATATTGACATCGACTTACATTGCCGAAATTTGTAACTAAGACCATATGCAAATCAGGTCATTCGCAATCCGGTATAAGCAAAAGAAGGCCGGATATGCAGTTCAACTAGGGGATCAGAGCGTACTGACAAGATCTCTACCCTTCCCAACAAAGCCAAAAAGCGAATGATCAACGAAACGGGACGCAAATGAAGAAATCAGCTCTACAGTCCAAAGTGTGCTAGGCAAGAAGAGGAATCCCACCACCTCGACACAGCGACTCACGTTGCGTAACAAGCCTAACCCCAGCGCCCATACATACGACCCTACTCCCCTCCGGCAGACCCTGCATCAATTTTCTCCTTCTCTGTTCATATTCCGCCGCTGTGATACCCCGTGTTAAGTGTCCAGGGTTCTCACTCCGGACCAGATGAGGGTGGGTCTGTGAGAGCGGTTGGCCGTAGAGTGGAGGTTTGGCGTAGTGAGTCTGGTTTGGGGTGCTGTATGACCGTGTGCTTTGGGTCCGGGAGCGTTGAGGCACGGATATGGACATTCGAGTTGGGCATGATGAAGATGCTGATATTATTGATGCTATGTGTTGAGTTACGATCACGATCGGTTAGCATTGGTAAATCATGGAAACTGTATCACCCACGGAAGCTCAAAGAGCACGCATGCTCGCTCGCGCTGCAGGAAACTTACCTGGCCGACCGATGTTCCGAGACGCAGCAGCTCGCAGGCTGATGGAGAGGTGTGCCATCCCGCCTGTCATGTACTATGATGTTAGTGACTGTTTGAGCGTGTATGTGCGAGTGATGATGAGATTCGAGCATCATTTTGTCGAGAATGCACATCTACGAGCTACGAGAGACTTTAGGGTACAACCTCGACAATCAGGGTCGACGACGAGTCTCTGGTCTCTCTCCCTCGATCTGGGGAAATGACGAATCTCATCCATCCTCGACCTCCCCGAACCATATCTCTCGATCTCCCTGTAAGTTACCATCGTCAACGCTCGCCGATCGTCCACACTCTCTTCCTCTCGTCCTCATCGATCGAAAGTATCTCCCTACCATCATGCCCCGAACGATCCGTATCGCCCTGCTCCTCTGCGACACCCCGCTCCCGCTAGTCCAGCAAGAACTAAACTACCCGACCTACACCCCGGTCTTCCTCTCCCACTTGCAAGACACCCTAGACTCTTACCCGGACAAAAAGGCTGTCGAGGGTGTACAGCTGGAGGTGGATAGTTTCGATGTGGCAGGGAAACAGGAATACCCGGATGAGAAGAAGGTGGGGGAGGGATGGTACGATGCGGTGATGATGACCGGTTCAGGTAAGTCTCACTGCATAGTCGCTTTTCTTTCTGTTCATCGTATTGCGACTTTCGATGCTGATTCTCCCCCTTTCTCACATACAACTACTACCTTAAAACATAATCCTCGCCCCAGCTCACTCCGCCTACTCCCCCCTCCCATGGCTGCAACGCCTAATCACCTACATTCACACCCTCTCCACAGACCCCTCCTATTCACACCTGAAAATCATAGGGATCTGTTTCGGCATGCAAGTCATCGCCATGGCCCTAGGAGGACCACAGGCGGTCGTCCCCAACGAAAAGGGATGGGAGATCGGGGTTTACGAGGTCGGGTTGACGGATGCTGGGAGGGATTGGTTTGGAAGGGTCATGGCTGGCGATGTGGATAGTCGGTTGAAGGATGCAGAGGATGTTGAGAGTGCGAGTGAACGGGTCGTGGAGAAGGTCGTCGGGACGGAGAAGATCGTGAGTCTTTCTCTTGCTTTCGAGTCATCAGATGCTAGATGGGTGGGAGAGGAACCGCTTGGCTGATAAGAGCGATTTCGCTATACTATGTTGTCGACTTTGGTTGTGACCAATAGCACATCCAGCAGATGGTGAGTGGCGTGCTTTCTCGCTCTGACTCTCTCTTACACTGTTCTTCTTTGGAGTGGTCGCTTACTATCCGTTGCCTTCTTGCTCCATTATCTCCTTCCCTCCCCCACCCGTACCTGACCTCTGTCAACCGGACTCCACGACCCACCTCACCATTCCAAACTCGAATTTGACAATATCAATTCTTAGCACCGAGACCACCTTCCTCAAGTCCCTCCGAATTTCGAACTCCTAGGTTCTTCCCCGAAATGCAAGGTCCAGGGGATCGTGCAGTATTACCCCGAAGATTCTTCAACGGAGGAGACGGGAGGGAGCAGAGCTGGGAATGGGAGGAGGAAGATTAGGATCGTCGGGTTACAGGGTCATCCAGAGTTCACGACTGTAAGTACTCGGATTGCTGCCTTTGTCCAGTACATGCGCCCAGTCTTGTTTCCTGTACAACGAATTGACGAATAAACTATGCAACTACCCTTCATCTTTATTTTCAACGACATCATCACCCTTCTCAACGTCCGCGTCCTCGAACCCGCTCAACGGTTGCGACTTACGACCTCAGGCCATTGTCGACCGGATGATCTCCGTTCGCTCCGAATCCGGCGTCTTGGACACTCCAACTGCCGAAGAAGCCAGACGTAGGAGTTCTGCTCAGAGCGGAGGCGAGGGAAGAGGGGTGATCGGATGGGGCATCTGGGCGGTCTTGTTGGAGCTCTGAGCGAGGAGGGGTGGTATGTGAGGTGTGTTGCCATGCGCGATGGCGATGGTAGTAGGTAGGGCGAGATGAAGGTACTATCACTATCAGGTTGGGTGGGTTGGGACGTTGTACCGGAGAGATACCATGAAGTATAGAAGGGAAATACAAAGGGAAAGAGGGACATGTCCGATAGACAAGGATGCCTTTAGCTTCATTTCAAAGATTTTTCGCCTTCCGACCGAGCGCTGGTCCTGGACACCAGTTTCAAAAACCTCAAAATCCGCTCTATGCCTGAACCTCCCCGCTGGAGCATGTTGCAAACGGCCTTCTGGAGACCGGCCGTCGTCCATCCATCAAGTCAAGAAGAGACCCTTACGAGCAATTACCACAAGGTAAGTAATAGAAATCAAACGTTAACAGCTCTATCATTAATTCCACTTGTGGGATCATTTGCTCTACTTCCTATTGCGGAAGATGGTCGGCAGGGTGTTGATCAAAGATGTTGAGATGGATCTGATCGGAAGTGAGGGCCGCTTGCGGCTGAGGGGAGTCGCTGAAATCGACACCAGCACACCCGTACGCGAGAACTCTGTCATCGGCTATCACGTCAAGGGGACAGAGGAGGAATTGAACAGAATCGTCGCTATGCGTTCGCAAACCCGTCACGGGAAGGATCTGACTGTCGCCTGCGACGCACCCGGGGGTGAGTCATGAATCGAGAGCCCGTGTCTCCGTGCTCGCCGCTGATCGTCTTCCTGTTCACAGGTATTGTGGGATACACTCTGGTGGACTTCCCTCCAGGCAGTTTCGGATCTGGATGTCAAGAGGGTAGCGTTCAATATCGCCGACACCGATACCCACTCGATCGACATCTCTTACGAGGAATTCGGCTGGGTACAGGATGACACCAAGCGACATGGCGGCCGAAAATACGACCCCCGTCCGCATTTGAAAGTGTCTTACTTTATCGAAAGCGAGGGCAGTCTGAAGTCGATCCGCGACGACCTCGCCAGTCGACTCAAATCGGGCATTGTCAAGGTGACAGCTCAGGAAGAGACGCAAAGGAAGGCGGCCGAGAGTATCCCACACTCCGCTACAGCAAAGCGACAGACTTGAAACAGGCGGCGTCGGCATCGAACCCAGTAGCTTCGAGCACGGTAGTATCGAGCACTACAGGAAACCTCACTCGACAAGTCGCCAACATGTCGACCTCCTTGACCGCTTCCGGATCGAATTCCACGGCCACCCAGATGCCATCGAAGAGACAGCGCAGCAGGAACAAGGCGAGGGCCAGGGTCGACTCGCCGATTCTGGAGGAGCCCAAGGAGCCCAAGGAGCCGCTCTTTGCAGCCTCTGCCCCCGTGGTATTGGCCGATCTCGGGGAATGGATTTCCCCTAGCGATAGGACCCATGACTTGAGTCACGAGACTTACGAAGAAGGTCTCCCTGCAGCGAAGAGGTTCGCTGCTCCTGTCGGTCAGGCTTCGACCTCGACCTCGAACCCCGACGTCCCTGCCGTCGTCGACCCCGCTCAGGATTCGATCTCGAGCTTGAACCCCGACGTCCCTGCCATCGTCGACTCCGCTCAGGCTTCGACCTCGACCTCGAACCCCGACGCCCCTGCCGCTGTCTCCGCTCTTGTCGTCGATTCCGCCCCTACCGCCGCCTCTGTCGCCGATCCCCCCTCTGTCGCCGCTACCACCTCTGTCGACGATCCCCCCTCTGTCGACGATCCCCCCTCTGACGACAATCCCCCCTCTGTCGACGATCCCCCCTCTGTCGCCACTACCACCTCTATCATCGATCCCCCCTCCGTCGCCATTACCAAATTTACAAGCTGGCAGTCTTCGTCTACTGTGCTCGTATAGCCGAAAGGCGCTCGTACATCTTTCCCTGAGGACTCTTGGCCAGTGATCGAGATTTCTTTTTCCTTAAGGAGGTGCACGCAACGCGATACAAGAAGGGCGAGCCTTCCTGGAAGCAAGAGTCGTATGGAAATGCGAAGAGGTGAAGCTCGGCTATTATATGCATGTCTAAAAGAAGGGTTTCTGACGTCCTATGGTGTTGCACGTTCCATGACGAAAGCGGATGAGCTATAACCAAGAAGGTTGCCACCAAGACCTTCAGCTTGGAATATCTGTAAGCAGTAGAGCGAAATCGAGTTCGAAATTTGCACTCTCGGATAATAGACCGGGAGTTTTACAAGCCCAGGGGGTCCCGTCCTTCTCTCCATAACTGGCCCAAACTGTGGCGACAGCTTCGTCACTGATCACCTTCTTCTTATCCTCAGACCACGTTGTGCGACTAGCTAGATTTCCCTCCACTTGCTGCTCCTCTTAAAGCTAGGGTGATCCGGCAGACAAGTTGTACTTAAATGAGACCTGAAACGGTGTGTCAGCTGATGATCGTTGATAATCACAAGAATCGATATCTTCTATAGACATATTTCAAAAGCTTGTTCAATATCCCAACGCCCAGTACCAACTTCAGAACTTCAGCATGCAATCCCGTATGTTGTATATGCTTGTACATTTTCCTCCACCCCTTCGTCCGATGCATACGGTAGATTTGTTTCGAAACATGGCAATCCTTCCATGGGAGAACAGTTCATGACTGCGTCCCCCCTTGACAAGTTTCACTCGAACTACCTCGCCTGCGTTCTGTCCCATCTGTCAGGCCAGAGAGATTTCCTTCATCTCGCGGTCGGCTGCGCTAATGCTTTCCCCGACGGCGATCCCATCGTCTGTCCGCATATCCCAATCGACGTCATCAATTGACCCTTCCACCTCGACTTCGAGCTCCTCGGCTGCTGCATGACCTGATGCTGTCGGTCTGGCATACATTTCCCCTCCACATACCAGCCACATCGCCCATCGCCATCGCTCGGTGCTGCTCTTCCAATCCCACACTACGCTCACAGTTTCGCGAAACTGCTTACCTGAACAGGCAGAGAACTCGGGATGCGTCGGATGAAGTGCCGGATGGCTGGTGTCGAAGGACGGATTGTCGATCCAAGTGATTGTATGCGAGGCCCTTAAAAGAAAGTGCGAATGCCGCAAGAGCAGCCATCGCCCGGTGGACGTAGGTCGCCCGTTGACCTACGGTATGTCGCGCAATGAGGTTAACATCGTAGGCAACCGACTCTGAACACAACTTCTCGACTCGCCTGCGTGTTGCATTCGACGCCGACCGTAGACAGGGTGTGTTCGATATCCATGGTAGAGTACTGCATATCACGACTCTCGAGCTTGGTCAGATCGAATTTGTTCCAGAAATCGCAAACCAGTACCTAAGGGAGCGAGGTTGATCAATACTCAGTCCTATATGTTACCGTTGTGTATTTCCTATCGCAAAATCTTACAGACCTCGCAGTTCTTGGCCATGATCAAGGCTTCATACAATCTGGCAAGGAGCTCAGTAGCTGATTCTGGTAATCTCTCTTTCCACCGCTGTCCTTGTCGAGTCCTGACTACGTTGAGGCGGGACGGACGCTGCCATCCGCTCTGTGGAGCTTGGGTAACTACCCGCATCTTCAGGTCTTTTCGTTTCTTGGCCTCCCGAGAGTTCAATCCCCAGTTCATCCGCTTTCCGAATGTGCTCTGGGATTCGGCGATCGAGGGGGATGGTGGATTGCTGACGAAGCGCGATTGAGGCGTGGTAGGTAGAGAAGCTGGAGAGCTGTCGGCGCGAGCCTTGTTTTGCCGCAGTTCGAGCATCTGTGGCTGCTGATCGAAATGAGAGACGTGTTGGGGACGGATAGCCATGCTCATGGTATCTATCGAATAGGCTGACCGCGATGTTTTTGCTTTCGTGGATCCCGACCGGTTGAGGTTGAACCCGAACAGTAGAGCCGTCTCGCCTAGAACGATAAGTCGGCTGAGTCAAGACTAGGAACAAGAGGTAGAGACAGTCCCAGACAGTTCGGCCTGACGATCTATGTATGGTGAAGATCGTTCAGGCTGATCCTCTGTTCCCCTTTGTTCGATGTGCGTCGAGAGTCTCAGCCGAGTTTGTCGAGCGCGAGGACAATGGCGCGCGTGATCATTCACCACAACCCAGCTCCCCTTGACCTCAAGCTGCCATCTCTGCAGCGCCCTGGAGTACGAGGGTCATTTTCACAAAGGAATCTGTTCCGCTCACCCTGGCAACCCCTTGGCCCCGTTGTGGCGGACGCGTCGACATAGGGGTCGGAGGCGCGACCAAAGGAGAACGACGCCACTGCGCGTGGGTAGTTAGTTATGAAACGTCGCTTTCGAGTCAGAATTTGGGGTCAGCACTCATCTTGCAGACTTGCTAACAGGTTGAGTGGTATGAATTGCTCTGTCCCACTTGCTAGCTGCATAATCAATGGTCAATCTGTAGGGTGGACTCCTGTTCAGCCCTCGGCTCTGCCCTTGCGAATCTCGCGATCGCACGGATTCGACCTGAAGGCCTGATATAAACCGATATTCACAGAGCATTTGTGCCTGGGAGAGCATTTCAGGCCAATGATAGCGAGGTGCCGTAGACTCATGATCAACACCGCAGGAGATCATGTCGATACCGCATATCGTCCCGGACTCGACCTGGTCATCGCACATGATGACTACACGTCTCGTCGGCCCGACATCGAGATTACAATCATGTCCGGCAAGCCAAAGTGACTAGGGATACGAAGGTCATTCGAGGTCAGCAATAGCGTTTCTTCTCTCAGCTCCCGCTATTTTGGCGCCCTCACGGATCTAGAGCAGAAAGATGGCGGACAGCGTGAATCAAGTACTGAATCTTCGCACAGTTCTCCAGATCTCCAGACTGCAATCGTGAATCATGATTCCAAATTAAACATCATTTTTAACCATTGAACTTCGCATAAGCAAGGTTCAGTCAAACAAGATCCCGAGCAAGTCGGATATCTTCTTGAACTTGCTGAGAACGGCTTGACGTCCCGAACGATTCTGACGGCTCGATTTCGACGCGAATTGCATCGCTCACGATACATATGCCATCTCGCATCGCCTGAAGTCTGGGGTATGTGATCTAGTGTACAGTGTGATGTTGGGCTTCCTCATCTATAATCGTAAAAGTCTCGGGCTCTCGTAAGGTTTCGTCTCGTACCCATTCGCATCTATCGTTGTTGCTATCCTTTCTGTTGCGTGATTAACATCCATCTCTGAGCCTGTTTTTAGGAACCGTGGAGCCAGTCTGCGCCCAAGTTGTCAGATTCGGGTTGTTATAAGCTGTTTTTATTGATTCGACAATGAGCAATCAGCGATCTAGATCCTCGACCAACGGACTCGTCGTTCGCGCGCTCACCATCGGCGTGACGTGCGATGTAGTCGGCCGTCGGATAGTCTGTCAGGATCAATGGATATCGATCAGCCTGGAATACGTGATGCGTTCCTCTTTCTAACGTACCCTTAGGATCACACCCTACCGAACCATAGTCTTCCCGTTGATAGACACGAATGTACTCGAATTGCATCTCTGCCGGGAATTTAAGATGCTCCTTGTCGACCCATTGGAAGTTGTCACTTAGGCCAAGGTTGAGAACCAGCGCCATCGGTTCTTCTGGTATGAGACGCTGTCCGACTTCAGTCCCAGGGTTTGGCGCCAGACCTGGAGCGTGCAGAGTCCAGCTCTCAACGCCGTCGGCTACCCAGGTAATGTACCCATTACTTCGGTCGTCCTTGTTGGCATAGAGCTCATATCCATAAGTGGTGTAAACCCCGCCAGTCTCCTGGTAGACATCGTCGGGGATAATGGTCAAGCCCGAACATGATTGTTGATATACCCCTCCAGTGTAAGTGTTCCAGTATGTCAAGTCTGGGTTGGCTACATCGCTGGAGGCGTTGTCAAACTTCCAATTTTCGTCATAAGGTGCAATCTGCAGGGTTTGCGAGACTTCTCCTTTCTTCCGATCGGTAAGAACCTGTCGAATGCGATACAAATAATTCAGCAAGACTGGCCAAAATAGGGGTCGCAGACTCGTGGCTTCCTTACCTGCGCCTCGATCATGTCCACTTCTGGGACACCTCTACCGATCGAAACGTCCGGACCGGGATGGTCCTCCCCTGGGCAGGTACAGGATGGCCAACGCATGCCAGGAAGGTACGATAATGCGGTCCCATCGGCAGGGTTATGCAGTGCCGCGTCGGGTCCCGTACCGTTGAGATAGGTCTGGTTCGGCAATATCCCGACGTCACACGAGTCGTAAGAATAGGGCCAGGTGCCATCCGTAGTTGCGCCATAGCCTAAGATTCGAATCCGATAATACTTGCATCAGATTGTAAGATCGTTCAAGGTCACAAGCGCACAAACCCACCTGGTCTGCCTAGATTGCCAAATGCCCAGACTCCCGGCCAGAATCCACCGATTTCGTTATTCCCAGGGAGTAGCAGCTTTGCTGTTGACGAAGAAGACGTGGTTTAGCACCCCTGGATTTGACGATAGAAGACGTTCCTCGCGCACCTTCGTAGTACATGGAACCCGAAAAGCAGAGCTTGTTCCAGCTTTGTAGCATTCCAGACGTATAGTTGAGGTTGTGATTGACCGTTTCCGATAGCGTAATCACGAGTTTGCCATCGCGGGTCGTGATGGCTCCTGCAAGCGAATCATAAGGGCGAAGATCAGCAAGGGCTTTGATGTTTGTCGTTCGGATATGTCTTGCACTGAGACTCACGGGGATCATACCATTCATAATCGTTGGTACCCCAGTAGTGAAGATCCACCGCTTCCCAATACGGGTCGTCGCCTGGGAAAAAAGTCCTGCCGTCCAGCTCAAATTCATCGGAGAACACGAGGTTCCACTGGTTCCCATCGAAACCCGTCCGTGTATAGGCATCAGAAGGCGTGTCCGGGTCAATTAAATCCCGACCGATACTGGCAAACTGCCCCGTAGCGTTGATCCCTCCGAGGTTGTATCCCGAGACATTGGCACCAGCCGTCTTTTTGTTGTATTCTTTGACGATAGGCACCCCAAGAAAGACGGCTACGATTCCTCCGCACAGGATGAATATCGTGCCCATGTTCATCCACCCTCGTGCAGAAGACCACTTGATGCTCTCCTTCTCCTCTACACGCTTCTCCCATTCTTCCAGCGGTTGAGCATCGAGTTGGGCAAGAATGTCGGCCGAGCCGTCATGCGTGTATTGTTCCCCGCCATGTGCAAGCGACAATGAGCTATTGAGAAGAGGAGAGTGATGCAACGTTAGCAGAGCAGGCGTACCGAGTGCACAATGTAGAACTTAGCATACCTTGCCGCAGGTGATCCGTTCCATTGTCCGCCAGACCGAACCAATCGCTCCCCGCTCTCTGCCGAGCCTGGTCGCGAATGTCCTAGGAAGGGCATGTTCAGGATATTCGATTGGGTTGAAGCTTGATGGTCGTCGATATTGTTGCGATTAGTGAAAGCGAATAGGTATCCAGCAAAGCGCCAAACACCATTGCCGTCAAATCTTCTTGTACCATTTCGAGGATCTCTGGTGGGTTGATTGTCGAGAATGCAACTAGGGCGCCAACGCGCCGCACCCGCTGTAGCACCACCTTCCCTCCACCCTGAGATGCTGTGCGAGCTTTTTTGTTGTTGTTATTGTAGCGGTCACCACTTGCGGGATGCGAACCGTGCGGCCGAAGCGAGGGTTTGCCATAAATACATTCGAGATCCCCCCACCTCGCGCTCGCGGGATTATTCGAAACAAAGTACCCGAGGTGTACGTGATCGGTGATTTGCCGCTAGCGATCAACACGCACCCGCCTCCTCGTCACGGCTGGCTGTCTTGCAAGTCTCATCCCCTCTGCTTCCGATCGATGGATCCCAAAGCGCCGCTTCTCCACCTGCCCAGTCCCACGCGATTCGAGGTAGGTCAGGGGAGCGGGATGATTGGCTGGAGGAGTTCCAAGACTTCGACCAGGCGGGGCCGTCGCCGATTATCGTTGAGCAATTGTGCGAACAAGGTCTTGTCTTCTGTAGAAGCTATGTGACACGGAGCGTTGTAGCTTTATTGCTGTAGGTGGTCCTTTAATTTTTGAATCTAGCACGATGGCAATCAACGTAGTCAGATCTCGTCGGGAAGCCGGAGCGCAAGTTACTTGTCTTTTTTCTCAAACAACGGGGATTTCATTTAAAAAACGACCACTTTTCGCGATATCGATCATCGCTCATCGACGGCGATCCAGGACTGGATAGAGCGGAGGAACTGCACCATGCAAGAGTTGCAGGGAAAGCCGGGACGGGGTCGTCTTGAACCGAGCATGTCGAAGATTTCTCGACCTTGACAAAAAACTACGTCTATAATCGATAATTTGGTCATGCTGGGTACCATCTTCTGTCAAATGACCACAGTCGGAACACCCACTTTGTCAACGTCTACCCTGATGATAGTTTCTGGTTCCGGAAAGAACGGCGTCGAAACAAACAAATTTAAAAACGACAGTTGGGTGTATCGTCTGAAAGCTGGATCAGAAACACCTCGGGCGATAAATTGCGGTCAACACTCGGAGAACGTACTCGGAGATCGCTTATGGGTCGCGGTACACGAGGTTCACAGTCTATCTAGAAAAGACCATCGCATGTCAGGAGGGCCGAAGTGGTTTCCTTCTCGGCCAGACTGCTCTACCTGCTCATACGTGAAAGCTGGAGATTGACCAGGTCGCCAACACCGCTGTTCGCCGCTCATCTTGAAGATGCGACACGGGTGAGTCAGGCGGTACCAGAAGCGCGAGGCTTGCGCGAATGGCCCTGAGACCGCGAACTTGCCGTCGAGTACGAGACACTGTGAGTCTGGGTTGTGTACGTATTCGGGTTCTCTCTTGCTTGGGCGAGAAATTCGTTGCTAATAATCAAGTCGCGATATGATAGCAAAAAGTACAAGGTCGTATTTGGCGGGGCGCGCACGCATCTCGAGACTTGCGGTTGCCGAGAAAAGTGACAGGTGCCCGGGATACCATTGACGAAGCCTCCCCTATCCCTCCCGGGCCCAAGTGGCGATTTTGACTATATATCCGCGACAGGCTGCATCGAAAGGCGAAATAAGCCATCTTAGGAAGCGAGAAGTTGGAAAATGTGCAAGGCCTTTGCGCGTACTGGGTCTGTTGCGGAACAGCTGGCTCCACGTCGTGAGACGGCGTAGAGGTCGATCCTGACGGAGCGAGATGAATACGGACGGGACTGTCAATCAGCTTGAAGCCGACCGGAGAATCGGCGACGGCCAGGAACCCACTTTCGGTGTCTTGTCATGCGATGCCTTTGCGCTTTCCAGAGAAGGTCGCGCAGGCGGTACAAGGTCGGCTGTGAGGGTTTCGAGAAGGACATCAGCCCTGGGTTGCAGACTCGGCAAATCGCCACGACTCACCTGGATGGGTTGGTGCCATATACATGAGGACGCCCTCTCCGAAATGGTGGAGCAGTTACAACAGCGCTACGTAGTGGAGGCACATGCTCTTTAGCGGGAATCGTCGGTGATGATTCGCTGGCTACAGGCTCGGACCCACAACAGATGCTCTTGTGGCCACTCTATGGAATGTGGTGTTGCCTCTCGACGATGGTGTGCGAAAAAAGCTGTCGCAGAAAGTCCGCCTCATCAGCATCGAGGCATGTCAACACTGGCTGAGATACTTACGACTCGACGTTGGCTTTCGGCGAAACTGCGCTGGCGAACCGCTGTCGGGGGGTTCCTGCCTTTCGAGGATAACCAAGTCGATACGGCTATGTCCAGGTCAGCGATGGTCTGCGAGCAATGGGACGAGGGAAAACGAACGGTCGACTTGCGGAGAAGTATTTCGAATCCCAGCTTTGCGAGCTGGTGGTCGAAACCAGACGTCCGATACGATTCGAAGTGTCGCTAAGCGCGGAACGGTCAAGGCACAGGTCAAGAGGATCAGCGTCGGTTGAAACGAAAGGACACCGAGATGAACGATCGACTTACCGAAAGGGTGTCCGCCGTTCCTTATCCGGGAGGCCACAGTCGAACAAGATCTGAAGCAGACTAGATTATACAGGATCAGCTCGAGGATTCAGGCTATATAACCCCGTAAAAATACTTCCCAACGGTGAAGATTGACAGGACTTCTTCCGTGGTCCTTTTCCACATGTCCGCTACGGCTGGTACGGAAGGTGTCACTCACAACCTAGGATCGAAACCCTAAGCAACAAGCCGTTGTCCTTTCCGCCTACGTTTCCGCAAACTCAACATGGGTCACCGATCATGACGTTATGAAGGTCCGAACGGTCAAGCTCAGCATCAACTGTCGCTATTTGAGTTGACCTGGAACCTTCCCGCCCGTCCGTGGGAAGACGATACTCGTTCAGCTATGGAACGAGATCCCGGACAAGAATGTCCGCTCGCCGAATCCTCTACCGGTTAAGGTATCAGAAACTGCGTAGAATCCCCTCGAATCCAGGTATGCCGAGGTCGAGAGGTCGTTCCGTTGAAGCCAACTGAGAAGAGGAGCAAAACCACGATCAGTACGGCTCGCTCGCGCGATCAGGATCAGGGCAAGGAGGACAGACTCGGCCGGTCGAACAAGATCCGATGCAAACTACGTTCCGGAGGATCAGCTCGGAGAATCAGGCTACAAAGATAGGCACTCAGCGTCGCGTTCGAATCCGGTCCAGAACGTCGTCGTCGGAAGGTCGTCGTTGTCGAAAATCCCATGCCCGTCACAAGGGGTAACCTGGAGGTGACATCTATTCCCCGCCCATTAAATGGCGCTTGGGCGACCGTGATACCCTCCAGGCCCACGCTAGTACTCGCAGCATGGGTCACCGCCCTCGCCGATCCAGAGGGGTCCCGACCCTCGTCGTAGTCCACACTAGTTGAGACTCGGAGGGATGCGGGTTTCCGCGTTCAGCGTGATCAGGAGTGCGGGTCCGGTACTATCGGCCACTCCGAGGCCAGTGACACCTATACAAGTGGTCGCCCTTACGCTTACCGAGTCGATCTATTTCCTCGGATCACTCGGAAACAGCAGCGCAAAAGAGCACCAGCCGAGTCGATCTGTTTCCTTGGATCACTCAAAAACAGCAGCACAAAACCGCAATTGAAAAGAAGTGATGGTGGTGATGGTGGTGGCGGCGGTGTCAGTAGTAGGAGTCGATGGGGATAGGGAAAGATTGGCGAGGAAGGCAATGATGACGGTTGATGAAGGATGAAGGGATGTGTGCGTGTGTGATGCGATGTGAGCGTGAGTGGCGAAAAGGGCGACGGAGGAACGTGGGCGGTCGACAAGTTTTAAGCTGATTCGTCTCGTCGCTTTCTCACGCGTCGCGCCCCCGCTCGCTCACCAGCTCGCAGCAGCCTCTCGAGGTCATCAAACATTCCATCAATCAGACTCTGTCGACTTCAGCGAGGGTGGCTACAAGCTACAAGACTATTCCGGCCATCTCCATTCGTAACAATCATCAGCCATGTCTCGATCGAAAGCCAAAGAGCCCGTATCTGAATTAAATGATGAAGATGCCCGACCGATGCCAACCGTCTCCGACAGCAAAGTTTACATCTGGAAGAACAGCAAGGACGTTCAGTTGACCGGAGAGTTGACCGGAGTGGTGACCAGTAACGACTTTATGATCAAAGCAATGGAGTTGTGTCGAGAGCTCAAGGAGGATTTAGGCGTCAGGCTCACCGTCCAGGGTATCGCTTGGATCAGTGAGTTTTTTTAGTGACCTCACTTGTCAGATGTCTGGGCTGAACCTGCGCTCCTTAGGTACCGTCAACTACCCCCAACAATTCCAAAAAGACAGTCAAGTCGTTGGATTCTGTGTCGATGGCAAGCGTGAAGACCTCTGTCGGGTTATCGCTATGCGCTCGCATACTAGGTAAGTGGACCGCATTACGCTCAGCTTCCTTCCGTACCTAAAAACCGCACTACGCTCTGATAGGCACGGGAACAAGCTGGTCATAACCTGACTCAATTTAAATCTCGGTGAATTCCCGTTTAAATTCACTTAAATCGCGCGTTATCAGTCCTACTATAGTGACGTGTCAATTGTACGGTGAAATCGTTAATTATTGCAGTGTTGATGAAGTCGACCTCCACAAGTCGATCGATGTATCGATGTACGATATCGACACGATAGCTGTAATACTACCTTTTACACATCAGACAGCTTCACAATGACTAGTAGAACCCCCCTGAACACCACTAGGACCTTTAACAACGCACCGTTGGTGACAAATCACCATCAACCACGCACCTTCGTTCCGCTCGCTCCGGACCTCCCTTTCGCACCGAACTACGAGCCTGTACCTGTCACGGGGAGGCTAGAATACGTCGACGCGGGAGTTGTTGGGCGGTTCGGGGCGTTTTGGTACTATAGCGGCCGTTTCGTTGTGACTTAGTCCACGATAC